ATAGTAAGAATGAATTCCAAAAAATATATACTCATACAAAATCTATGATGTGCCTGTGGCGATCTACAACCGCCCGTTTCCAAGGGGAGCCTTATGAGAAGGGAGGGCAACCAAACTCATGGCCACTCTTTTGCAATATTAGTTTTATTTTCTTATCTGTTCATAAAATTATTTATGAGGCTTGTAATTAGCAATTTGAATATTTAATGCTAATGATACATCATTGTCATTAGTCTGTAAGTACTCGTATAAATCAATATCTAAGAATAAATGAAAAAGTAAAAAAAAAACGTGTTATTTTTGGACCTTGATACGTGTGCTATTTTTAAGGTAACACTTATATTGGTGAAAACTAAGTTGACATATATTATAAGATAGATAAAATATTAAATACAGGTTAAGATTTTATGTAATATTTATTAAAAGAAATGATATAGTAAAAAAAGCATTACGTTACAGACCTATTAAATTGTTTTTTAACTCCATGTCATGAGTTAGTTCTTCAAAGGTACACCTTCATTTATGGCTGTGGTAACCCTTGCTGAAACCCCACGACAGTGTCTAGCCGCGGTGAGTGACGACACGAAATAAGCCTTCACCACGCGCAGTACACTTAACTACCAAACAATATTTTGACATAGTATAAAATGAAGTCACTTTTGTTTCTTTTAGCAGAGGAAATCCGAGAATTTCAAAGATTTTTTTTTGTAATGTGTAGTCGTAAAAGACATGTTTTTGTGCGCTTACATTCCAAACGCTGGCTAAACCTTACGAGATATATCAAAATAATTTAGTACGGAATTATAAATCTTAAAAAGATTTACAGGTCATTTACGAAGCTATTTTGAACAATTCATTCCTATAAATTTTGCATATAAAGATGTCCTGTAATATATAGTCTTATCATAAATAATAAAGGATTACTCCAAACTGACACCACATAAGTAGTATTAGTAATATCTACATTGCACCCGTGCGAAGCTGGGGCGGATTGATAGTTTATTTTATAATTCTCTACTTAAAAGTATAAAGCGGAACCTATATAGGCTAACTTTTTATCTGTCTACTTATCTCAAGCTAATTTCTGAATGTTAAAATTAATATCAAATGATTTGTATACATAAGAGTTGTAAAGATAAAGATTGTTAGAACATAGTACGAGTACATTAGCTGTTATATTATATTCATTTGTTTCTTATATTCTAACATTTTTAGAATATTTTTATGTAATATAATTACCAATGCTAGGTGCATTAATAATTATAATTAACATTGTGAAATAAATAAAAATACAATCAATTAATTAACATACATTTTGTAGGTACATATTATAAATAGTTCAGGAATCGAATCTCGCAATTTTTTCAGAGCTTTGCCCGAAATTCAGTTTTCAAAATCTATAATTACTACAAGTAATGTTCTTGAGTTTTATAAGAGAAATTGTACGTCGATGATTGATTACGTACTTTAAATAAAGACTATATTTTTTATGATTTATTTACAAATGTATAGTTTTTATATGTTGCCCTGTACTTGTAGTATAAGACGATGTTAATTGCCAAATTTCAGAGTTATAGGTCAACGGGAAGTACCCTTTGAATTTTGATTCCCTTGAGTGTCGAAATATGCCTTTTTCGCTGCATAAACGGACGTATCTGTTTTTACTTTTACTTAGGAATTTGATTATTTTACAGCTTCAAGGGACTATTGACCTGGGTATATGGTTTTAATTTCAACTCGATTCCTCCACGAGTTCCGAAATAAAGGGTTTGACAGACAGACAGACGGACGGACGGACAACAAATTGATCCTATTAGGGAACCGTTTTTTCCTTTTGAGGTAAGGAAAGGTGTAGGATTAGGTAGTTTACTACTCAAACGAGGTACATCGTCATCTTAAAATGTTCTTCTAAGGATTTTGCATTTTATGTGATTTTTAGGGTTCCGTACCTCAAAGGAAAAAACGGAACAATTATAGGATCACTTTGTTGTCCATCTGTCACCCGGTCTGAAACAGACGGGCGTCTGTCTGTTAAAACCCTTTATCTCAGAAATGCATTGAGGTATCGGTAGGGATAGTCGAAAAAGTTTACAAATCAAATAAAACGACGAAATTAATACATATAAATATGCTAAATGCTTTCTACTACAGTACCACTACTACATTCTCTTAACGATGTACTAACGGAAGATAACACAAGTACTAATAGTCTAACTCAATAAGGGAGGGGAGAGAGGGATAGACAGGCGGACATGGCAAAGAAGTATTAGTAACCTTATAGACTGTGTCTTATTATTATGATTTCTATGGGTACCCATAGAAATCGTAATAATAAAACACTAGAAATCGCCTAGACACTTGACCTTGTCGGCGCAATGATGTGTAGACAGACAACTTACAGAAATTCACACCATTGCTGGTTCTTATTGCACGCGATGTTGACAAACTAGCCAAGCAATGTAATGTGAAGCATTAGGTGTCATTGTTCGTTGCGTAGGTTCATAATACGGCTGCAGGCATGGGTCACCAGTTAGTGATGTAACCGTTCTATTCATTTGAATAAAAGTACAGTTTATATCGATGTTAGTATTGAAAGGACATTTTTCAGATTTTCGAACATAAACAACTAAACGTATATCGTTTAGTTTTTTATGTTCGATAATCTGAAAAATGTCCTGCAGGTATTTTTTTTTTTTTAAATAAAAATTATACAATACTTTCTTAGGTATTTAATTATTTGTTTAAGTATTAAAGTCTGTAAATGTTAATAAATGATATCTTTTTAATATATAATTATATTACTATTTATTTTTACATAATTATAATTAAGTTCTAGATTCCCGAAAGATTCTGATGTTAAAGAAAACTTCATTTAGGAAAAAAAACTTCATTTTACGGGTCAATAAACTCATTTTGTAGAGTTGCTGAAAACATACTACATACTAGAGATACTTAATTATATAGTTAACTATATTTTCAAACATAGTGTTAGGAATCATGGTATTACACAGTATGTAAATATAAAAAAAAAGGAAACTGCTCTGTTTATTACTTACTTCTTAATAACTTATTCTAGATTAATATATATCTAATTGTTTTCGAAGGAACTAATTGTTCGGTAATAGCTTATCATTTCAATTTTTTGTTTATGTTTTTTATTCATCAGATTGTTTTAATTATAATAATAACAACGCCATGTAGTTTCAAACTAAGCAGAGCTTGTACTATGAAATCTAGATTGACTGATAGAATACCTGTATACTTTTTTTGGAAATACTTATATATTATACATAGAGAATACCGAAACTACAAAACAAATATTTGTAGATCATACAAACATTTGGTCCGACCCGGGAATTGAACCCAAGACCTCAGCACAGCAGTCGCATAAACTGCCACTGCACTACCGACGTAGTCTTCTACGTGCAATTGTTTCATTAGTGTACGCTGTAACTACTAGCAACATAGCTTGCACTATAAAATCTAGATTGACTGATAGAATACTTATTTACTTTTTTTGTAAATACTTACATATTATATATAGAAAACACCTAAAATCCGAAATAAATATTATTATAATAGGTACTATTCATTTGTAAGTATCATTGTAAAAATATTTTAAAAAAATGTGGATATCTATGGTTTTCATTGCTACTTGTAATGCATTTTATTTTAATGTACATAAAAAAAAAACATCGACACCTTCGAAAAATTTAGTCAATCCCTATCTTTGTTTACAGGGATTCTCATAAATCGATAGAGATTGTAGCGGTGCCACATAATACATTGGAGTAAAATGCAATGTAATTCCTGGAGATTAGGGTTCATAATAGTATGTGCCCTATACATTTCACCGTTGTTTTGCAAGTGTGTGCGAGTCTTATTTGTTTGTATTTTGTGCATGTGTTAAGATGGCGACATCGGTTTTGGAACTAATCGAGCGCTAATTTATTTCTAGTGTCTTATTATTACGATTTAAAAAAAACATTTAAAAAAATAATCATAAAATAGTGTCTAAAATTATTAACCTTCTTTAGACCTAAAGATTTTTCTTTTTTAGACTGTACGAGTATAAGTTTTGTACGGTTAAATAACACAAACACTACATGCCAGCTAGGTATGACCGTACTTCAGATTTAGCCGTAATAACATTTACATCACATATAGCATCCCTCACAAGACAGCACTAACTAAACGAGCAGGTTATAATGTGTGGACGTTTAATAAACAGTTGGTAACAATAGCAACATTGTTTGGTAATTCAACGTTCTAAGGTCGCGCTCCGCTGCCCTACGTAGTTTCCACTCTCGTAAGGCTCAAACAACTAAATAACCACTATATTTAGACCTACCAATTATCCTAATTTTATATCAATTACTTAAATATAATAAACAAATATTTCCAAACCAGTAAATGACAAATAGTGACATTAGATTACGTGATCGTCAATATACCCATTTAGTTGTGACAATTTACAACAAGCATAATAAGAATGAAATAAACCATTAACCGGTTACTGCTTGATATAGTTATCAGTCTAGGTAGAGAGGAGCGTATCTCAAAACTGGCCTGTATAGAGGTATAAACCAGTCAGTAACACGACTCCGCTGCATCGACACGGTCGCGAATAAAATTAATCGAGGTCACGATCAATGACTTCTGTTTAGTCACCGAATATTTCCGTTTCTTACGAAACTATTGTAGTGTCGGCGGAATGGTTACCTCATAACATCTACTATTATTAGACAGTAACGTAAGCGGCATCCATTTACGCCCTAGTAATCAACAAACTGTGCGGCAACTCGAACGCGTCCGCATCGGCTATGGCAAAACACACAATTTTCGTGTTTTTCTTCGTCGCTACAATATTCACAACAGACAGTTACAAAATACTCGGGATTTTTCCTTCGTTTGATCGGACCAACTACCTCACTTATCGCGGGCTCTTTCGGGAATTGGCGCATCGGAATCATGAAGTGACTTTGATCAGTCATTTTCAAATGCCGGATACCCCCGCTTCGTACAAAGAGATATTATTAAGTGATACACAAGTGTACAAAGGATTATCTTTTGAATCTGTGATAACAAATGAAGTGTCGCGTTTACCTTTCGAAACGCTAGTGGCAACTAAAGTCGGTAATGATGACTGCAAGATACTAATGAATAATCATCAAGTGCTTCATATGTTAAGAACACGACCTCAATACGACGTAATATTAGTGGAGTCATATAACAGTGACTGCGGCCTAGCCCTGGCCGCTAATTTGAGTGCACCTTACATTACTCTCAATCCGCAGCCTTTACAACCCTGGCAATATAACAGACTCGGTATTAATTTCAACTCAGCCTATGTAAGTCAATCTGGCTTATCGTACGGCAAGGAGCCTTGGTATTTCGAAAGGTTAAAGAGTTATTTATTATATCATATTACCAACTGGGTTTACTATGTTGGTTCTCAAGTAACGGACCACGTGTATCTATACAATTACCTGGGCGATGACCTGCCGACATTAGAAAGTATTGCGTCGAACGCTAGTCTTGCGTTTGTAAACACTCATCAGTCGTTGCACGGCGGTGTTGCCAAACCTGACAACGTTATTAACATCGGTGGGATACACGTACGGCCCGCAAAAAATTTACCAACTGTGAGTATATCTATTGATCCGCTTATAAATAGTGACTGACAAAAAGTAAATGTGAAGTGTTACGGCAGAATGACGTAATACATATGGCAATGTGAGATTTCGTTTAATTTTGACGCTATAGAATAAACATATCTAATTTATCACTAATACAGAATAGTTTTGTAGAATGGTAAACTGATGTTTATATGTGTTTGAAATGAATTGGTTATAATGTGAAGCTGACCGTCTATAATTAGTTGTTTGTAAATGAGTATTTTTTTGGTAAAATTTCTAAAAATGAAACCTAGCTAGATCGCTTATTGGACCAGAAACCCCCTGCATACTAAATTTTTCGAATGCCGAGATTCCGATTATTTATATATATATATATATATATATATATACAAGAAGGTGCACGTTCAAAGGTATTAGATATGTGAACTGCATCTTCAACAATCAATAAAATTCTTAATATACAGCTCTGAGTAAACAATAAATTGTAATGGCAATTTCTTAATACATTTCAGGAAATAGAAAGATTTATAAACGAGGCGGAACATGGTGTAATATACGTGAACCTGGGCTCCACTGTAAAGGACTCCACACTCCCAAGTGATAAATTAAAGGAACTGTTATCAGCCTTCGCTAAATTGCCTTTAAGGGTTCTTTGGAAATGGGATGGCGCCAATCTGCAGCTGCCGAGAAACGTTATGACTATGAAATGGCTCCCACAATACGATATTTTAAGTAAGTTACATTTACAAATGTTATTTTGTGTCCTATGAATTGTTTACCGGGTTTTAAATACACGTGAAAAAGGTTATAAAAAGAACAATTTTTTAATTTCGGGAATATAATAAGTAGATATAATAGATGAAGGCAAATAATAATTGTATATGTATAAGAGTCCGCGCTCTAACAGTTAGAAAAAAATAATTTCAAATTATAAATAGTTACGATACACAAGGTATTTATCATAAAGTTAGGATACAGTTAGGATGTTTATTTTACTTCCAGTGAGTTCATTGGAAGTAACAAACACATAGCCTCCAGTCTTAAATAAATATAATATTACATAATAACTATATTGCCTCTCTTATCGCACTGTGCACAGGAGAAATTCACAATTAGGTTTTTTCTAAATAATCAACACAAAAATCAAAATTATAAGGTCGTTATCAACCATTTTACTATTTAAGATTTTTTTACTTCATTTGCTTTGTACTGTCGTTCAATCTATGAGTTCAAAAAAGTGCCGTCGCTCAAAGTATTAAAAAACTTGTTCCAGAATTTTAACTTTATCTACTTAATAAATAAATAATAAAAAAATAGATATAGTACTTGATATTGCTCTGAACTCCAGAGTTAGGAAAGTGACATGTATGTATTCTCCCAAAAATTAATTAAGATATGTTATTACTTTCAGAACATGAAAACGTAAAAGCCTTTATATCTCACGCTGGTATCCTGAGTGCAATAGAAGCCGTTGATACCGCAGTACCAGTGGTCGCTATTCCATTGTTTGGCAATCAATATGGTAATGCAGCAGCTCTACAAGACGTTGGCATTGCAGCTATCGTTTTTTATCAAGATCTGAAGAAAAAGTACCTTCTTGATGCAATCAATGAAGTTTTGGACCCTGAGTAAGTCTCCTATGAAATGATAAACCAAAGTTACATGTATAAAGGTTGCTAGAATTTGTCTGCAGCTTTGCTCGTGTTAATATAGATTTGTCAATCAATTCAGATTGAAAGCCAGTTATTTTTCTATGATTAGGTGGCTCTCAGTTCGTCGCATAATATTTTAATGTATGATGTAAAATGATATAGAAAATATTTCTTTGTTTCAATTTAAATGCTAATATTAAATTTTATTCGCTTTTAGATTTACATTTAGAAACAAAAATCATTAATTCAAATAAACCAGTTAGAAGTACATATTTCTTGAACTGAACTTAAGGATCCTTGAACTGTCAGGAATATGATTCAATAATAAAACCCGGTGGCGGCGAGTAGGTCCTAGTAATAATATCGTGGGATTTTAGTCGAATTGAGTTTGTCATGCCGTCTTACGGTTTTGCCCCGGTGAGGTGACACCAAGAGATTCAATACGTCAAAAGAAAATCAGGAGTCAGTAGAATCATCAACAGCCTTTAACAGTCCACTTCTGGACATAAGCCTCTCCTTAGAAAGGAGGTTTTGGCCTACTATACCACGCTAGCCAGACGGGTTGGTATAGGATTTGTGTCAAGTTTTCCTTCTATCTGCAGTGCTGTTGTTCTGCGTAGTTTTTTTCCCTTAGTCGGCTCTTACGACACTCACGGGATGAATAGGGGTGGTGACACTCTGTATTCTTAATCCGTCACCACGCGGACCAGTAGAACCAGTCTACCTTACTAAAAAATAAAATAATTAAATACACTCTTAAAACTCTAATTCAAACCAAAATCACACACTTTATCTGTGATAAAAACTTTAAATTAATAATAACACGTATATAACTATTTTTACAGGAGTCAACATCGCGCTAAGTTAGCATCAAGACTGTGGCACGATCGTATGATGTCACCATTAGAAACTGCTGTATATTGGACAGAGTACGTCGCTCGGTACCAAGGAGCGCCAAACCTTCAACCATTAGCTCCAAAGATACCCTTGTACCAACAGCTTCAGCTAGATGTTTTAGCATTTGTTGGCTTAGTGTTGTACATTATGACATATGTAGTTTACAAGATTCTATCTGTTCTTTGCTGTTGTTGTTGTCGAAGGGATGAACAATCTGAGTATACTGAACAAAGGAGAACAAAAAGAGTAAAATTTGAATAGTTTTTTTAGGCTTTATTTATGTTATAAGATATATGCAGTTCGCATTGACTCATAGAATGAAGTAAGTACTTAAGCATAGGGGATTCAATGCTTGTTTTGAGTTTTGTGTATATTTGTTATTTATTTCCGTGAATTAAAGTTGACGGTAACAATATTTTTCTGTTTATTTCAGACTACATACCCTTGCTAGCTTCTCATATTAGTCTCATTTATACAACCCTGTAACTAATAAAAAAAAGGTTTATTACATAATTATTTTCTCACTACCTTTTACCATACGAGCTCAGCCTTTGCTTTCGGCTTGTTGTCGTATATAATGAAACCGTTCAACTCTTTATTTTCGTGTTTGACAAAAAGTTATGTAAGTATATTTACTAAATGAAATCATCAAAATATACGCACAAGTGCCATTATTTAATCTTTGAAATATAAACAAGATTTTACTATGTTTATGTTTTGATGTCTTTTTAGAAATTACTTAGAGTGGCTATTGGTCTTTTCGAAACGAGTCACCAACTTTTTTATTTATTTATTTACTTCAGTTATGAAAACCAACAGCTATAAAAATGAAATGGTCAGATTGATATACTCGTACTACATCAAGCCAATCACAGATTTTCACGAATAGAATCATTGTAATTTAATTCAAGGTGTTTATACAAAGTGTAAGTAAAAGTAGTTTAAACATAACCATAACTGAATTTTACTTACACTTTGTAACCAAATTAGACACCCCAACAGTATTAAAATTAAATATCAACTCAAGTTTTAATTACATAAATCTTAGTAGCGAAGAAAGTTCCACATAGTGAATTAATTTAATTTAGAATTTAACTTTAAATATTGTTTTTTTTTATGTTAGAGGAGGCAGACGAGCAAACGGGTCACCTGATGGAAAGTGACTATCGCCGCCCATGAACGTCTGTAAATCAGGAGTCACAAACGCGGTGCCGGCCTTATAGGAAGGAGTACGCTCTTTTCTTGAAGGTTTGAAGGTCGTATCGGTCCGGAAATACCGCAGACAATAACCCGTTCCACAGATTGGTTGGTTTTCACAGTTATCAATATTGTAATTACAGAAATCAAATACACAATATTATGTTACATCTTTTTTTATGCAAATCCATTCTTAACGTCACCACTTAGGGACCAAACAGTAAAGTGTAACAGTAAGGTATGTCGGACTAGAACTGACTAAAACCACACAGTTTTCCGGCATCAGGTCTTTCGTTGGGGTCCCAAGTGTGGCCTAGAAGAGAAATCTTTTTCAACTTGGAAGACTTCAGACGGCCGCCTGTTGAGTGATATAGGTTGCATAGTATTGACTGTCTCACAGGAGTTGTTTTAGTTTTTTTTTACCGTGTAGAACCGGAACACACGGTTTCTACACGGTAAAAAATCTTCGTTCGTTCACGACATACCTACTGTAAGAATGGATTTCCATAAAAAAAGATGTAACCAAATTTTATGTATTTGATTTCTGTAATATTGATAACTGTGAATATTAAAAAATATCAACAAATGCATTCATACACAAAAATACATCTAATCACATTGCATATATATAAATACACATTTACATAGACACTCACATATATATATACACATACACACGGTCTAAAATATATACTATATATAACGAAACCAAAAGTATTAATATTGTCAAATAAAAATAGTAGACTAGCTTTTGGAAGACAGGCAAAGTTTTGGTTTGTCGGATTGTCACAGGCAAGTTGTTCCAAAGTCTTACAGCTTGCACAGCAAAAGATTTGCCTGCAAACTGGGTGGAATGATGTGGCATTTTTAGTTTGAAATTCTCCGATGACCGTTTTTTGACATAAGAGTGTGTGGGGATGAAACAGAACAAAGATACTCTGAGATGTGATCATATTTGCGTAATCCAAATATGAATCTGATACGCAGGTTTTGGTGTCGCTCAAGTTTATTCAGTTGGTCTTCGCTGAGATCCGCATTGTGTGGTCTCGCTGCACATACTCGGAGTTCCCATATCACATAAAAGTCTTGCTGTGAACTTTGAAATGTTCAAAATCTATGGCTATCAAACACAAATTTTGATGTAGTGGTGACAGAACAATTCATCAGTGATTGTTCCTTGGGCCATGCGTACAAGTTAGGAGCTCCAGTAGTCGGGATAACATCACATGTACTAATGCATTATGAGATATTTGGTATCCACTTCAACCTTTCCTATATTGCATTCCAGTCTTTGGAAGGAGGGACAAAGTCTGTCAATTTGTGAAAGTTCATATGAATATTTAATTCCTACAGTTATTTTTTTAAGAATTAGATGTTTTTGTACTCGTTCGCATTTTTTAGAATAAAGTAGTTTTACAATAAAATTCACATATTACACATCAAATTACTGATGTTAAAACCAAAAACTAAGTAAATTAAAAAAAAACAAGTGTCGACAAAATAAGTATGCAGCAAAAATCAGTATTTAAAAGTGTGCATCGAAAGTGATGGTTGACAGTGTCAACCGTTGAATGCATACTGTTGAATGTTTGTAAAATGTTATGACGTGTGTGTAGATCTAGAAACCATCTCTTACGAGCAGGGTAAAGTGGAGAAAATGATAAAAAAAAACCGTCTCTGAATTAGCTCAAATCATTTGCCTTGATCCTGCGTGCCCTTGGCACAGCATGCTCCAAAAATTTGGGAGATGAATAATTTATACTAATGTGATACGATTGCTAACAAAGCTTTTTTTTAAACTATTTCAGCTCATTAAAATATTTTAGTATTTCACTCACATTGCGGCCTACTAGGCAATAACAGAGGCAATACACCACGGAGTACATACAATCGGCATGCCAATCTTTGGAGATCCGCCAAAAAACGCTGATGCAGTAGAAAAGAGTGGCTTAGGCATTATAATTCAAATTCCAGATCTAACTAAAATAACTTTTTTTTACAAATAAAGAGGACTGTCTTGGATCCTGAGTAAGTTACAATTTTAACGATATACTACGATGACTTGTCATAATCACTCAGCAGTTCTCCCTTATACATCATAAACTAAAAACTAAATTTCGTCTTAAAGTATCCGTGACAGTTTTCATTTCTGTTTGAAAAATACGTGTGCGTTTATTGCCCAACATTTTTTCTCTACATTACATTAATATGTAACATTACAAATATAAATTTGTTGCATAAAAAGTCCCCTTTTATTCAACAAATTTTTTGAATAAACAAACATTGTGTAAGACTCCCTTGTAATTTGACCTTACTTACTTATATTACTTATGCACGAGAGAGCAGTGTTCACTTTGCGTACATCTTAAATCTTATCTGATTTAATCTTGACACCTTAAATTTTGCAGGTCATTACCTAGTTAATTTATGCGTTATTAAATAAATTGTAATGATTTCAGATTTAGGTAAAACATAAAAGAGTTATCAAGAGTTTGGCACGATCAACCAGCATCAGCGATGGATACTGCCATTTACTGGACTGAATTTGCAGCAAAAACTACACATTAAGTTCACCTGCATCCAACGTTCCATTTTATCAATACCTATATTTAAATATATTAATGACATTCCTCTTAACTTCCTTTATTACTATTTTTTTGACGAAAACAATAGTAAATGCATTAAGGGCGCCACAGAAACAGTCAGTTAAATAAAAAAACCAGATAGTAAAACAGTTAAATGAAGATACAAGAAATATAAAAAGGAACAAACAGAAATTTTTAGAGCTTGATTAATACTAAAATAACAATCTGACTGATTATACTTTTCTGATATTTATTTATATAGACAACTTTTTAATATTGAACTATGAGATAATTATTCATAAATTTCTTCTGTTTAGCTTTTAGTTTTATATGTACAAAAACTTAGTATTATTTTAGTTTTAAGTGTACAGATAGAGAAGATTCTGCACTTTTTACAAACCCTTTGGGATGGTATCCCAAAGAGTCTGTAACCACACCGCAGATTTTGAATTTGCTGTTCGATGGTCCCAAAATTGATCCAAAAGTTTTAAATCTACCCAAAATCAATTATAATTCTAAAATATACAATTCAAATTATATTGAATGACTCACGGTGGTTAATGTAAATTTTAAAGTTACAAAACATTAGGCATATTATTTCATTTTTCTTAAGACATAAGTTAAATATAAAAAAAATAACAATAGAATGAGGAGAATGTGTAATTATTTTCATTCCTCGAATACTCATAAAACTAATCGGTCTAGCTGCTCCTGTCCTTTGTTGTCTAGGACGCGCTCCACGAAGTACCTTGGTATAGCACTAGATGAGAGACTTGACTGGGGCGCTCACATGGTTGCACTAGCTGGGAGGGTTAGAAAAACGATATTTATATTTAAGAACTTACGCAGTGTGGCCAACCTAAAACTTTTAATGCAAACGTATCGTGCCCTGTGTGAGTGCCTAGTCAGGTATTGCATCTGTGCTTGGGGTAGTGCGTATAAAACACACCTAATAGGAGTTGAACGTTCACAACGCGCTGTACTTAAGGTTATAATGCGCTTACCTTATAGGCACCCAACAGCAGCCGTTTACGAAAAGGCAAATGTACTTTCCGTTAGAAAACTTTTTATACTGGAGATGTTGAAAAGATACCACAAAAATATTATCCCTATCCTACCTACCACAACTAAACGTGTTGACCGTTGCCCTGCTAAGAGTGTTAGGACTGTCTTCGCACAACGTCACTTTGATGTTTTAGCGCCTAAAATGTATAATATATTTTTAAAGTACCACAATAACTGCAAAAAGTACACCACATCTAAATTTAAAAAGGAACTATTTACCTGGCTTAGACAATACAGCTATGATGAGGTTGAAACGATGGTTTCCAAAAGACTTATTTGAAATATATATACACACACACACACACACACACACACACACATACACACACACACACACACACACACACACACACACACACACTAGTGCAAGTTACACTACCTACACTTTACACACGACACAAATACACGCCCCATAATGTCTGCTTGTTTGTAAAAAAGTAAACCAGTTTCTGGTCTTTTTTTTTTTATTTTTATTTTTCGGTTTGATTTTAAGTTAGCTTGCTCTGTTTTGTGAGTAAACCACTTTCTTTTGTATTTATTGATTGTGTTGACATAACTATATATATCATGTAACAAGGTGAAGTCACTGGGTCCTATAATACAGTTCTTACTAGTTTAGGATCCAGCGTATTTATCCTATTTGTAACACTTATATGTCAATAAATATTTCATTTCATTTCATTTCATTTCAATCAATTACCCATTCCAGTTTAAAAGGGTCCCTATCCAATCCCTGTTACAGCTGTTAGTTTCTTAATAATATTAAGTGAAGGCCAAACATATTTAAAATGTAACCTTAAAAAATGCGTAACATACATTCAATTTGTAAAATTCCTAAAAAATCCTAAAATTTAAGTCCTTTCTGTTCGTTTCATAAAAAGTTTTAAATTTTCTTTTACACGGACTATAAACCTGCGCTTTTTATATATGTGAAAGGTAAGCTTAGTAAATTGCTTTGTTATCTCTAAAAGCCTTTACTTTATTCTATTTGCGGATCAAATTGAACATAGTGGCGAGCTAATATTAAGGTCGTTTCAGTGAAACCAAAGGATCGAAACAGTTTATGAAAGAATTTTTCTAAATAACCTAACTACTCCTCACTAAGCTTGTATTTCTAATATTCTAATATTGTTAATATGCTATTAATATCAAAGATAATACGGCAATCAAACTCTTTTCTTCAAATACCTTGATACACCCTAGTATCTACTATTGCGTTACAGTTCGTATAAGAGCAAATTAGTGCAATAGATATGATATGCTTATACCTAAATAAGATCAATATACGTTTTAGCATTAGCGACCCCGCCGCCCGCACCGCTGCCCCGTTGCAGCCACCGGCGCTCACCGGCCGGACCAGACGGACCAGACGGACAGTCAGCAGAGACGATACCACACAACCGCGCTCGCGCATATCATTATCATATAATTTTAAACATTGTATTTCTTAATCATAAAACATATCAATATACTATACCACAATATACAATCCACTGAGGTATCGTCGGCACTGAGCATTCAGTAGCGGATTTCCTATTAGTTTTGATACAAAAAAGTGATAAAGTATCCGTCGACCACTGGCAATGACCAGGAAGGTGGTTCTTCTGGGTAGGGGACATATAATCGCCTGACCAGAAATACCAACCTAGGCATTACAATAGAAATGATGACCACTACTGATTGAAAATAATCTACCAACGTCAAAATGGTTATATAATATGAATAAAGTAACAACACACTTTTAGACATAATGTAAAAAAAAATGTAGTATCATTATATTTTGTTTATAATAAAAGATATAACTCATAATCTAAACGATTGTTATAAACAAGAGTCTGAATAAAAACACAATCACCACAGTTGTTTTCAGCACAAACTACTGATAATAACCAATATATAGGAATATATTAATTTGGAGTATCATGTTGAATGTCATAAACGCAGTATAGTAATATTAGTAATAGGCTTCTATAAAAGTAATTAGTTCTAATTTTTTTAAGGTTTTTTTTATGGTATAAAGGAGCAAACGAGCAGACGGGTCACCTGATGGTAAGCAACTATCTCCGCCCATGGACACCTGCAACTCGAAAGTCACACGTGCGTAGCCACCCTTGGAGTCCCTCCCGCTCGAGTCAGCGGGGGGATTTGGGCTCCGGTAACCTCACTCACTCAGTGAAAGGCTACGAAAGAATTGCTTAACACCGGTTCTCTGTGAGGTCGTGGTATCACTCCGGTCGAGCCGGCCCATTCGTGCCGAAGCATGGCTCTCCCACGGTAAAAGTCCGTAAAAGTCCGAGATTTTTAAAATATTTATTTTAGAAAAAATAATATAGTCTCTTCATATATTGTGTAATATAATACTCACGAGAAGAGAAAATTATACGATTGACAACTACAGGAAAATTATGTAAAACATCAATAATTTCAAATTTATATTATAAGTTTGTTTTTCTTTCATTCGCAAATTATTTTTCAATAGTTGTTCCAATAGTGAAGTCATCCGAAATGTTTTTACACCCCTAATATACATATTTACACTTAAGTCTATTTCGCCGAAGGAGTAGGCACGAATCTTGCCGAATGTAATTGTAATTTCACTTACATTTTAAGGGTCAGCATATTGCCCGAAACCCGGTACTGCACTGGTTAAAGGGGGAAATTAGGAGTATAACGAGAGAAAAGAGAGATGGAGTGAAAAGTATTAACTCGAGTAAGTAATAACTCGAGCCGATCAACAACTTGTAATTCGAACTAACGTATCTTATGAAAATACTTACCTGCTTATATAAGTATAGAAAAAAACAAGTTTTAATTTCATTTATATATAAAATTTCGTTAGGGTAACCAGAATACCGAATATTAGATTAACTTTACACCGTGCATGAGGACATACATATATCTGATGTCAGAATGTACAAGTTTTAGGTTTCAGCCTTGATATTTAATTAATAACAGCAACACTAATTATGCAACGGATAGTTCGTTGGTACTCGCTCATGCAGACTAGATTAACAATACAAGGCAGATATTCTAAGTGATAGTAGTATTCCATATAATGCGAAAATTTGTTAATTGTTAAAAAAAAAGAGGATACACCGGGCACTGTTTAGAGATGCGAATTTGCCTTTGCGTTGCGTTCGTTGCGTTACTGCGTTTTCATGCCTTAATTGTACAACCGATTTTCCAATTTGAAAATGTGTGCGCTCTGCTGTGCCGGTTCAGCAGTTTGGCCGTGAAAGCGTAACAGATAAACAGAGCAACTTTCGCATTTATAATATTAGTAGGGATAATAAAAAAATCTGAACGTTTTTATATTGAAATCTTACTCGTGTATGTTTACTTTAGGCGAGGTATATTTATATTACTAAAAATATAATTACTAAATTCAGAGGTGATTCCAACGCACAACAATGTTAGCTTAAGGAATACAAATAACGGAAGTGGCATGATAATTATCTAGAATAAAATAGCCATCCAACTTGAATTGACGGCCGTCTTTATACCCTTTTTTTTCCTGCGCTGAACTCCCTTCGAATACCACCCACCAGCTGGGTGGTTATGCGGACCACCCGGACTCGAACCCGGGGAACCAGGTAGACGCTAGAAAGGAAAAACCTGGTAAACCCCGACGTACCTCGGGTCATCTACGACTTGCAGATGACCCTCTCCTGTGTGATAACCCCGATGTTCCCTTCCTGCACGCTAAGCAGCGCGTCGCGCCGTCACCCACTCTGGCCTGCTTCTGCTAGGATGACAGATGGGCTCACCTGTCAAACCTGGCCTGCGCTTATGGAGGATGGAGGTCATTCTGCGACCTTTGGCGCTTTAGTCTGCAATCTGGATCAGACACAGGTGATCTCCGAAGCATTCTTTCCCGGTGATCACCTGCTTCAGCCGGTATGAGAGGGTTCCGTGATACCTCTTGAGCCAATACTCCATAACGGGTCTTACCGCGTGATAACGGCGTACCCGCGTCTTTATACACCTATTTTCAATGGAAAATCTTTGATCTCTTACGGTAAAATATACTGCTTAATATTGTTAATAGAAACATTTGCAACTGAGTCATCAGACATTGGTACTGAATTGGTTCCAACGATCGTGCAGCGCTTGATGAATTCAAGTTGTTTAATTGACCACCACTGATCGCTATCAATTAGGCTATCACGCTATAATTAAGCTGATAACAATAAGGCTACTATATTGTTCTCAAGCGAAAACTAAATGAATTTGTATTTTCATCGTTTATGTTTTGCTTGTAAATTATACATTCAGTGAAGAATTTACAAAGCAATCACGAACCTTGTACAATCCATGAAATAAAACAAATATTTGATTATCTATCTATAGATCTATAGATCGATACCACTGCCATCTAGTATTATACAGAAGCCGTCCTTATCGGTTCAGAGCAATACAGTCGTACTATAAATATAAACTCAGTACAGTACACCGGTCGCCGCGCGCTGGTGCGTCGTTTTGTAGTTATCACATCACTCTTGTCCAAAAATGTATATTATGCAAAACTTGTGGCATGTCATTATATTGCTGTACAGCAGCATCAGTGTGCATTCATTAAATATATTAGGTGTGTTTCCATACCAAGGTAAGAGTCACTTTTTCGTGTTTGAACCATACCTCCAGGAACTGGCACGAAGGAATCATAATGTAACAGTCATATCATACTTTCCTCAAGAAAAACCTATAGCGAACTATCACGACATAAGTTTAGCTGGAAAAACAATGATATTGGAAAGTGTATTTCCTGTGGACAGATCGTATTGGATTTTAATGAAAATATTTTCCTTTCTTTTTGAGAAGGGCAGAGATAACTGTGAAGTGTTGCTAGAAAATGAAAATGTTCAGAACCTGTGGCAGTCAGAAACGAAATTCGATGTAGTTGTGACAGAACAGTTTAACAGTGATTGTTCCTTGGGACTCGCTTACAAATTAGGAGCTCCCGTTGTTGGGATGACTTCGCACGTTCTGATGCCGTGGCATTACGAACGTCTTGGAATTCATTACAACCCTTCATACATGTCTTTCCAGTTTTGCGAAGGAGGTACAAAGCCAACATTTTATCAACGTTTGGAAAGAGTTGTTCTTCACAATCTTTGCACCATTTTATATAAATATACTTGTCAAAGAGTGAATGAAAATCAAATTCAAAAATATTTCGACATTCCTTCATTGCAAGACCTAGCGAAAGATGTAAAAGCTGTACTGATGTATACAAATTTTCCTGTTAATGGTCCTGGCCTCTATCCACCGAATGTTATCGAAGTAGGAGGCTACCACGTTGCAAAAACGAAGGAACTACCTAAAGTAAGTAATGAAAAAGAAAATTTTACAATAATTTTTAAATTCTACAATCTGTCACAATTCTTGATCACTTTTAATTTAAAAGAACGACACAAGGAGAGATTTTCTTAATTTTAAGTTCTATCTGTAATTGTATATATTAGTGGAAGACAATAGAGGTCGTGGGGTCGATCCCCACCCAAGATAAATAACTGTGTGATGAGCACTGAAATTTTGTCTGTGTCTGGGTGTACTTTATCTATAATAAGTATGTATTTAGAAATAAATCAGTATGTATATCAGCTGTCTGATTACATACTCGTAGTTTGGGATCAGAGCGCCCTGTGTGAGATGTGTAAAAATATTATTAAGTTAACAAATGAGTACGTTTATCAGTAGTCTCGTCACCATAGTACAGGCCCTGCCTAATTTGGCTTTCTGCGAGAATTGTGAAGTTATTATTATTCTCTTTATTTCATTAAATATAATAATATAATAAATTACAATTAATATAAATTACATTTTCAAATATATTTATGTGCAAAAAAAAACGAAATACATTTAAATATATAAAAAATCGTCTCCCTCTATATCGGGTACAGGGCACAAGATGTCGGTGGTTAGGAATCCAGATACAGAAACCTCCACACAATAGGTGCCGTATCGAGAAGAACTGCTTTCTGCATCAGGCCTAGAATCTAGCTGCTTAACGCGAGCCCCTGAAGATGTTGGTCGAGCCTCTTAGCAATTAATTCATAGACCGATATGACTATCGGTACAATAATTGACGAATCCACATCCCACATGTCGACAATCTCGTGGACCAAAATTTAAATACTTTACTTGCTTACCTTTTTCACCTTTCAAGAGATTGGCGTCATGTGTAATGGTAATGTCAATAATCATTGCTCGGCGCTCTAATCACTATATCAGGTTTATTCGCAACAATAGTCCTGTCAGTGATAATAATAGGATGATCCCAGTACAACGTTGCACGACCATTTTCAAGAACTCGGTAGGGCACATATTTGTATCACGGTAACTCCACAGTCATAAGGTTATACTTAAAAGCAAGTTGCTGGTGGACTATCTTAGGTACTTGGTTATGTCTATGCAAGTACTCGCCGTTGGCAAGACGAGAACAACCGGAAATTATAAGTGCGAGGTGTCACAAAGAAATGTCTATTGTGCCGTCCTTCAGGATATACTTTCGATAATTATTATATATAATATAATAACAACTTAAACAATAAATTTTGGGGTTCCCCACACTTAGAACTGAAACTCAAAAATTGAACATAATTTTTTTTTTTTACATCAAACCCAATACGTGTTTGATATAAAATGATTTTGAGGTTTCCAATATCATTTTTTTCTAAACTGAATAGTTTGCGCGAGAGACTCCCAAAGTGGTAAAATGTGCCCCCCCCCCCCCTTTAACTTTCAAAAAGAAGAGAATGATAAATCAATAACTTAATTTAAAACAAAAAAACACTATTATATTATAACATCGATCAAAGTTACAACCAATTACTACTATATTATGTTACTTCCTGCTACGGAACCCTTCATGGGCGAGTCCGACTAGCACTTGGCCGCTTTACAATTTATGAAGTTATTTACAAATAACTAATGTGCCTAGCATCATGACTTAATAATAACATATACATATACATAACATAATAACAATGACATAACTATATGCCAAAATAAATATTGACATAAATTGTAAGATTAATTTGGTCTCTTCGAATAAATAGAGAAATAAATTTAAATTCTAACCTTTGACAGCTGTATAATCTACACCGATTATATAAATGGTACTTATATCAAATAAACATTTAAAACCAAGTCGGTCTCTTTGCCAATTTTGTACGTACAATACGTAAACATGTCACGGTAAAACTTTACATAATAATCTACCGAAAATAATGCATTAAATTGTAAGCAGTATGTTACGGTTCACAATCTCGCGAGATAGATTATAATCTAACGGTATTTACAATTTTACGGTGACATATATGTATGTATTAATACAGATAATGATAATTTTAAAAAGATAAGACAGATTTAATAAAATAAGGTAAAAGCTTGGACTCTTCTTTTGAGCAATTTGTAAAGAATGTATTGTTTTCGTTATTTAAAGGACTTAAAGAAATTTATTGAAGAATCTGAACATGGAGTAATATTTATAAGCTTTGGATCAATGTTAAAAGCTGCAACAACTCCGGAAGATAAAGTGGCAGCTATAGTTGCAGCCATATCAGAACTACCCCAAAGAGTTGTATGGAAATGGGATGGAAAGGTTTTACCTGGAAATCCGAAGAACGTGTACTTGTCTAACTGGCTACCGCAAAATGACATTTTAGGTAAGTATCTGAACATATATTGCAAATAAAATTTTATTATTTTTAGTCTATTTAAAACTTCTTTAAAAAATATTTAAGCCACTTCTACGCTTCTTCTACTGAGTATCTTTAATAAGGAAGTCCTTTATAGGACCGACTTGTACGAGTATATGTATATGATGCCATGAAAGTCAAATAAACAGTTTATGACTCCTCTTAATAGATGGATAAGAGCTTTTATATATTTTTTTTATTTCAATGCACTCACTCAATCCCATTACAATCGAATTGTAATAGAAATACAAAAATATGGTTCTGAAGAGATTATGTCTAAGATTTTATTTTATAGCTCATCCAAAATTAGTAGCATTCTACTCTCACTGTGGCATGTTAAGCACAACAGAAGCTATCTACCATGGAGTACCCATGATCGGTATGCCAGTATTTGGAGACCAGCCAGGAAATGCTGCAGCCATGGAAGAAAGTGGTTTAGGTGTACAAATCCAGATAAGAGACCTAACCAAAGAGACTTTGTTGCAAAAATTGAAAACCATCTTGGATCCAGAGTAAGTAAATCTGCCAATATACTTCAATGTAAATAAAAATGAAAGGCTCTACGTTGGTAATGGCTAATTTAAACACGACTAGATGAATGTGAAAACCCGTTGCCCGGAAATCGGTCATTTTCGGGCAACTAAAAGTTTTCTTTAAAATTTAAACTAATTTAACTATAGAAATTTGAAAGATTAACGTCGATTGCAGGAATTAAAAAAATCTTAGCTTTTACATTATTCAGTGACCAGTTTTTCTTCTTCCTCTTTAGCCTTTTTCGACCAACTCGGTGTAAGCCTCTTTTGACAATGTCATTAGGGCCTTGTACATCAAAAGCAAAAATAAGATATCTTAAAGGATCACTTTGTTGTGCGTCTGTCTGTTTGCCCGTCAGTCTGTCAAGACCTTTTATCTCTGGAACGCGTAGAGGTATCAAGTTGAAATTCAAACCAGATGCTCGAGTTTACACGCCCTTGAAGGGAACCGGAGGTCATGGATTCTATTCCCACCCAGGACAAATAATTATGTGATGAACACGATGATTTGTTCTGTGTCATTTATCTATAATATGTATGTATTTAGAAATATATAAGTATGTTTATCAGCGGTCTGGTTACCATAGCACAGGCTCTGCCTAGTTTGGAACCAGACGGCCGTGCTTGAGTTGTGTGAAGCTATTACTATTATTATTTTTCGAAATTGATCAACAATTTTCAGTATGTTGACGCACAAATGATCAGATAAACGACTACTTTCCATGGCTTTTATTGCGGAAGTACTAAAATTTTTAAATGTTTCCTAACGAATAAATTCGGTACGAATCTAAACACATGCCTTGTCGCACTCGCAAAATAGTGAACAGACATGTGCTTTAATTTGTGTTGAATATGTATGTTAGCGCGCCCTTCCCCGCGCACGCCGCGGTGCCGCCGCCGGCCGTTGTATTGTTTTTCTAGAATAAACCAGTGCATAGCGAACCGGCGATCGTATCACTTGCCCTTGCCCTTGTGTCTGTGTAGATATCTAACAATTTGTCATAATAATATTGAATAATAATATTTCTGTACTAAAAAAAGAGAGCGATTCGAGCACTTTATAATTTGGGCAATTGGTTTTCATTGAGAAGTAGTAGTTAGTAGTTCATTGAAAAGTGATTAGAATTTTCCAAATCTTATTGATATGGAAAATTGGATTGAGTATTACTCCTTTTGAAGGCGGTTAAAAATCTGTTAATGTCACATCTATAAATTCACGCAATATCTCGTAACTTATCCCTACATATTTATATATAAATTATTAAAGAAAGTTTCATTCACAAATCAGCCATATTTGTTACAGATTTAGAAGAAAAGTGAAAGAGCTGTCTGCAGTTTGGCATGATCGTCCATCTTCTGCGATGGATACCGCTATTTACTGGACTGAGTTTGTTGGACGTACTAAAAACTATACATTTAGATCACCAGCTGCTACCGTGCCATTCTATCAATATTTATATTTGGATATCATAACACTACTGGTTAGCGTTTTATTTGTCATAATTTTTGTTTTTAAGTCTATTCGCTTAATTTTCATATCCAAGCCACAGAAAAAGTCAGTTAAAGTAAAAACGAAGTAGTTAGTAATACAACTATTGTGAATATTTCAAGGTTTATGTCATACATATTTGTTGTTTAATAATATATTATTAGATATTAGATACGTGACAAAGCTACCAAGTCCTATTATTTCTACAGTAGTGAAAAAGATTTTAATAGATGGGATAAGATGAGATACATTTAAATAGTATTTATTTACTTACATTATGTATTAAGTTTTGTTGATATTAAAAAATTAAAATTGCATTAAACATTACCTTTTTTTTATTTATAATAACTTAATGCACAAGTTGTACACAGGCGGACTTAATGCCGGGTGATGTAGAAAAAAGATGCGGTAGATGTAAGAAAGAACAAGTTTTTTTTTTCATTTAAAAAGACAACGCCGACGAAAGTGACGAAGGAAACCCTATTACTGTGAATGGCGAGCGCTGTAACTCGATGTTAACCGAATATTTCTTTCCGGAATTTGATGATATTGATGCAGACGACCTTTATTGTCAACAAGACGGTGCAACACCTCACATTACTCGAGTGAACATAAAGTTATTGCGTGGAAAGTTTGGTGCGTCGTTAATTTCGAGAAATGGACCAATCAGTTGGCCACCAAGATCGTGTGATTTAACACCTTTAGACTATTTTCTTTGAGGTTACGTTAAATCTAAAGTGTACAGCAATAATCCAGCTACAATTTGTGACCTAAAAACCTACATTCCACGAGCCATAGCCGACATACCAGCCGAAATGGTGCACCGCGTCATCGAAAATTGGTGTGAGCGGGTGACCGTCTGCAAAAAGAGCCGCGGCGGTCATTTGGCCGATATGTTATATAAAACATAAATTGCATAAAATGATCTGTCAAATAAATCAATCGGATGCATTTTTCATAAAAAATTGTGTGTTTTATTCAATTTTTAAACCAGAACGTTCTTATTGGTAGACCCCATATCCTGTGTCGCGAGGGACTTTACAAACATACATGAAACGGACACAAAGAACACTCAGATTCAGAACAACAATTTGGGGATCACACAAAGTGTCGTACCGTGTGGGATCCCATGTGTAATTGATTTACGAGTATATTAAATTTATTAATGTAATGTAACTCTAACTTAGATATAATATACATAAATAAACCAATATATACAGTACTACATATATATAAAGGTCCCAAGTCTACACGTACAATACATACACATACACATTCATACATACATTTCGCGTTGCGTTGTGACCTTTCTGCCGACTCATTTTGGAGAACATCTTGTACTCTTTTCTTGAACGTAAAGCGGTTAGTGGACATCCTGATTTCAGCTGGGAGTGCATTCCAGAGAAGAACTGACTGTACATAAAAGGAAGAATTGATGAAGTTGGAAGTGTGAGGGGGACATAGAAGGAGCATATTATTCGTTGACCGAAGATATTACATACATATTTATAATGCTACTTTTTAATTATTATGGATATGAAGTTTATGCCTTAAGATGATTATGACTTACAGAATTATGAGTTTTAAATGTATGATAAATGAGTGTGTGCCAAACAATTTTCTGCGAAATGTAGTTTATGCTATCCGCTGTTATGCAAAATAATATTTTGACATAAAAAGTTCTGGTATAAAGGGGGGACCTAAAAAATTAAAAGCACAAAACGTTCTAAGTGCTATTATTTATGCAAGCCATAACGTTGTAAGTGTCATATTCCTTGCACATAACTCGACACTTTTAATGTCTTTATTTTAAAAGGTTTTCCTAAAACAATTTGCTTTTGCCGGCTAAATACAGCAATTAATATCTTTCTTTTTCTCAGCAGATGAGGATACAGGTGTCTCGACCATGTCAACTTATAGTTCCTCAAAATTTGCCTTAGTAATTGCAGGTCGCAATTGCAATTCGCCGTAACTTTTCTTTGTACGAATCACACCAGAATCTTCAGATGTCAGGCGATTCATCGTTGCCGAAGATATCTGCAGTTATTGGTATTAAACATATTTTTAGCCAGATTTATCCAATTAAAAAAGGTTTTATTATCCACTACCGAGAAAGTTTTTTTTTTCTAGCATTATATATATTTATTTGCTAGCATTACATCGTAATTCGCAAGTCATCTGCATACAGGTGATAAGCACACTGAAGGTGTTGATGAGGAGGACTTTACTATGTGTAATGTGTTAAAATCATTCATCAACATTTGTGTAGAGCTTTTTTAATGTCACTGTATTTTAAAACCTTTGGTAATTAATTAATTTATTTATTTGGAAACTTAATAGCTATGCTACATATCTCATGGGTGAAGTGAAGTTAAACATTGCAATGGACTCTTAGCCAATAATAAAGTTGCTCGACAAGGAAAATTGAGTGCACCACTTTTAATACATCGGTAATTTTAAAAAATATTAATACTTTTATTTATATTTTTATTTTATGGCTAACCAACAATTGTTTACACTGCATCTTACAATTAATTTACAAACTTATTACTAACATAAGTGTAACAATTTATTAAAGGTTAACACTGCATGCTTAGAATATTATAAAATTATACAGCTTAAAAATGAAATATATCTTAAATTAGAGAAATAATTATAACAACATTCTTTTTTTTTAATAATGACAATAACAAATTAGAAATTAAGTACAATGAATAAATAAAACCAATGCAACACAATTTTATCAATACACTTAATTCATAAATTAACCAATTTTATTATAAAAGTTGACAATAGTACTGTAAAGTTTCCCAATGTTATCGCTATAAATATCTACTATGTCACTGCAGCCGTTGATTACTTTACAAAGTCTGGGAATTGGCGAGTTAGCACCCAAAACTGTTCTGCGTAAAGGTGGGTATAAGGGCGTGAGAGTGTTTCTAGGATATCTAGATGGAGCACGGAATCTAATCAGATCAAGCAAGCAAGGGCAACTAATTTGATTACGCAGAAGTTTAAATCCAAACAATGCATCCACAATCATCCTACGCACCGACAGTGGTTGCATCCTGAAGTACTGCAGACGTGAGTTGTACGACGGCAACTGTTTAGTTTTCCCCTCGCAGAATGCAAGGTGCCAAAGAAAACGTTTCTGAACGCGCTCCAGTCGCAGCATATGTACAGCATAGTGAGGTCGCCAAACAACACTACAGTACTCCAAGATGCTCCGCACAAGACTATTGTATAACACAATCTTTGTTTTGCTACTCTTAAAACCTCTAGAATTACGCAGTATAAATCCTAACATTCTAGATGCTTTCTTAGTTATGCTATCTAGATGTGGCAAGAAGGTAGCCTTTTTGTCAAATACAACTCCCAGATCCCTGATTGTATCCACTTCTTGAATTTTTATATCATCAACTAGGTATTCTGACGAAATATTGTAAACCTTCCTAGTAAACTTTATATGATAGCATTTGCTGGTATTCAGTTCCATTTTGTTGTTTCTGCACCATTCAATCACTTCATTTAAATCATCCTGCAAGAGCTCGGTGTCATTTAAACTTTCTATTGTCCTGGCAAATTTCAGATCATCAGCGTACAGAAAACATTTCGAATGATGCAAACTGTACGGTAGGTCATTGATGAATATATTAAACAGTATCGGCGCTAAATGGGAGCCTTGTGGTGCCCCAGAAGTAATATCACGGTTTGTAGATTTGAAACCATTTAGGACAACATAGAATTCACGGTTAGTTAAGTATGATCTAATCCAATCCAAAAGAGGTCCAGTAATTCCGTAAGCTGTTAGTTTGTACATCAGTATAGAGTGTGAGATTCTATCGAAAGCCTTACTTAGATCAGTATAAATAACATCAAACTGTTTATTTGTATCAAGAGCTTGCATTAAAGACTCTGTAAAAGTTACCAAGTTTGTGCTTGTCGACCTAGCCGCTATAAAGCCATGTTGATGATCACTGACATATGACTTAAAGTGGTTTTGTATATGGGCGCTGATCGAAGACTCAAATATCTTTGCAAATGTAGAGATAATTGAAATTGGTCTGTAGTTTTTTATATTATCTTTACTATCAGCTTTGTGAACGGGGACAACTTTAGCTGTTTTCCATTCTGATGGGAAAGTGCCTGACAACAGTGATGTGTTATAAATAATTAAAAGCGGTGAAACCAGTTCCATTGCGCATGTAGAGATAAATATTGGTGGTATGCCATCCGGACCCGCCCCTTTTGCAATATTTAACGTTTTTAACTTTCTTAATAAACTGTTTCTGTCCAGAACCGGGTTAGTTAGGCATTGGCTGTTATTTATTAAATTTTGCAAATTGTCAGACCCGTAATTACTGTCATCGTCGTCCAAAGTGTAGACTGAAGAAAAGTGGTTAGCAAAGAGATCACAAATGTTTGAGCCACTAGATGTTGTAGTTTGTCCGTCAGTCATGGTCAAAGGGTATGTACTAGTTCCACCGCGTCTGGCCTTTACATGAGCCCAAAAAAGCTTAGTATTATTTTTTGAATTCTGCCTCTAGTTTAGTCATGTAGGAATTATACAGATCTTTCGCTAAATTTTGACACCGTTTTGCAATTAGTTTTAACTCAATTTTATCCATAGGATTTTTATATTTTTTATAACGGAGCCTAATATTTTGTTTTTCTTTTAATGATCTAATTAGTGATTTATTAAACCAGCTAGGGTATCGGTTATTTAAGGGTTTACAATTAGGTACGTACTTATCAATAGCTATTCGCAGAACATTATAAAATATTTTCAACATTTCATTTACATTACTTTTGTTCGCAAAGAGCTGATACCAGTCCTGTTCATTTAAAAATTCTTTAATCTTTTCATAATTTGCTTTATGCTATTATATTATATATATAATTTGCTATTGCTAATTATAAATATTAATACTTTTATTTATATTTTTACTATTAATAAATATTCTATACTAATTTCTAATTTAGGTATATTGTGCAGAGAGAGAAGTTTTCTAACAGAAAGCAACTTATAGAATAATCTTGATTTGGGTTTTACAAGTATGAAATGTCACAAATATTTGTAAAACCCTTGGCAGTAACTTTGTTTTGGTCCTTTCGACTGGACTATATTGGATTCATAGGGATCCAAAAGAAGCGGCTTTTCGATTAGCCGTTTTTTTTAATCTACTGCCAGAGGTCCCCACTTTCTGGCAGCCTGCGACCCCATCGACGGCTGGTATCGCCGCTGATGCCCTCTACGCTCGGGATCGGCCCTCTCCCGATCCCGTACAGCGGTCTCTTAAGTAAGTAATAAAAGTAAACAACTACGTCGGTGATGCTTAGAGGACAGTTATACTATATAATAATATACTGAAATAGAAATCAATGATCTGTAAAACAATCGTTTAAAAGTTGGCGCAGTTACTTTCTTCGGCAACCATCAAAAATAAACTAAACCAATGGACGAAATAAGCATTATTATGTGTCGTTTACTGGGTCCTAGATTGTTTTAATTAGTAGGATTAATATTCTGCTAAAGCTTTAGCGTCCGATTCGAACCCGGAACTTTTACAACGAACAAAAAAAATTGTGATTAATTTATGCTAAACTTAAAATGTACCACAGAATTAATTGATGTAAGTCAATGTGTAACAAACGGTATTTTTTATTGTAATCTGTGGCAGTCTTCTTGCGTGTACCCTGTGTTCGCTCATTAAAAACTTTAATGGAAGATATCCGCAAATGGTTACGCTTGGATGAGAAACCATTCAAGCTTATCACATGCTGGCTGAAATTATGAAATCAAGAAATCATGTTATATGGTGAAAGTATTGTTGAATAATATTTATTCTTTAGAGAATAAGCAAAGGCTGGACACCTAGCTCTGTATAAACTTTTTTTTTCAGATTTAATTAAGGTTGTCTCTTGTTAGATTGTACCTGCACTCGGTCGCTAGGAGGGAACTGAGTCCCGCCTGCCACCACTGCGACTGCAGTGAGGACACGGCCCAGCACACGCTGGCGGTCTGCCCCGCATGGGCGGCGCAGCGCCGGGCCCTTACTGCAGTCATCGAAGTGGATCTCTCGCTACCGGCCGTAGTACGCTCCATGGCCGGTAGCGACAGTTGTTTTACCGCGGTCGCAACCTTCTGCGAGGTAGTAATCTCGCGGAAGGAGGCGGCGGAGAGGGCCCGGGAGGACGACCTCCACTCGGACCCGATCCGCCGCCGGCGAACCGGGCGGGCGGAGGCCCGCCTATCACAGCCTCATGCCGCCCTGAGTGTGGCCGCGGGTGGACGGGGTGGGTTTCCCCTCCACCCGCATTAGTTTGGCCAGCCGCGAGGGGAGCGGCGTCCGCGTGTGCCGGACGTCGCCTAAAAAGAGAGGAAAATATCGAGACGGAGCCCGCACTAGGAGCGGGCTGGCGCTAGGAGGGGTTAGATTGCCCAATAACTGTGATTCATACAGCCATTTAGTGGCATGAGTTTGACGCTCGCAACAAGAACTTTACATTTAGACAACTTTCTACTACGGTTCCATTGTAACATTATATTTGCCTAAAAAAGTATTTATACTCTAAAGTTTGGTATTTAGCTTTGTCTTTATGTTAAAAAGAATATAGTTAATTTTAAAGAAACCTGTTCGAAATTTAAGAATAGAAGGAAAAATAAATTTAAGAACTCAGATTCCTATTTAAACTTGTGCCACGAATATTTAAACCAGATGGTTAAATACGATACATAATTTCAAACTTGTTATGTCTATAAGTTATAAACAAGAGGATTTCGATAAGGTAATTGGATTTATATGTCAAACGTCATTGTTCGCAACTGTTACCTAAATATTAATTTAATGTGCCATAATAATAAAAGAGGTTAGCTATTTTGTTTTTCAGTCTTTTGATCTATGATCAATATTGTATCATCACTAATCATCAGTTAAGGCTCTGTATTAATTATGTGTATAGTAAAGCTAAGTACACTGATGCGTAGAGGTGAGCAAAATGAAGTGAAGACAGTTTTACGTTTGGAAGTTGGCGGATATAAGAGTAGAGGAAGACCAAAGAAAAGGTGGATGGACTGCGTGAAAGAGGTTAAAAAGGAAGTAAGCAGTGAACTGATGAGTGATAGAATAGAATTGAAAAAGACGAAAACTCATTACGCCGTACCCAAAAAAATTTGGGAAAAGGGTGACGATGGAAATGCTAAGTACAAAAAAGAATTGCTTCTTATCGTATCCTAAACTTGAATGAATATTGCACCTATACTTTTTGATTAAAAATTAAGCATTCATATATTTATAAGATACAGTAATACGTAAACCTCTTAAATGCTTAATTATTAAACCTAACACTATGATATATTTTTTAATTTAAACCAGTAGTTCCTGAGATTTACGCATTCAACCAAAAAAAATAACAAACACATCAACAGTTTTAGTAGTTCACTGCTGGACATAGGCCTCTCCTTGGAAAGAACGTTCAGCTCAAACTCTTCAGTAATAATTAACATTACGCAAATATATGCGGGTTCATTTTAGAACACAGTAGATGTTAGACATATAAAAAACTACAAAACATACACCTACATAACAACGTTTATGACATGATTTGCGTTGACATGCAAAGATAGGTATATCTAATGATTGTATATCAACGTTTATCACGTCACAAGATTATAATAATATTTACTATAAGCACTTGATAACCTATAAATATATCAGCATCATGCAAACAAACTATATTAATCTACTTGTTTTTTTTTTGGTTATACTCTTAAGGAAACCTCAATGGAATGGTATTATACTCGTACATGTAGTGATGTTTAACCCGTTAGTACTTTAGCAGTCCTTGGCAACAGCAGTCTGGTTGCTGAGTGTTTATGTGTATCAAACTTACATCACCGATACGAATTACAAATCGTCTAAATTGATAAGAACCTCTAATGGCCTTGCGAGAAAAAAAAACGGCGGCGACAATAACAATGACACAGCACATCCTCCTTTTTAGAAATCGTGACTAATATTATCAACTAGTTGCGGAGTTTGAAAATCTGTGACCACTCATGGCATTGTCAAATGAAATCTATATTTTTTTGAGTCCTGATTTAAACTAGAGGATAATATTATAATGAGTCATTTAATCTTGCCCGTTGAGATGAATGACGGAAAAAATTTACGAAAAAGAGACATGACATTCCCAGCTGTTGCAGTAAGCTCACAACTCTAACCATTCCAGTGTCGATCTATATATATATATAAGACTTAATATCTATACTAAAATTGTAAATAGGTAAAGTTTGTAAGTTTGTATGATTGGCGGAATTTCCGGTATCGCTGATCTGATTTTGAAAATTATTTCACTGTTAGAAAGGTGTATTTGAATACATTATCCCTAAGTGCTTTAGTCCGTGTGGTGACGGATTAAGAATACAGAGTGTCACCACCCCTATTCATCCCGTGGGTGTCGTAAGAGACGACTAAGGGAAAAACTACGCAGAACAACAGCACTGCAGAGAAGGATAACTTGACACAAACCTTACACCAACCCGTCTGGCCAGCGTGGTATAGTAGGCCAAAACCTCCTTTCCAAGGAGACTCTTATGTCCAGCAGTAGACTATTAAAGGCTGTTGATGTGTGATGTGATGTGAAGTGCTTTAGAGCATTTTATAAAATAGATATTTATGATTTACTGAGGCTAATGGAATTCTTTTGGTTTATTTTTTAATTTACTTAGAGACACAAGTTACAGACACGCATACAAAAACTTTTATTTTCTAATAATTTAATATTATTAGACTTTTACCTTAGATCCTTTCGCTACCTTTTTTGCAGAGAATGCATCAAAACACGCTAATATAATACTTAAACGATATATCTCTAGAAGATTTAGCAAGATTGATAAAATTTCTTTTTTATATTGAAACTTCTTCCAAATTGCTTCATAATTGAAACTATTCAATGTTATTGAAGTCGAATCCTATCAAATTACTGAAGGAAAACCATTATTAGACGTATGTACTAATCCGAGTCCGTGTGGTGACGGATTAAGAATACAGAATGTCACCACCCCTATTCATCCTATGGGAGTCGTAAGAGCCGACTAAGGGAGCAAACTATGCAGGACAACAGCACTACAAAGAGAAGGAAAACTTGAAACAAACCCTATACCAACCCGTCTGGCCAGCGTGGTATAGTAGGCCAAAACCTCCTTTCTAAGGAGAGGCCTATGTCCAGTAGTGAACTATTAAAGGCTGTTGATGATGATTGATGACTAACCCGTAGTGGACGTACATGTGTAACAAACTAAAATTCTTCTTGTTCTACATGTGAAGTTACTAAAACTGAAATATGGTGGTTTGGGACCTACTAGCTCCTGTGCCATCGCCTGATGTTAATCTAAAAGTTAAGCCTTTTCAAACTTGTTGACTGGCATTGTCTTTTTTTTTTTATCTGTAGTTTTGGGTCCTCATTAAGAAGCAATATTTTAGGGCGCCTTGTACAATTCTTCAAGTTATGAACCTCACCAACTAAAAACTTCAACGGTCGATGGAATGCAGGTATAGTGTTTTGGAACAGCTTTCCTTTATACTCTTCATAAAGTGGAGTGAATAATTTTCAAAAATGTTTTGTTTAAAGGAGATAACATTTATTTTGTTAATAAAAAGATATCCAATATTTACCTTAATATTTATTTTGAAATAAATAGTCTAGAGCACAGAATATTCCTCTGTAGTACTGAATATTCTTATAAATACTTCAAGCATCATTTAAGTAAAATAAATTAGCTTTACTTATAATGAAAATGACAAATAATAAGTACACAAATTCTATCTTATAATTTATTAAAGCAAAAACAATATTATATTTAAAAAAAATATCTTGAGTTAGACAGTTAACAAGCTTAACCGGGAAAGTCACGGAATCGAACCGACTAAAACCTCACGGTGTTCCGTTACAAGTAAGTCTAATTAGTTGCAAGTTCGGGTGTCCCCTAGAAAGTAAGTCCTCGAGATGACAATTATGTTACTAAAGCCAAGGTTAAGTCATAACCCGAGGAAACTTATTTACGAACAAATATGCATTCTAGTGAATTTTGAAAACAATGAGCAGCATTACACACTGGTTTCTACAATCTGTCGGTTGATGTGATCTAAATAAACTCGCAGATGTGCATAATTAACACAACTCTGACGTCCACAGCGTATAAAGGGTTGATTGTTAGCTATCTAAAATTCTTGGCCATTGCTGATAGAAAAAGCACAAGACGTAGTTTTACCTTATTCTGACTTGTTGTATCTCAGTTAAGTTTTTTTTTAAAAGAACTGTTAACCAGTGCGTACTATGATAGGTAAATTAAAAAAAATTTAAAGCAGCGTATTTTAGTTACTAGTACCAAAAATTGAAGACCAAATTTATTTCAGTTATGTAGTTTACATTTTTTTCTGCAAAAGCGCTACAATAAACTAGCAAATACAGATGTGTTCGAAAATATTAATCTGTATATTAAATACTATTCCTTCTTGTTTTTACAAATTCGTCTATGAAAGTATATAAAAGTAACACAAAATAGGGTTCGTACTAAAGAAATAATTTTTACTATACTGTAAGCGATTAAAAACAGAACAATTATTGAGCTAAATATAAAAACGGGATCCAGCGTAAAGAACTCATAGAAAGGCAGGTCTACTGTGGGTGGCTTAATGTTGACATCTGTCTTATGCTTTGCGACGTATTCTATCCAGTAGATCGCTGTATTCATGGCAGATAAAGGCCTATCTCTCCACAGCTGTGATAATAGCTTTGCTCTCTTTTGGAACCTGTGGATCAAGAATAGAACGTTACAACTACACTCTCCTACGGAACCGCAGAACGACGGCCTCTTTAACTAGGTTACACGCACAAGTTGCTAACACTAAGTTCACAAGAAAGTTGTGGTGACTTCCACATACAGTGAAAAAATAACATACTACAGCGCCATCGCACGAAGACACGCCGAACTACGGAGTAACTGCAAATCTTGTATCACGATATGAAAAGTTTCCACGCCGATTAGCATAATTAATCTCAGATATTCTCAAATTTAGTACCTATATCTGTGACCGACATGCCTTTGTATTTATTTCTCCCAGGGTGGAAAATAGAACCCACGACCTCTGGCGTAGCGTAGACTAGAAAGTGAGAATTGACTGGTTAATTAATTAATTGATTGCACTGTGAGTGGAGGTCAAAAAGTAAAGTTTGCCAATCAAGTGGTTCCATCCAACATTACTTTTTTGACATCTACTCACACCACAAGAAACCAATCAATTCTCACTTATTTCATTTAGAAAACTCCCTATTAGGAGTGGTAAAAATAAAAATAAAATAGTATATTTTGTTGTGTTGTATTTATTCAAATTTATATTTATTACACTATTCCTCGTAATAAAATTAATAATAATATTTTGGACATCTGACACACAACGCCATCTAGCTTCAAACTAAGCAGAGCTTGTACTAAGAAAACTAGTTTGGCAAATAGAATACTTGCAACTTCCAAACTCCGATACAAATATTTGCAGAACATACAAACATTTGGTCCGACCCGGGCATCGAACCCGAGACCTAAGCACAGCAGTCACATGCACTACCGCTGCACACTAATTAAAACATTTGACGGGCTGAGAACCATAATGGTACAAGTGACAAATTTTAAAAATGTGATCTAAGTATGGTAAACCATCTGTCATGTGCATATATTTAGTATGCTAAACCGATGCAAATGATTTTGTGAACAGCTCCATCTGTGCGTTGGCTGGGATAACTGCCAGTCTTAGTACTAACGTAAGTTCGTTACAACCATAAAGGTATAAGTGATTAAAACAACAAAATGGCGAAGCGACGCGCTAACAAGGTTTTAAATAACGAAAAAATAATTAGCTTTTTGGAAGACAGCGATGATTCTGTGGAAGGTACGTAATATATTTAGATCCTACTATGTTATCTGTGTAAAATATTGACTAAAACCTAGTTAGGTCATAATAAATTTTAATAAGAATCTGACACGATGCATAACTTTACTTTTCATACTTTTTGTATGGAATTGAATTGTACACATTTTAGGTGAGACAAAAGTCACAAAACGCTTTCTCTGTATAGTAAATATTTTTTAGCGTGTGTGTATGATTATGAAGTTTAAAGTAAATTAATCACTACTTGCGCGCAACTATTATAAATCAATTTATCGTCAAGTTTTGTTTACATGTTACTTGTACCGGTCTGGTTCAATATTTTAACATATTGTTTTATGTGTAGGCATCACTTGTAACAGTTGGTAGATAAATACTACTATATTTTCATGTCTTTGTTGTAGATGTTACTTGGAAACCGAGTCCAAAAAAAGTTAATAAATACTCAAATATTTCAAAAATTCAGAATAGAAAAAGAGGACATGAAGTTGATTTCATTGTACAAACATCACCGAACTTGTTACCGATTGCATCCTTCTCTTCTCCAGTCGTGCCAATCACAGACGTTTCAGCTGCCTCAACCCCATACGAATCACCTCAAGATAAGTCTGTGCCACCTGCAATATCGCCAGTTATAGGCGTGCTGGTTAGGTCTCCCACAAGTCATTGTCAGTCGCCAGGTTTGCCCGATTCACCTTCCATTTTACAAGAACAATTTGATGAAGATTACCTAGTCCAAGCCATGTCACCGCCAGATGTGCTAATACCACCTGCTACTCCACCTACTGTGCAAATACAATCTACTTCCCAGCCAGTCAAGATAATTCAATTCGCAATCTCACCAACTGTACAGGGGCCAACTGGATCTCCGCCAGTTATCCCCGATTCACCTCCAATTTCGCAAGCAAAGTCTGATGAAGATTCATTTACACAAACTTCTAAACAATCACGAAAGAGACAAAAGAACATCAGTACCTGGAAGAAGAATATAAGAAAACAGAGACGAAATGAAGGAAAAGAGTATGTGTCAACTAAAGGCAAGACAGTACCTGCTAAGGTTTTGGAATCATTTAATCATGTTTGCCGATACCAATGCAACAGTTTTACTGAAAGCGAGCGTAAAACAATTCATTCGGAGTATTGGAATTTAGGAAGCTGGGAAGCACAAACAAATTTTATAAGATACTGTGTTCAAATACAGAAACCGAAACGTTCAATCAGCAAGAAGAAAGTAAGTACGGTAATAATATTAAATACTAAAAGAGTATGTAAAGACTTTTTTTTGAAAGCGTTGACTATTTCTAATAGAAGATTTACCAACGCTGCTTTTACTAAAACTCCAATCACAGGATTACCTGTATATGACAAACGTGGTAAACATGAACCCGGTAATAAAACCAATGAAGACAAATTGCAAGACATACGGGCACACATCAAAAGTTTTCCAAAATTTAAAAGCCACTATTCACGCGAGGATGCACCCTTTAAAAGATACCTTTCACCTGAGTTATCAGTGGCAAAAATGTATTCTTTATACAAAGAAAAAGTTATTGCCGAGGGCAAACAGCCAGTTAAGGACCAAATATACAGAAAAGTATTTAATAACGAATTCAATCTTGGATTTTACAAATTACGAAGTGATACGTGTAATACATGTGACAGGCTAGAGAATCTATACAAATGTGAAGAAAATGCAGAAAAGCGGCAAAATATCAAGGAAGAAAAAACAAAACACTTATTAGACGTTGAAAGAACAAGAGAAAGTAAACATAAGGATAAACAAGATAAAACAGTTAATTTATTCACATTTGATTTAGAAAAAACATTACCTACTCCTTACTTACAAACAAATCTGGTGTATTACAAACGCCAGTTATGGACCTACAATTTAGGGATTCATGACTGTAAAACTGGCGATGCACACATGTACATGTGGAGTGAGAACATTGCATCTCGAGGAGCATCGGAAATAGCTTCTTGTCTATTAAAGTATGTCAATAATGTCGTTCCTAAAGACTTCAACCACTTAGTTGCATATAGTGACAGTTGCGGTGGTCAAAATCGTAATCAAATAATTTGCAGACTTTGGATGTATATCGTAGCCCATACGCACATCGCTACGGTAGATCATAAATTTATGGTATCTGGGCACAGTTACTTAGAAAATGACGCCGATTTTTCTCATATAGAAAAACAGAAAAAGAAAACCCAGCATATCTATGTCCCTGAAGACTGGATGAATTTAGTTGAAAAAACGCGCAAGAAATTTAAAGTTCATAGAATGCAACAAGACGATTTCATTTCTACAGATCCTATTTCAATAACTTCTACAATGACAATCACAAAATAGTCATAATTTTAATAGGAGGGATGTACTTGACAGCAAATTATCAATATTTGTCCACAGCTCCGTGAAAAGGGGATCCAACTAAAGTCTGGAAATTTTTAAGATCAATGGGAGTAGTCAAATCTTTTAATAAATCGTTTTCTAAAAATATAAACTTAAACTTAATCAACATTTCACTGCTTCATCAAATTTTGATAAAATGACAAAAGATGCTACGAGTACACTGAAACATCTTACTTCTGTCCCGACTCCTGACTGTTTTCCCTTCTTCTTTAGTCAACTTGCAGAGTGTGATGTTAGGAAGAGTATAGTGTATATTACTTCGAATGCAGTGGGTTCTGATTGTCAGAGGCGCAATATAACTGTCCCAATCCTCGATGATATTGTTTGTTATATGCTAAACTATTCGATTACCTACAGCGTATTTCCAACGGCTTGGAAGGATGCTGAAATTATACCCATCCCCAAAAATAAAAACCCCGCATCCTTCTTCGATTACCGCCCTATTTCCGTCCTCCCCTTTCTCTAGAAGGTCCTTGAACGTCTTATTCAGTCTCAACTTACGAATTTCCTATCCAGAAACCTGCTTCTAAATGCTCTCCAGTCCGGTTTTCGACCTGTTCTATGAACACCACTGCCACTGCTACCCTAGTCTATATTACGGAGGATATCAGATCTGCTATGGAGAACGGCGAACTTACAGTCCTAACCTGACTGGACTTCAGTAACGCATTCAACGCTGTCGACTTTGACGTTCTGCTGTGTATATTACGCCCTCCTAACATATCTCTAGCTGCGATTGACTGGTTTCACAACTACCTGCTTGGTCGCCGGCAACGCATTAGTATTGAGAGCATCGTTTCATCTGGGTCTAGTACTACAGCCGGTGTACCACAGGGCGGCGTGCTATCTCCCCTACTTTTCTCTGATTTTATCAACACTATCACTGTTTTTTTTTTTCTTCCTACCACCTATACGCGGATGATCTCAGATCTATTCTAGGGCTACACCGATTAATTTGGCTGATGCTGTTAGCACCACAAACGTTGACCTAGATAAAATATGTAGATGGAGCAACTCCCACGGTCTGAAAATCAACCCAACTAAAACTCAGGTCATTGTTGTTGGAAATTCGAGAATGATCTCCTAAATTGACTGGATAAAACTGCCTCAAATCACTTGCAACGGCACACTTATTCCGTACAGTGATAGGGTCAGAAACGTAGGTATTTACATTGAGACTACCTTATCTTAGGAATCTCAGTTACAAGAGCTGAGTTGCAAATTTTTTTTTTTTTACGTGTGGAAATCCCCTCGCACCGTCACCCCACCGGGGTTTGCGGCGGGGTGGTGTGTCGGACTCGGACCGACTAAAACCACACGGTGTGTTACTCTGCGCCTGTAATAGGAGGGAACAAGTGAAAGAATTCTACCTAGGAGACGTCAATGTAAATTAAATTCTACAAAGTCGACAAGGTCACATTATATCTTATAATGTAATATGTATTTAGAACTTATAAATCACACGTATTTATCATATATATAAAATTCTCGTGTTACAATGTTCGTTCCCGTACTCCTCCGAAACGGCTTGACCGATTCTCATGAAATTTTGTGTGCACATCGGGTAGGTCTGAGAATCGGCCAACATCTATTTTTATATATACCCCTAAATGGTAAGGGTGACCCATCCCTATTTTTTTTTTTTTTGATTTGCAATACAACGTTTGCCGGGTCAGCTAGTTCAATTATATATATCTAATAACACCACCTCTAGAATGTTATATATTCACCTTAGTCCAAGAAATAGATGTATATACTACTTTGCTTTCATCTTCCTTTGTATTTCCTAATACACCAGCCACTATCCACTTCCCTTCATGTTTTTTCACCATACCACGGTTGCCTGTAAGAGATTGCCTCTGAGCGATAAGGCCGCCACTTGTACTAACCTAGTTTAAGAAAATTACTGTATATTTATATCTGATGTACAATAAAGCGATATATTACTATTATTATTTGGCTTCAGTTTTGTTAGGAATAACCACCAATCTCTCCGTTCCGTGATATTCAATCTGCTCTTATTTTGTTAAAAGGTTTGCAACGACACTAAAACTTTTTTCGACAAGATATGACGAAACGCTATCAAAAGCTTTCTCGCAATTCCTTACAGTATAGAATATTTTTCAGGGTATTTCTGCCTGCAGCCAAAATTTTTGATACCCTCTTTTAAATTTCGGATTCAGCTCCTCATTAATGCTAAGCTCGAGTAGCTCCTCTTATAATATCACATTCTACACTTCATCATCATCATCGTCAACAGCCTATAATAGTCCACTGCTGGACATAGGCCTCTCCTTAGAAAGGAGGTTTTGGCCTTCCATACCACGCTGGCCAGACGGGTTGGTACAGGGTTTGTTTTAAGTTTTCAATCTCTACACTTCTACACTTTAATTTCATCAAATGGATTTATGATCCATAGTGGTAATTCGGTCGTCAAAATATCTTAAGTCTGATTTTGAAGTCATCATGCAGGGCAATTAAATGTTGAACGTATGTCTGAATATCCTCATCAAGACATGTGACAAAACTGTAGCTTATTACAATATTTTGCTTCATAAATTTCAATTTTCCAAGAAAGGCTGAAATTACACCCTTTGTTTTTATTAAATTGAGGCTGTCCCCTTGTCCCCATATCTGTCCTTTAGTGAACCACCACATAGACGCGTAATTTTTTTTACTAATAAAGTAGGGACAAAAAGTTCACCGTTTCGGCTTTCTGTTGTTTTATGGAAGTATCTAACAATGACTCTGTTCAGTATTTAATTTTTAATACGTACATGCCTCACGCAAACATTACAAATATACTTATTACAACATAAAATAAAAGTATGTATAACAAAAAGGCAGGTTAATACTTACTTTTTCCGACACTGGCAAACATTAACATCGATTCACTTTAATTTATTTTTTTTCGAAATTGAGGAAACAAATGAGTAGCGTTTATCCTTGGCAATCGTATTTATAATATTAGTGAAGAATCAAACAAATTCATGCAAGATTGCAAGTACACACACCACAAGTCGTATTTCGTCCCTTTGCACCTCTGAATAACCGTTCCGCAACGGCGGCGGCGGCAGCGGCAGCGCTTTGCAAATCTCGACACCATTGAGTTAAAACAACACCTCGACACGTATTGAATATGAAATTTGCAAGTTTTTACAAGTAACAGTCGCTGAGCTTAAAATATTATCTGCGTACATTGATAGGTAAAGTCAAGCCAACATTTAAGTTTTTCACTATCGAAAGCAGATAAATTTTCGTTGACCCTCTCTTACAAATTGTAAATCACCAATTTTTTATCACGCCAACGTAGACCCCCTAGTTGAGTCTCCCGTGAACCCCTAGGGGTCCACCAGACCACTTTGGGAACTAAGGCACTAGACGAACAGGCCAGACGTAAGTATGTTTTAGTATAAGTATTATTAGTAGATAGTGTTGCCTCTAAGCAAAAATGAAATTAAATGGTCGAACTAAGAAAAGACTTACTTATCTTGAAGTATTTTCGATAAAGCATTTTCTAAAGCGTCGCTATTAAACATTGTTAAATCCACTGTAACTCCTAAACCATTTTCAACGGCAAAGAAACCATTAGCAAATTGATCACCAAACAGTGGTACACTGACTACCGGAACTCCGCAGTGTATGGCCTCTGAAGTACTCAACATACCAGAATGAGTTATAAATGCCATAACTTTAGGATGACCTAAAAACAATGATTTAAATATTAAATTTGATACAAATTGTTAAAGTTGTGTCCGAGATACAAGACATTTTATAAGGTCAGTTAGTATGGGTACACGAATTTAATTTATATTATTAGATCTAACTAATTACTCTGCTCTGCTACTTTCAGAGCGATTATTCTCAACCTAATTTCGTGATAAGTTTCATGTTAATTGATTTACAGAAACTTACAGATTTTAAATAATTATAACTATATTACTTACATAATACAGAAACTTGTGGCATCCATTTTCTTAAAAATGCGTTACCAGGCGGAGACCAGTCAGAGATGTCTGTTTTCCAAATAAACCTTAGTTTACATTTTGCAATCAAGCTTTTTATTTCGTCAATAACATTTGGAGGAAAATTAGTCGCCACTGTCCCAAAACTTAAATACACCACCTCTGTGTCAGATGTATCCAAAAACTTTCGTAGATCCTGAAAGAAACTACTTATCAGTAACAGTACTAATCAGCGAACTATATTCCTACAATTAGATATGTAATAAGTTTCTTTTTTTCTCTTTGTTTAGGGATTTTGGTACATAAAAATGACGATGCTAATCTCAAAGTACCTAATACTTAGCTTACTACTACATAAATTATTATACTAACTACATAACTATATACTTTAGACTAAGACTAAGACTAACTTATACTTAAGACTAAGTTATAAAGCATTTTAACTGCCCCCGAATTTGGATCAGCTAAAATGATTTAAAATATGCTAACATTGTTGTTGTTGTTAAGCTTATTTAAACTTACTTAACAATTGGATTCTTTTAGCATCATACCGTACACATTCCATAAGTGTGTAAAGGTTGTCTTAGTAAGAGTGCACTTTTTAAATTTAGAAACATTTTGTTTTCGTGCAAGTTGCAACTCTGAAATTTGACAGCTGTCACCTATGTTTATTCTGATTATTGAAAATGGAGCGCTTTTCGAAAGAACAACGCGTTATAATTGTGAAAACTCATTACAAAAATAGGGAAAGTTACGCTGAATCCGCTCGCAAACTTCGCCAAATTTTCAGTCGAGAAAGTGCACCTAATGTGTGAACCATCCGAAAAGTGTTTATAAAAAGTTTACATCTATATTATGTATGCCCAGTATATCCATGTAGTACAACATCTTACAACCGACTACAATTTAAATAATTTATCTCATTATACACCTGCCACACACAAATTTCTGCATCACCCCAAGGTTGACTGAAAGAAAATGCCTATGGCATTAAGTCCGCCTTATGCAATGTATTTGCAGGAAGTATAAATAAAAAAAAAATTGAAGAAACTGGGTCGATTATAAATATTAAGAATCCTTTGCGTCAACGTACCGGTCAATCTCTTAAAAACATTGCTGCTGTAAGCGAGAGTGTCGCCCAAAAACCAGAAAACATCAAATCGGCATCGTTTTCAACAACTTCAAGTTTCACGAAGCACTACGCAGCGAATTTTAACAAAAGACCTCCACTTTCATGCGCACAAGATTCAGCTAAGACAGGAGCTCAAACCAACAGAACATGAAAAGCGCCGGCATTTCGTTCATTGCGTAATGAAGCAAAGTGAAGTCGATGCCAATTTTTCGAAAAAAATCATCTTCTCCGATGAAGTGCATTTCCATCTGAATGGTTTCGTGAATACACAAAATTGACGAATTTCGGGCTCAGAAAATCCTCATGCAATACATGAGAAACAAATGCACCTTTGCATTGTAATGCAATGGAATTGGGCCTTACTTTTTTGAAGATGAGGCCGAAATTGCAGTGACTGTGATCGGCATTCGTTACAGGAATATGATAACGGAGTTCTGGTGGCCTCAACTGGACGGATCTGGTTTCAGCAGGACAGCGCCACCTGCCATACCGCGCATGAAACAATCGACTTATTGCAGCAACGTTTTCCAGAACACATTTTCTGACGAAAGACTGAGTTCCGGTGAGATACAACCACATCTCTGTGTAAAAGTTATGGAAAATTTCATGGCCTGTCATCAGAGCCGTGGGTGCCATTTGCCGGATATTTAATTCCATACTTAATCGTAACATGTCTTCTTTACGATCCAATAAAAATATCACAGCTCTTTCATAGATCTTTCAAAATACGTGTTTTTATTTCAAAATGAAAAAGTGCACTCTTACTGAGACACGCTTTCTATGGTAGATGGCATCATGTTTTCCACATGCGTCGCAATTGGGTGACTCAACCTCAAATACATCACAGTTGACTGAATCATTTACGAGTATTAAACTTAGTATTAGAATCAAAATACGTTCCTACTTTTCTAGTTGTTTTAGATCCATCGGTATAAATTATATAATGCACCTCATCAAAACATACAGCCAACAACAGGTTTCTTTTTTGAGCCCAAAATCTTTTAACTAATAGTCTTTTTAGTTCTAATAAAAGTTGACAATTAATATGATACGAATAAGAAATAATCTTTAAGCAATCTTTATACGACAAATACAGCCTTCTTATTCTCATTGGTAGAACACCCTTTTCGCTTTCCATAGTGGGAATTGGGGTTGACTTAATAAATCATAACTCTAAGGGCTTGATTTTGTAGCCTGTCTGTCACTTAGTGTATGACAGTTAGCAGCATTATCGTACAAATAACTACCTTTGCTGTTGATAACTCTAAACCAAGCTGTTCTACCAAATTAACAAAAACTTTTAAAGCGTCCTGTATGCTTATCACAGTTCGTTCAATTTTATAATGTTTAGTAAACAGAACAAAATCATCCGCGTATTAACAAATGAATACTTGATTAATATTTTGACATATCCCAACGGTAACAATGTTAAAAAGTATATGATTGATTGTGATTTATTTGGTGACAATATTTGATTATGTTCAAAAAACCAAAAGTTTTTGCAGTACCAAAAGAATTTGAACAATTATTCTATTTCGATATTGGTATAATTTTAATGAGTATGATTCGCCATCGAATAGGGATAAAAGGGATAAATATCAAATGATATAATTGAAGTAAAAATACCTTTCCTATATCGAGAATCAACCGGTTATTAACATCACGTCAGGATATTCCGCGGCTGTGAAGGTCACTCACGGCATTATGAATGTTAATACCGAAAACCCAATAAAATTAAAAGACTGATAATTCACTCAGTTTCACACTCTACACTACACACACAACCTAATATTGACACTGTTCAAAATAAAATTAGAGGGACTCGTTACAACACGACGAATTATTAACACAACAAAACTTTCTTTCGGCCAAGGGCCGACTGACTGTACTTACTGGATGATCTAATTAAAAACGCGTGTCCTTCATCCTGATGACGCAATAATCAACATATTTCGTTCGATTTGAGTGTAGAAAAAGCGGCAACGTGTGATGATACCGCGCCGCGTATACAGCTGATCGCCACCTAATGTCAATGTATTATGACTGTATTTACACATGATGTTGCAAATTACTGAATATTTTTTGTTCATATTTTGCATATCGTCTAGATATGAAGTGCAGAATATGTGGTTTAAAGATTCGTCAAAAGAAAAAAATATGTTAAATACAAATTTTACAACTGTACAAGTTCCATGATGGTTGCTTCTCTTGGATAGGACACATCCTCTTAACATGTATGAATTTCCAAAATCCTGAATATTGGGTGACCGTAAAGACAAAGTGTCCCAAGTTGAACCGGCACCCGTATCCATATATATATGAGAGCAAGGTAGAACTTTTGAAGGCTAATCAGAATACAGTACTGTATATCCATGGTCCGTCAGAATTTAAACGTTTGAGTCTCCTCATGCTAACAATTTCATGTTCACAACGAGATTGCTGAAGTATTTCTTTTTCTTTCACCAAATCTACATCTTTAACCACACCATAGGTTCACCTCGTCGATATTTTGACACATATACTCCAATTCCTTGAATTTCTCACATTTCAATGGTTTCTCCGCATCTTCTTTGCTCTTGAAAATAATGTCAACTTTATATGGGACTCTTTTTTAATTTTCAAAATGTTATCAATCTTTTCTGCTTTTAATAGTTTTGCCATGCCAAATCGATAAGATGAAATATGTTTAGAAATTAACCTTACTGCGAACCCCTCCAGAATCTTGTAACCTCTTTCTACTGCCTCCACAGTCTGGTTACTGTTAACGTAATAACTACGTAATAACCGTTTTGATTTTCTGGTCACGGTAACAAACCCACCATAATCCTCTTCTCTGTCATCTTCTTCACTATTCTCCCTCAATCTCTTCTCCAGACCCTTTTAAGCCTCTTCACTCCTACTTTCTTTATCTTCACAGGCAATTATCATATCACGATTTTTCATACTTGAAAATCGCATAAAACTAACCTTCATCACGCTGTAAGATCAACATGTGGGTAGTTAAAAATAAAATTTCACGAGCAAACAGAAGCTCTGACGTGCGACTACTACGACCGTATAACACAGCAATGGCTAAATGAACTTATCATTTAGCCATTGCTGTGTTATACTTAGATATACTTATATATATGTGTTATACTTAGATATTACACTAGAATATTGAGACGATGCATATTACATGCCCAGAAAATTGACAATACTCGTTACATACTTCAATCGGACAATAAATGTCGAGCAGCCTGGAACATTATAAAAAAGAATAGTACCGATATCGATAATAACGCTGACATTACTTCTATAAAAATTGAACACTGCATATACACTCACGCCGATATGATTGCAAACAAATTTAATGACTTTTTTATTAACATGACAAACAAACCAAAAATCTGCATTTCTGAAACACCCATTAATTACAAACATACCCTCACTGACATCTCGGATACCATATTTTTAACTCCAACTAGTGAAGATACGGTGTATAAAATTATTAATTCTTTAAATCTAACTAACTCCACCGGGTATGACGACATTAATACCAAAATTCTTAAACGTTGCTCTAAATTTATATCTCATCCACTTACCTATATTATTAATCTATCATTATTTCAAGGTTTATTACCCAACAGACTAAAATATTCTATAGTCAAACCATTACACAAAAAAGGAGATAAAACTGACATGAATAACTATCGTCCGATTACTCTGATACCCATAATTTCTAAGATTTTTGAAAGAATCATGTACGAAAAGCTGCAGTCTTTTGTAACAAGGCATACGATTTTAAGAGAGGAACAGTTCGGTTTCAGAAAAAATAAGTCAACAACTCATGCATGTTTTTCTCTTGTGAAAATGATTACCACTAGTCTTAATGAGAAAAGGCAAATATCATCAATATTTCTTGATATGTCAAAAGCGTTTGACTTCGTTGATCACAAACTGCTTCTCTATAAATTAAACCGTTATGGTATTAGAGGAAATGCGTTGCACTGGTTAGAGACTTACCTAAATAATCGCCAACAATGCGTGGAGATATCTAGACACATATTATCAGAAAAGAAAGTGTATAGATCCGCCTATCGCCAAAACTCGTGTGGCGTTCCCCAGGGCAGTATCTTGGGGCCCCTATTGTTTTTGCTATATATTAACGATTTGCCCAATGTAACCCCATATTCATGCATTTTATATGCCGATGATACAACCCTTAGTATTGAACTCATCGATAACAATTTCACTAAATACGAAAAAGAGATTAATGACACGTTAAACAAAATAATAGAATGGTTAAAAGACAACAATTTACACGTTAATATCGGTAAAACTAAACTTATACAGTTCCAAACATACAACAGCAGACGTCACCAATTAGAAATAAGGTATGCAAATGACGCTATAGAAGAGGTTGAAAGTGCTACATTTTTGGGTATAACGTTGGATAGACATTGCAACTGGAAAGAACATATTGATACACTATGCACTAAACTGCAAAGATTTGTATATGTTTTGTACAGACTGACTCGCGTAGCTGGTATCAATGCTGCACTCTATGCCTATCACGGCTACATAGCATCAATTCTCCGGTACGGCATTATTATATGGGGTAATTCTGTTGATATCATTAAAGCATTCCGAGCCCAGAAAAAATGCATTAGATCAATAACTAAAGCCCAACCATTAGAAAGCTGTGTCCCACTCTTCAAACATTTAAAAATATTACCACTCCCATCTTTATACATATTCGAACTCTGTATCTTTGTACATAAAAATAAAGCTTTATTACCAGTACATAATGATGTTGTTACAAGAAAAAGCCGAAATATCCACAAATTATGTGTACCCCAACAAAGGATTAAATTATTTGCCAATAATGTTTACTGTATGGCAATTCGTGTTTATAATAAATTACCTAATGTTTTTAAAAACCTTAACTTCATGACATTTAAAAAGAAATTATTTGACTTCCTATTGTATAAGTGTTACTACTCAACAAATGAGTTTTTAAATGAAAAATTTGACTCAAATTATAAATTATACGACGACTTGCCTTTATATTCTCAATAATTAAATTCAATTTAATACCTTTTTTTTTTTTTTTTTTTTTTTTTTTTTTTCCGTGCGGAAATCCCCTCGGATACCACCTGTCGGTGGCATGTCGGACTCGAACCGACTAAAACCGCACGCCTTCGCCGGGTACTAATAGCCGGGGAACCAGGTATACCCTAGAAAGGAAGGCCCTGGTGCCCCGACATACCTCGGGTCATCTACAGACGAGTAGACGACCCCCGCCCCGTGTGGGAACCCCATGTTCCCTGTGCTCCCTGGAAGCGAGCGCGCTTCGCAACGCGCTCGCCGCCACCCCGGCCTGCTTCTGCTAGGGTGACAGATGGCCTCACCTGTAGATGGCCTCACCTGTTCAATTTAATACCTATAACATTGCTTTGAATATTTTTTTTACATTGTATTTTATAATCCTCAAGTATATTTAATAATTCTTGACATATTTTTTTAATCATTTTTGACATTGTATATAATAATTCTTGACATTGTATTTACTAATCCTTCCTGAAAATATTTGTACGCTGGAAACAGCAGAATATTATGGATGTCATATTATGTCTAACACCTGTACCTCAACAATATTCTGACAAATAAATATATTATTATTATATTATTATTATTATAAATCACTAAACAGACAACAGATGACATACATTATTTCCTAATCGCATTTCTTTTTTGTTTTGTATTCTAATGAATCATCATCATTCAAATATTCTAAACAGAGAGTGGTTACTCAAAACTTTTCTGGTCGTGGTAACTTGCATCATGTTAGAAAAAGATAAATTTCACAAAAAATAATTGAAAACAAACCTTATCTATTATTTGAGCATCTTCATTTATTTGCATGCCGCCAATTTCAATAACATTGGGACCGTGTAACCGCGGACCGGTTAGAGGAAAATACTGATTTAACATTATCAAAGACATGTTTTTACCGATTTCTTCCAATGATGGGACATCCGGATATAATTCATTTACCATTTCTTGATCAGTTGCCTGTATAAAATACTTATAGAATATATTCATACTAAAGTTGATAAAGGCGCTTTTCAATCTGTTCAAGATATTCGGCGTAGTTCCAGATCCAAAATAATGATTGTGTACATAGGCGGCATTATTGGGCGCTCCTAACCTCGAATACGTCCACGGCATTAATGTATGGGCGGTTATGCCAACTGTGGGTGCATCCAACTTGTAAGCGATTGCTAAACCACAATCTGTCATAAATTGCTCAACTACAGCTACATCATAAAATTTTCTATATTTTATCATTTCTTGTACCTCAGGATTAGATATCAATTTTCTACAATTTGTGTACGCTAAGTATTTAAGCGACTGAGCATTATCATAGGCTCTTAATAAATCGTTAGACATTCCTTTCATATAGTCTTCAATGTTACGATTGTCACTAACATTTTCTTCATTTTCGAGGAATATTTGCCGTAGATTAGGGAGTTTCTTCAAGGGGTGATAATTGATTACGGTCACATCGTGACCCTTATTAGCTAATTCTTCTACAAGAGAAGAATAGAATATGTGATGACTTCGACCATTATAAGGAAAAATGCAAAGTATTTTAAAACTATCACTTTTAACAACGAAACTCAACAATAAACTGATGATAATGATTCGCATTTCACAAACTTATTTAAGTTTCTTTATTATCATAGACAAAAGTATTCAATGGTTATATTGTATGTATTAACTTAACGCGCACATATTTCTTAAAGAAATACAACTAACTCGTTGCACAGTTAGAATATACTGGCATAAGCTCCACGACTATCCATGTCTGTCTGTTTAATCTAACGTGACTTTATTACTCCCAGCACTTTTATCACGTAATAGATAACGATAAAGATAAATTTATGGGTTACAGGTTAAGTCGACCTAGATACTTTAGGGGGTTATAGTGGCCATACTTGCTGATAGATTTCACTACAAAATACCATATCCCAAACCTAACGACATCTCAAGGTGCAAAGGCAGAGGTGCAGCCATGTAATATTTAACACTAGAAGACCTGGAATACAATGGAATGGCAACAACGCTGGGACAAATCATCTAAGGGGGAAGAAACATCTGTTCGCGAACGGTTGTCGAGGGCATAGCTTGAGGTGGATCACTGTGTCGCTCAATTTCTTACAGGTCATGGTAACTTTATGAGCAAACTGTATTCATTCATATTAGTCGAGTCACCATTGCGTCAATGCTCAACACCTGACACTAACTGTGAACAGTCTGCTCATCATATCCTCTGGGAATGTAGTCTTTAGTATACCATATATCATTCATTCATATTTATTCTTTCTAGGTAGATAGTAAGATAGATAGATAGGCACTCTTTATTGCACCCCATGGATAGAAAACATACAATGCAATATAAACATAAAATTAAAAAAAAAACAGTTGTACAATGGGCGGCCTTATCGCGGTCTGTGATCTCTTACAGGCAACCTTTAGATGGACTATACTGTATAGTGATAAGTAGTCTGTGGTGCGCATAATATGGATTTACATAAATACAAATTCATACACATACGTACATTCATATAAATATAAACATACATACATACATATACATACATTACATACCTACATATATAACACATAGTTCTTACAGAGATAAATAGTGATCCTTGACGAGTCTCTTAAAAGTACTCACTGACCGTGCCCGCCTTGTAACAGTTATTTTTTATTATATTTGTATTGCGTACGTAGTTGTAAAAAGCGACACATATTGCCCGCGTCGCATTTATTGATTTATCCAAAGTAGATTGTAATTATAGTATTGATGTTCTTCGTCCGCCATCGGACCACTAGATGGCGTTGTTTTATTGGTAAGTCATGTTAAGAATTTATCCTGACAAATTGTATTGGTGTTAAAAGTGTCTTGTTATGGTAGGAAGCGAGTTACTTTTGATTTGGTTCGTGTTAACCTCAAAGATAATTTAAATGTCAATTTAAAATGTTAAAGTAGGGATTCTTTCTAGAAAGTTCACAAACCGAGCATATATAAGTCCGGCTTTCAGCCACAGGGGACACTCTGCTAATTCTTGTCTTCCGATCTTAAATAGTATTTTGTTTGTCTGGTGATTTCATTTTAGAAATATTTTATTTGTTCGAAGTACTCACGCCAGTGGTGAGTTATTCTTAATTTTTCTTTTAGTCATTTGTTTCTGGAACCTGAACGATTATATGAGTGCTAATCCATTCGTAGGGCTCCAGATTTCGGGTCAAGACAATCAATCTCAGACGGCGTGTTTTTTCGTTTGTGGCCTTCTGGTGCGAAATCGAGTTTCTCAGTACCCTCTGGCAAACTGGCAGTCGCGCGGCTCACCAAGCACGCGGACAGCCTTATTCAAGGGTTACGTACTACTTGTTAATGTTATTAATATCAATATTGAACCTTCCTTTATACCTAATATAAATAGCCGACTCGGGCGGGTGTGGAAGTGACCTGCTGGATTGAAGACGAACAGGCTCCGAGCAGCATCAGCTCGGCCTTGACGCGCGCCGCTGCGGGTTTTTTTTATATACCCACTAATTTATTTTTTTATTATTGTAACTTTTATTTGTTTGGAAATATACATGTATGTATGACTGAGGTGTAAGTTGTCTTTCTCTAAGGAGTCCCTTAGGTTTCCCACACGCACACACTTCTGTTTTCTACAAGGCGCCCTGAGGTAATCTCGTGAATCTCTCCACTGGGTAAGCCGGTGAGTAGTCCGCCTGACAAGAAAAGCGGCTACAGCCTTATAGCTTCCGGTAAGCTTAATAGCTTCACCGTATCATTAAAATCCTGGCAATCGTATTATATTTCTTTATCTTTTCATTATTAGTTCAATGTTCGCAGGCATGATTGTGTGTGTCTCTTCGTTAGATAGTTGTTGGTAACATTTGTTGGGTTATTCACTATCTTAGCCAAGACTGTATAAATTGTCCAATTCTTATTATTGGCTGTAATCCACTCCTCTCGCGCATCGCGTCCTATTTTAAAAGCCTAGTAATCCGCATTTACCATAACAAAACCTAGTAAGTGCATGTGACTTGCTAGGTTTTGAAGTGGTAAAGGCGAGTTACTAGGTTTTTGATTTGGTTTATTCATATAAGTAGTATAGTATACACTTAATAGGTTTCATGATGTGAGAATATCTGTTTTTATGAGAAAAATATGAAAGTTCGAAATATGCAAAAATAGTGATTTCAGAAAAAAACCTCTTACTGGGTTTTGATCTGGGGCAGCCGAGCAGCAGCACCACTGACTACCGGCCAGAGCGCAAATTTGCGATTGTTGTAAACCGACTTTTTCAGTATTTCTACTCGAAAGAAACGGCATTTTACTACGTTGTAGAGGACATCTCGTGAAACAAAAACGTTTTGAAAATTAATTTCAAGTTGTCCCAAATTTGTTTTAGTGCCCTTCTCCCGAAGGCCTTTCTTTCAAGTTCAGACCGATCTTGCTGAAATTGCGTGATAACTGGAGGCTATTAAACCCACATTTTTACCAAATCTGGGGTTTTAATATTGATTAGAACGCGAGTTATATATTTTTTTGAAATGGTAGAAATACGCGATCTTTTGTATTTTGCAAAAAAACTATTCAACCAATCGAGAATCTACAAGTCTCATTTTGTTTGTCCTTTTATTGCGCATTTTTCTTCTTTGTACAAGTAGAATGTTTGACAGGTTTTGACAAAAAAAATAACAAAGTTAACACGAACAGATCCGTGTTGAAATGAAATTTGTTAATCGTAACGTTGTCAACTAACGGATTATCAAGTCAGGTACTTGCAGTTCTTAAGAAGCACTAACATTGTTAAATCACTCTTGGTGCTTGATGCTCCTAAATTTGGCGTCGAAGCACTTTTTTTTCCCCAAAAAACTTCATCGCGATGTTCGATGACGTCACCTACATGTCACGTTTTACACTAGCTAATGAAGTCCCGGATACCAGGCCCGCGACTTCTTTAGCGCGGAATGTGAAAAGTGCTGCCTTAGTAGTACAGTACGGTACGGGACTGCAGTCCATGAGGCCACGGGCTCGATTCCCGGACCGGGTAAAATTTCATAGAGTTTTTCTGAGAGGAAAAATAGCCTATGTTACTCCTTATATAGACAGCTACCTAGTAGTAAAATATTATATCGGTGCAGCCGTTTTGAAGATTAACAAACAGACAGATAGATAGACATAAAGACAAAAACTGTTTAAACTGGTTTTTAGGCATAGGTATTGTGCAAATAACAGTGTGAGCATGAAAAAACTTATTATTTTGAAATTACAAACAGACACTTCAATTTTAATTACCCAATCTATTCTTCTAATCTAATCTAATATCTAATACTCTCAATGCAGCTCGTCCATGCATGGCTTATTCGACTCTACCCTCTTCGTGTCGGCCGAAAAACGCTTTTCTTCCAGTACCAGTTTTTCAATTTCTAACGGCCTTTGCTGTAGTCCTTCTCCCAAGCGTTGTACTCTATCGCGTAGCCGAGATCGAGCCGATTCGAGATCCAACAGATGTTTGTATCCACTGCCAGAACTAGACAGTCCTAGAGACTGTCAACGCCTGCCCCTAAGCGTGGCAGTGAGGGCAGTGAGGGCAGTCAGGCACTGTACGTCAGTCCACCCGTTCGAAGTAGCGACAGTGTCGAACTGCTGACGGTACGCAGTCCACGAAGTACATAAAGAACTTCATCCATTTCTCTCGTTGTCTGTATCGCTTCCACTTACAGCAGCTGTTCGCTCTATCCTTATATCTCTATGATTTTATAACTTTCTTTTTGCTAGCTACCTATTCGAAACTTTAAAACACAAAGAGGTTTATTGTGTTATTAGGACTACTTATCATAAATACAATAAGTTAAACTTTTAAACCTGTTATGGCCAACAAAATTAGATATTTGAAGCAATTCGAAGAATGAAATGATACTTAGACATTGACTGCAACTGTCAATACATCTGTCAGCCATGTTACCAAGAAAATATATTTAAATATTTTTTTACAAAACCCAATAATTATGGTCATTTAAATTCAATAATTAAACAATAATGTTGCCCAAAATAAGCAAGATGACAATTCTACATAGTAACGTATAGCAAAGGTTGGCAGTCATACATCTTTAACAAAACCAAGCTTCCTGACGGTCTAACTGTAATCGTAAGCCCTCTAATTATTGTTTAAATTCAGGTTCCAGACGCCACAAAGATGGCTTGTTGCTGTAAAGGCAAATGTAAGTAGTTCAGCTGTTATACATACAACCTTTTAGTTTCCTACAAATTATAAACAATTCATTGATTTTATTATAACTCAGCATCCAAAGTTTCAACAAGCTGCTTGGGGCGTTGCTATCTACCGAAACACAAATGCTTATACAGGGATGATATTAAGACCGGACCTGTTCCAAAATACATGGGATGGCTTTACAACGCAAAAGATTCTCCTGAACACCAGGTATGGGTCCAAGGTTAAATAGTTTTTTCACGACCTCTTATTATTATCATTTTTTCTTTATCAGCCGGTTTCAAAAAAGGAAGATTTCAATTTGCTTGCATTTCTTATATTTGTTACCTCAGAACTCCGTCATTAAAAACTTGGAAGCTTCTCTTTTATTTGGAAGAGTGTAGGTGCTTTCTGTTTGACCAAGCAGGAAGGATATTTAATAAAAAAGATAAAATAATACTTAGGAATGGAAATTAAGAAATGAAGATTAGGTACAATTCGTTATCATAATTCATGCAGGTGAATTAAAGTCGTCTGACTTTGATAATAATAGATACTTTAACTTTTTTTAAAGTAAGTCTATACTTTTTAAAAGTTAATTAAGTATCTAGAATTATTTCAACTATATATTATTCTCAAAATTATGTGTTTACCGCTGCTGCACTTCCTACGTTGTCACTATAACTACCAGTGTTTCGCTGCGAAGGCTTACATTTAGCTGGCTTAAAGTTAACCCGTATGAGAAAACTGTAAAGAATACCAGAAACGCGTCATCCGTCACACAACCGCATCTGTTCAAATAGGCATAGCTGAAACAGAGCATAGAAATTATCAAACTATACCTACCGTTTTGATGCATGATAGTTGTAATATTTGACTTAGCGATTTTGTCTTGAGTTTATTTAAATCAGATAAGGATATCCTTAAACAAACCAGGCACCAATAACTCGATTTATCTAGAGTTCTTACACAAATACTTTAGAATGTTTTCCATTTTATGTTATAGAATAAACTTTCCATAACTTATTGTTTGTCATGTTAACGTTTTCCAGTTACACGAAAGCGCGCACGCAATTTTATCCGTTTATTTACTGCCCTTTCTCAAAACGATAGTAATTATAGTATCCCAAAAGACTGCTCCAAGATATTTCTGGTCCGCTCTTGCATTTGCTCTTATCACCGATGAAAGTTAAATAGACGGTGCAACAGTCCTGAGCCTATATTGCACCAAACCTTGTCATGTCTACCAACAATACCCAGCAAACTGACCTACACTCAAATAAGTATAAGTCGCTTTCACAATTCTATACACTTTATTTTATCATCACAATGTAAATCCTTCCGGGCTTTCAATTTTTGAGATTTATGATCTAACCCAGAAAACGTATTATTTATTCTCACCACATACGTCAACAGCACACGCTGCCAAATTACTTTTAAATTTCGTTGAACCTACATTCACATTCTCCCGATTAAAGACGATTAAGTTGGAAGGTTACTGTTGGTTGTCTCAGCCTGTCACTCGTCTTTAGTATAGGCCTGCGTCATTCATTCGTTCTACTTTTATTCATTCTAAAGCTAAGTAAGAGATATATCTATGTATTAGACCTATGCCGATAATATTTTAACCCACTTGGCTATCTACGAAATAGTGATAAGATCCTATGGGGCAAGCCCACGATAAGCTGTTTTATCCGCCATTTTTTTGGTCGTTTTTATGTTTGGTAGTTGTTATTTGTGCAACATTTTAATAGACACTTCGGGAACACACGCTTCCGGTCGATCTCGAGGTGCAGAGACGTGCAGCCATGTACTATTCAGCACAACAAAACATGGAATGCGATTTATTTGGGCGCACGAGATCGCAATAAAATTACAAGATTGCTGCAACAGCAGTCCAATGTCTATAATGACCTCATAAACGAATGGCAGCAACGCTGGGACGAATCATCCAAGGGGCGCCATCTTTACCAATTTTTTCCATCTGTTCGCGAACGGTTGTCGAGGACGACATGGCTTGAGGTGGATCACTGTGTCGCTCAATTTCTTACGGGTCATGGTAACTTTAAGAGCAAGTTGTATTCATTTACATTAGTCGAGTCACCATTGTGTCAATGCTCAACACCTAACTCTCATTATGAACAGTCTGCTCATCATATCCTCTGGGAATGTAGTCTTTGGTATAATGAACGTAATATAATGCTGAATAGCTTGCAGGTGACATCTGGGGCGGTATACTATGGGAATCTTGTGTCAACTAGGGTGAATTTCCGTGCGTTTAGGCGATTCTGCCATACATATTATAGAAATCAAATATAAGCTCATGTAGGACCCGTAATATTTTGTGGCCGTGGTGCTTCCCTGTTTAAAAGGGTGTATGCCTATTTTACTTCATTTTGTCTCCCGCTTTACTAAGGAGGGAAGTGGATTTACTGTATTTCCAACTCCTCCAATTTTCTTCTGATTAATTTCGTTGCGGGTTCCAAGACAGTTTAATTTCTTCCTGGGACTTCCCGAGTGTCATAACTCGGTGTGTTCGTGGGTCACTGCTGTGGATCCTGGTGTACAGGAGTTACAGTGGTGGGCGTGGGGGTGGGATTAGTCCCATTAAAAAAAAGACACCTGAAAGAAATACAGATGTAATTCAAGTGGTAACCTGCTGTCCCTTGTTTCTTCCATACGAGAAAAGTTTCAAAGTGCAAGTTTTGCACGCCTACATGGACTACAAATATATTCTGCATGATAAAAGATCCTCCAATGTAATATTTTGTAGAGAGAGTAAACTTATTACACATTGTATAATGCACATACATCTACTTATTAAAACTTAGACGAATGTACTTACCTACCCCAAAAATATGATTCTACAGAAGCCTCAGAGAAAGATGCATTAGGTGCATAAATTGCTAGTAACGGCACTGCTCACAGACGATTTTAATCAGTTCAATTGTTTGCAAACAATAAATGATTTTATTTATTTATTTATATCTTTATTGTATACACTTTAATAGAAAATAACAAAAGATGAGTTGCAAATAAGTAGACGTAAAAGATTTTACTGTATTAATTTGAGCTAATTTTCTTATATTGACAGTTAAGATGTGGCTGGCGCCCAGGGCACATATCGTGCCCTGTACTCAAAAAGATCGAGCAGCACAACTGTTGGACGAAAGGAGAATGCACACCGTGTTCATCGAGAATATGTCCAACACCAAGTTGCTCCAAACCGTGCTGCCTACCAATTAGTTGCGTGCGACCACCGCCATGTCCGCGAGTGCCATCATGCGGGCGATCACCGTGCCTATCTTCGTCGCCATCTTGTTGCAGATTACCTTGCCCCACTGGCCAAGCTATCATAAGAATCGCTAGGCACTGTGGAAACTATACCATATCTACAAAACCATCTAATCTGAACACTTCACCTTCGGGACAGTCCCCACTGAAATATGTCCTTAACGTTGATGAGGAACCTGGACCGCCTGGCGAAAAAGCAAAATTTAGTGTAGAAGCAAAGTACAATGACTATCATTTTGATTATACAAGTTCACAATCGTCTTTTGTTCTAGACTTCACTCCGCCAGAACAAAGATGTGTCAAACCTTGCCCTAAAAAAGTTATAACACCTTCACCAAGTCAAACAGAGACAGCAGCCACCGCTAAATAAATAATTCGTTAGTAGACGCACGTTTACAGGGTACATTGTTATAAAAACAATTTATTCTCCTTTCGTTTTGCAACGACATGGTTGTAAATAGACAGCTAACCGTTCGCTACCAAGTCACCAAAAATTTATTCATTCGATCTCTTAAATAAAGCTGTGCCTTGAAGGTGAAGACATTTCGTTGCTTAGGAAACTGCGTTCATATTTACTTAACTGTCAATTAAAACCTGATCATGATACAACTCCTCTCTGCAATTTCTCATGTTAGCCAGTCACCTAATATTAAGAACATGAATTTTATAATTTGGGTCAGGTACAAGAAACACAAAATTGAACAGATAGTAATACAAACAATTTTGGACAAACACAATTTAATCAAATAATAATTTACCTAATAAGTTTAAGTTACCTACCTGGTTTATTTTAACACATCTAATCAGTCTACTAGTTTCATATACCCACATCTTTACTAAGTTTAACTTCGTTCAAATACCAATAAAAACAATAATTAATATACACCTAGTTTGATTTGTTTGCCTACCTGTTAATTTATTTTTACACTACAAACTACACTGGTCTTATTTTAATGATAATGTTCTCATTCTGTCCCAATCTTGAAATAAAAAATAAAAAAAAATCTATGATTAAGAATAAAAAAGCAAAACCACGATCAACATTCCGATTGTCCACGGTCAACCAGGTGTCGAATGCGCGGCGTACGTGGCGCTCGCTTTATTAACCTGCTCTCCCCTTTTTCCCCCGCCAAAAGCGCAACATAATTATATCTCACTCTGCCATAGTTGACGTCTATTAACGTTAAACTTTCGCTGCAAACTGGTATAGGTAGATGGTAACCTACAACGGTTTACTCGCGCAGGCCCAAGCATACGTCTACGCGTGGCGTAAAGAAAATGCCCGAGACTGCTCAAGGATTAATCAAGAGATGCAACCTACAACAAGATGACTCGGAGTCCGTCGGAATATTAGGATTTCCTTTCTAGGTTCCACCTGGTTCCCAGGCTACTATCCAAGACGGCGCGGCGTGCGGTTTTAAGGCTGACACTAACTGGTGTCACGACACGGTCCGCCTTTTCGATATAATTATTCGATATAATTATATAAGTCACGGCATGTCGTGTCATGTCGTTTCATTCAACGGACTGCCGCCGGTTTTGCTCTTCGTGGATCCAAAGTTCGTTGTGTCATTATGGTCAGTTCTGGCTGAAGATGAAGAGAGACATATACGAATTGATTCGTTGAAAAAAAAACAGAGTCATGCTTCGGCACAAATGTGACATAGAAATCCGGTGTTTTCTGTGAGGCCCTGAATTATTTTGTTGCTTTTCATCGAGTGAGTGAGGTTACAGGGGACCAAATGCCCCGCCCTATATTCGGGCGCGGGGAGGGGTCATAATCCTGTGACATTTGTGGCTCGTGTGAGAACAAATGTCACAGGATTATGACCCCCACCGCACGTGGTAGCGACATGCCACCACGTGCGGTCGTGTACTTATATCGAAATTTCGGCTTTCGAAAAAAAAATCCGCATCGAAATTGGTCACTCCGTTTGGGAGTTATGATGCTACAGACAGACAGATACACAGGTTAAGCTTATAATACCCCTCGTTGTCCGTCGGGGACTAAAAAAAGATTTTCGCACGAAAAAATGGGCGTCTTCATGGGCACTGCACGCGGGCGTTCAAACAGATAGCGGCGGTCCAATTCTAGTAATAAAAGTTCAGTAGTAAAAGGTCAAAATTCAGTTCCGATCAACTATCGATCTCGCAAACCGTGAATAAAGGTAGGTAGGTTATTTTCGTAGTAAAATAGTAAAGTATTACTAAGACTAGCAAATTACCGATTACATTTTTGGTTACAATACGATATAATCACATTATAGACAATGTTGGATGTTTTATACTTTCTGACCAAACTTTTCTTACGACAATTCTTTCTTTCTACCTTCTGGTGGTCCAATTGATTCGACCACAAGGAATTTCTGTTCCTCATGGACAAACTGTTTAGGTAAACAAACTTTAATATACTGTATAGGTTTCGTGGTCAAATCAATTTGACAACCAAAAAGCACTAATTGATAACTAATTGTGCAGTCTAATTGATACTTATGATATCTTACATTAATTAGTAATGACTGCATCATCACTTTTATTACCGCATAAACTTTTTAATTTCTCTTATAAATAAATGCTTTGCAATTGCATAGTAACCACTTGAAAATAGTTTAGCAGTGGATATGCGTAGTTATGACAGCTATTTATGTACCACAAAATTGCCAGTACCTACCTAAACAGAGTTAAAGAAATCAATGCTCCTGTTAAACAGCACTTTATTTTCTAACACATAACAAAATATCTATAACAAATAAAACGAATACATATATTATGTATTGAATTAATTTTACTAAAGTTAGCTTGGGTTGCCAGACTTCTGAGCTAAAGCCAACATGTTCTCATTAGCCAGCATTTGAAACTCGTGAAACCTTTGGGATACTCTCTGGTTTGTTCTCAGATATTTTTCCATACAATTCAAAGTGCATTTCTCCTGGAAAAAAGACAACAGTTGTACATTAGAATAACATACTCTTCTTCCCCCATCAGACTAAACAAGTTGATAAAGCACTTTTATATGGTATAAGGGGGGAAACAAGCAGGTGGGGCTCTAAGAGCAGCAGCACCTTGTGACCCACAAGGTGTTACTGCTCTTAGAGCCCCACCTTTAAACTGAGGGGAAAAGGAGGTATGGGCTCCAGTAACCACTCGGTGAAAAGGAATGAAAGAACTGCTTAATACCAGTTTTCTGTGAGGCTGTGGTATCACTTCTTTCAAACCTGCCCATTTGTGCAGAAGCATGGCTCTCCCACTGTATGATAATAAAATATAATACACCTCACACATGCCCGTCTGAACCCAAACTAGGCAGAGCCTGTACTATGGTCACCAGACTGCTGATAAACTTATTTATATAATTTTAAATACATACATATTTTAGATAAATTACACCCAGACACAGATCAAATGCTTGAGTTCATCACATAATATTTGTCATAGGTGGGTATCGGATCCATAACCTTAGCAATCAATATCACTAATCACTAGACTAACAGGCCCGCTATGCTACGATATTCCATAGTTTTTGTTGTGACAGTTAGGGCTTTTCACTAGAGACATTTTTATTGTCTTGAGATTTTCTGCCAGCTTTCAAAAATCTATGGAAATCAGCCTAGAGAATCATGTGAGATGATTCGGAAAACAAATGAATTGAAAATAAAGTTTTTTTTTTTCTCATTATACCTTTGTATAAAAACCTTTGTCCTATAAATAACCAAATAGTGTTAATTATATATGATAATTAAAAATGTATAATGAATGCATGAATATCAAATCTAAGATTTGATATCACAACTAATAACTATTAAGGATTAACTTGTGCTGGATTTAATTCTTGGATTAAAATATTAGAATTATTTAACATAGATGTAACACTCAAAGATTGAAAATGCTCATTGAGCTAAAAACTGCTCAAAACTCATTGTGGTCAGTGTAAAACATACACATAGCAAAATTATTATTCTTGTTATAGATATATCCACATATAGACCCAATTAGATTACAAAACACAGCGTTTTGCGAGACAGGTCCTACTAGTCTCATAACTTTGTGGTAGGATATCCTTAGAAAATTTCCATTTCAATTTTTTTTACATTTCAACAAATTTCATTCCAACAAGTACCAAAAAGGCATGTACATTTAACAAATGCAAATACAATCCAAATGTTAAAGTTGGTCCCAGTAAAACATGATTTATCTTGTGGATTACCATATGCATAATATTGTTTATTCACAAAATGAATCAATGCTGTGTAACGCTTTTCTCCTGAACATAACATAGTCTATCAATTTCTCTTTATATTTGTAGAAATCTCACAATTCTTCGTAACATGCTCAAAGTCTGGCCAGCTTAGTGTAGTAGGCCAAAACCTCATTTTTAAGGAAACAGTAGACTATTAAGTGTAAACTCTGAAATTTAACTGTAAACATGCATAAACTTTGTGGAATAGATTTGATTGAGACCTTATTTGCAAGCTGATAGAAACCTGATTCATTAGAAGGGTCATGGCTAGCCTTTATCACCACAGTGTTGTGGTTGTATATAATATGACAGCCACAACACAAATTTCACTATGTAGTCCATTATTGATGCAACCCCTCATAAATGTTTTCATAAGAACCATAACACAAATTTCGACATGTGGTCTTTGTGAGCTTGTTTTATTGCTCTATAAGCGTTTTCGATGTTCGAGCGCCACATATACAAAACAATGGCAAAAGCCAACAGTGTTTGGCATGCATTCTACTTCATTCAGTATCCTAGAATGAATAAGTAGAATAAGTGAGAAGATTTGATGCTGCTCTTAAAATAAGAATGTACTTTAAAAGAAATTTAAGCACTCTAGGTATTTAAGTCATACGTTAGAATTTAACCAATAAATTTTACATACCTCGGAAGATTTAAGTGATCTGGAGGTAAAATCATGTACGCAATCAGTAAAACAAAGTTCTGACAGCTTATTGTACTGCACCAAAAAGTCTTTGAACTGAAAGAAACCAAGGTTTGACATTATAATGTTTATTTAATTAAATTAATAAATTCGTTGTCATATTGTATTTGTATGCAGCATAATAATTTTAATACATAAATCGAAAAATATTTACTGTTTTGATTTGTTCAGCCTCACTCATTTCAGTAGCAGCCATGTTTAATATTCGAGGAAAGTGAAATTAATATTCAATAGAAAAATCTGCTCGCTCTATATCACTTGGTATATTTATATACAATTATAATGCAAATAAAAATTAAATATTACTTTTAACCAATTCCAATGTAATTTGAGGTTAATTTATGAGACAGAGACCCGATAACAGACAGTCCAGACAGTGTTGCCATTGATTTAAAAGAAATGCATAACAAAAGATGTCCACTTTTTGTATGGCCGTTGGTTTTTTATTCCGAGTAAAATCTATTGCCAATTGCATATATTGTTTATATTTTATCTTGTGAATTAACATATGCCCAAATTGTTTATTCACAAGATAAATCAATACCTTTATTTTTTTAATCTCTCTTCTAGAATTTATTATGTGGGTATTTATATAATTATATATATGTATTATATATATGTAAATACTTATGTATTGTGTGTGTTAGTATCAGTATCACTTGTTGTATATGTATTATTGAGTAATATTGATTCCAATGTAATTAGTATAAATACTCTGGGTATGTGATATCCTATTATGCTAGATTTTTTCATAAAATCACATTTTAAATTTCTGTGAGTCTACCATGTTTTATTTCTGTATCGCCCTAAGGTTGACTGGGAGAAAATGCCTACGGCATTAAGTCCGCCTTTGTCACATTATAAATAAATAATAATAGTATAAATAAATAAATAAAATAAACAAAACACAATCGTCATCCATTTATCACGACCTAAAAAAATGCCAAAGTGAAAACGGTGTCTTCTCAAAATTGCAGTCACTTAAAATTTCATTGTATAAATAAATTATAATATGAGTTCTTAGGATGTCTATCCAAAAAATAAATTATAAATTATAATATGAGTATATAGATATCGCTATCGGAATTTTTCAAGAATAAAAAACCATTTCTGGACAACTCCTTTCAAACCTAAAACTTTTATACTTTAAAGAGGATAGAAATTTAAGTAATCATAAAATACACTTAATATTTATTAGTAAGTAAGCCATAATCAAAACTTACTTTTTAAATTATAGCAAAACTTCCACACTCTTGCATACATCGAAACGTAAGTGACGATGCGTTTCAGAAAAATGAAATATGACAGTATGACGATCAATTCGTGTTACTGTGTTCCATTCTTTAAATAATTGGGCTTTTGTGACGCATAACTACGTTTGTTTCATTTATTAACACGAGAAAGCCTGTATTGTTTTTCTCTATCTATTTAAACTGTAACATCGGTGTTTCTACATTGAATATCAATTATTGCCCATCTAGTTCACAGTAGGGAATCCAGTTAAAACTTCATCGTCAAACAAATAGTGCACCCGCTTTTCTTTAAAATGGAAGAAATTGGCATAGTATTACCGGAAAAGGTAATGTATCATTAACATAAAAAAGTCATTAAACTCTTAAACATGTATTATGAATATCAATTGTTTTAGGACGACCAAATCGCTGATGCCAAAGGCCTAGCATTCGCAGGACCTCAATCTTTTGATGAACTTGAATCTGAAGATTTATACACCAAATATAAGGTAAAGTTATAGACATCACAGCCAAACATTTATCACTAGTCATTCTCACACTTTGTATTGAATACTGTACTACTAATGTAAAATGACTACTTGCATGAAAAATATTCTTTGACTCCAAAAAATAATAGGTTATATTTAAAGTATAAAATCAATTAGTTTGGATTAAACTGAAACAGATAATTCTTTACTGAGTGCTTAAAAGTTACTTGTTATTTAAATACAAATGGTTCTTTGTTACCCAATCCCACTAGATCAGTAAACAGAACTGGATGAAATTTGTCAGACTTAGAAATAGATGGTAGTCTATAATCAAAAGGTTACTTTTTGTCTTGGAAAAGTTAAATGACAAAGTCAACATCAACACCAGTGTAGTTGCAAGTGAAAGCTAATTATAGATTGCCACTTTACAGAAACTTCAGCGCATGCTAGAGTTCCTAGAGGTACAAGAAGAATACATAAAAGATGAACAAAGGAATCTTAAAAAAGAATATCTACATGCTCAGGAAGAAGTTAAGCGTATACAGTCTGTGCCACTTGTCATTGGACAGTTCCTAGAAGCTGTAGATCAGAATACTGGAATAGGTAAGTTTTTTGCTATTTCAAATTTGTATTTCGCCTTGCTCATATTGCTGTAATAGTAATGTTGTTTTTTAAAAAACATTATGTATACAAACTTGAGTAATATGTAGCCTTCAAAGTGAGTCCTGGATTTTTTTATGGAACCACAGTTTGTATACAAGGAGGCAGTTGTCAAGTCAGGGCTTTTAAGATTCAAATATGATTGTTTTAATACTAATAGATGGTATTTTTTTACAGTTGGCAGCACAACAGGCTCTAATTACTATGTAAGAATTTTATCAACAATTGATCGTGAGCTGCTTAAACCATCAGCGTCTGTAGCCCTTCACAAACATTCTAATGCACTTGTGGATGTGTTACCACCAGAAGCTGACAGTTCTATATCTATGTTACAAGCTGGTATGTAAAATCATTGTTATTCATCATTAAGCAATGTTAACTATGATATTTGTAATATAATGACAAAGAATTGACATATTTATGAATTTCAAAATAGTTTAATATATTACTCGCTGATAATATAGCTTTCCATTGGCGATAGAATTTTTTAAATTGACATATTAGTATGTAACCCTAGCCTTGTCTCAGTGCCAGGTCAGGCCAGTCATATTTGATACTTTCGGTCCTAGCCCTCATCATATCCTTTTCCTTACTCTAATTTACCTCAATTCTTTGTCCCATCTGAAAATGATTACATTACAAAACCTTTTGCAATATTATACATTGCATTGACCCATTGATTGACAATTGATTGAAAAAGGAGAATGATGAATAGTGATGATGATAACAACATGGTAGAGTAAATATTACAATTAAAATTTCAGGGCCCTCACAACTTGTTCCTGTTTTGTTACAGTTGTTAGTTTCCTTTCTACAGTGGTTGGTCATTTAGGGTACATTCCTAGGTTTAAACTAAATTATTTCATCTGAATCATTAAATGTAACATATTAAAGTACAACCTGAACTAACCTTCATTATAAATTTAATGTTTTTATTAATTTGATATGTTCAAATCAACATTAAATATAAATGACATAACAAGAGCTAAGTATGATTTCACTAAATAGTATTTTATACAAAAATGTACCGCATCTATCATTTTGACGTGTAACAAAAAGATGTTGATTTGACTTGACAGTCATCTACCCTAATGGAATATAACAAGCTGTTGTATACATTTAAATGTGTGTTATCAAATAATTAATTGACTAATTAATTTTGATAGATGAGAAACCTGATGTTCAATACTCTGATATTGGAGGCATGGATACACAGAAGCAAGAGATCAGAGAGGCAGTGGAGCTCCCACTCACCCATGTAGAGTTGTATCGTCAAATCGGTATTGAACCCCCTCGAGGAGTACTCATGTATGGTCCTCCTGGATGTGGCAAGACTATGTTAGCTAAGGCAGTAGCTCATCATACAACAGGTATGAAGTTTGGTTTAGGGAACTCCTTACAACATACAATTACTTTATTTACCATTTACCATTTTATTGGACACCATTATTTACCATATTATTATAAACTGGCAGTTATATCACTCTCAGCAAGTTGTATGGTATACAACTTGCTGAGAGTTCATGAAATTCTTTTTGGGAAATACTTATTAAAAAATTAAAGAATCTTTAACCAATAATAGTCTCGTTCTATTCCTGTGGATTCATTTAATCTAAGCATGCTCACTTTTTTTTATTTCAGCTGCATTTATTCGCGTGGTAGGCTCTGAGTTTGTACAAAAGTACCTAGGTGAAGGACCACGCATGGTTCGTGATGTGTTCCGTCTAGCAAAAGAAAACAGTCCAGCCATTATCTTCATAGATGAAATTGACGCCATTGCCACTAAACGGTATTATCATCATTTTCATACAGTACAATTTTTTATAAGTTATCATTGCCAGGCTAATAGCTACTTCTGATAATTGTGTCATGCTTGTGATTAAAAAATGTAGCAATTCAATGTAAAGCCTTGATAAAGTATATTATTATTTATGTTTTCGTCTGTTGATGGTTTTAAATCACTGTTTCAGATTTGATGCACAAACCGGTGCAGACAGAGAAGTCCAGAGAATCTTGCTTGAGCTCCTGAATCAAATGGATGGATTTGATCAAACTACTAATGTTAAGGTGTGTAACTAAATAACCATTCTTCAACATTGAAAGCTTATAAACTTATTAAAATACTTTATTGGTACTTATTCTATCTCAGGTTTGTATGACATGTGCCTAAATTATGGATATAGGATAACAACTTAAACACTAGACCAAAAGGAATGAGGTTCTAATACGAAAAAAGCTAAATAAATATAAGAACACTGGTGAAATTTATATGAGTTCTGAACTATAATTACAGGTCATAATGGCAACAAATCGAGCTGATACCCTAGACCCTGCCCTCCTCAGACCTGGTCGTCTAGACAGGAAGATAGAGTTCCCTCTACCCGACAGGCAAGTGTATAAACTTAGTCATTTATTAAAAAAAAGCTCATTGCAAAGAACATATTATAAATTTATATTACAAACATCTTGCACGGAATAAGACTTTGATACACATATCTTAAGTAATAGTATGTTCTACTTTATGACGAGCGTATATGAAAGGCTTGATGAATGTGGAAGAAGCATAAGCTCTCAGGATCGTGAAAAACGGCTTTTCATCGTCTGCCTACCTCGGACAGGATTAAGGCATATGTATGTAATATATGTATGTTCACAACACCCAGTAACAAGAAAATATAGATTTTATTTGAAATTTATACTTTAATTCGAGATAAAGGAAGAGTGATAGATCGAGCTATCATTTGCAAAATTACGGACTAAATCGGTATAATTTTTTGGCGCGAGAAAAGAGAGAAGAGAGAAATTCTCATCAACGTAAAGACGTTGATGAGAATCTTTAATACGTGAAATTCCGATAAAGGTCTTTTATATATCAAAAATGTATTTAAATTGTTTACAGGCGTCAAAAGCGGCTGATCTTCTCCACGATCACAGCTAAGATGAATCTATCGGAAGAAGTAGATTTAGAAGAGTTCGTCGCACGACCTGATCGCGTGTCCGGTGCTGATATCAACGCTATCTGCCAAGAGGCAGGCATGCACGCTGTACGCGAGAACAGGTAACCCTACGAACTTAATTACCAACTAGCCTGGTCAGTAGTAAATGACTATATAGGTACTTGCAGTTTAAAATCTACAAACATTAGAAAGGCTTAACTGAAAATGTTTGGTGAATTGTTCAACCGATGTTGTACTTACCAAGGACACTCATCTCATTCTGAATATCTGTTCTTCCATACAAGACCCTCTAGTTAATAAAATAAATAATTAATTTTAATTGACAAAATAATATTAATGTCATTTGCAACACATATTCAAAGTTGTAATAATATCGACATTATTAAACAAGTAACCATCAATCAATGTTTTCATGTTCATGTATGTTTATTTTACGCGATATCTCATCCATCAGTGATTCTAATACAATAATGATCTTTTTTTTTCTTCAGGTATATCGTCCTTCCTAAAGATTTTGAAAAGGGCTATAAAAACAACATCAAGAAGGATGAGAGTGAATATGAATTCTACAAATAAGTTTGTTCTCACTTGTTGATTGAATTATATTATAATACTAATAAATTTAATAATGTCCACTAATAATTATTTTATTTCAATGACATCGATTAAACATATCCTGTTGATTACGCCCCCTGTACAGAACAATTTTTGGTTCTCGTTTCAGTTTTTTTTTTATGTTAGAGGGGGCAGACGAGCAGAATAGACCTGATGGAAAGTGACCATCGCCGGCACAAACGCGTTGCCGGCCTTTTAGGAAGGAGTACGCTCTTTTCTTGAAGGTCGTCTCGGTCCGGAAATACCGCAGACGATAACCCGTTCCACAGATTGGTTGTGCGTGGTAAAAAGTGTCTCGAAAAGCGCACAGTAGAAGAGCGTCAACTATCCAGGTAATGAGGATGAAAATTTTGCCGTGTATAACGATGGCGGAAAGGTGTGGCTGGTATTAGTCCGAACGATTCCTCCGAGCGCTCTCCATGATATATGCGATAGAGAATGCAGAGTGCAGCCACATCTCTACTTACGAGTAATGCCAAGGGATCGAGCCGATCGAAGATGTTTGGGCTATCGACGATTCGAGTCGCTCTTCGTTGGATGCGGTCAAGAGAGAGAAGCTGGTACTGAGGTGCTCCTGCATAGAGATAAGAACAGTATTTCATATGCGGCCGGACTTGCGCCTTATAGAGCTGAAGGCGGTGGGCCGGAGTGAAATACTGCCTCGATCTGTTCAGCACACCGAGCTTCTTCGAGGCCAATTTGACCTTACTTCTAAGTGACCCCGAAACTGTACTTCGCTCGATGTGTCGATACCTAGGATTCCGATGCTGGCTGAGGCAGTTAGGGAGGTGCTCTCAAACTGAGGTGATACGACGAATGGTGTCTTTTTTGCGGTGAACGCACAGACCTGTTTTTTTTGGCTTTAACTGGACTAGATTTAGTCGGCCCCAATCTGAAACCTCCGCCAAGAAAGTTTCAATTACAGACACAAGTTTCTTTCGACTCTCGATGATGTTTTCCCGAGAAATATTGAGGCGGCTGGTATAAAGGGTATCTCCCGTGCTATCATCTGCATAGCAATGGATGCTACTAGTTTGCATCATGTCATTAATATGCAGAAGAAACAGTGTGGGTGACAGCACACAACCTTGTGGGACACCAGCATTTACAAATTCTCGGGAAGCCCAAAGGAAGGGAGCTTCGAGAGAAACGCCTTATGCAAGACCCGATCAAAGGCCTTCGTCCAAACTAACCGCACAAGCCTCTCCTTTGGTCTCAATCGCCTGTGCCCACCGGTGTATTAGAAAGACTAAAAGATCACCAGCTGAGCGACCGCGGTGAAAACCATATTGTAGGTCATTCTGTAGCTGGTGATCATCTAAGTACCGGAAGAGCTGGCTGTTGATTATGGATTCCATAATCTTAGAGAACAAAGGAGTTATGGCTATAGGCCTGTAGTTGGACGGGTCAGAGCGGTCACCTTTTTTAGGGATCGGGTGCACAAACGCTACCTTCCAGGAGTTTGGGACGAGGCCTTGGGAGTAGGAGAGACGAAAAAGGCGCGTCAAAACCGGTGCCAACTCCGGAGCACACGTCTGCAATACGATAGCAGAGATTCCATCGTGCCCACTATGACTATGAATATCAAGGGAAAAGAGTGATTTACGCACTGATTTTGGTGTGAACCGGATATCCGGCACATAGCTCTGGCACCGCGGAATGGTCGGCGGTACGTTTCCCCCGTCATCCAAACTCGAGTTGGATGCAAAGAGTTTGTCTAGGAGATTGACATAAATTCCCCTGGACAGCCTTGGCAAGAGACCAGAATGCACTAGTTCCAGAAGGAAGTCTCACTAGTCTCTCACCGATCCGCCTGATGTGCTCCGATTTCGCCCTAGCAATGGCTCTTTTAAGGGACCTGGAGGCAAAGTTATATTGTTTTTTTAGCGTGGTGGTATTTGCAGTCGCTGCATTTGCCCATGCTTCGTAGCATTCCCGCTTTAGGCGGGACACCGTTTTGCAGGATCTGTCGAGCCAGGGCTTGGATTTACCACCGATGGGAATTAATGTAGAAGGAACGAATAGTTCCATGTCCTGAAGTACTACATCAGTGACAGACTCTGTGGGATCATCCGGCAAGAAACAGACCTGCCTCCATGGGTAGGACGCAAAGAAGGAACGCATACCATGCCAGTCCGCTGACCTATAATGCCATACAAGGCGGCAGCCTGCAACTCGCGGCCGCGGCAAGCACGTGAGTGGCACTGTACTGCGGATTAGACATGATCCGAGGAGCCAAGTGGGCTTCAACGGCGATTTTGTAACCGTCCGGATAGGAGGTAAGCAGAAGGTCCAGTCCAGCAGATCAGTGAAGGCTCATGACTTTCCACATCTGGAATTCGCGTGAGCGTTGATACCAGTTGTGACAAGCCGTAGGTCAGGGCGAAATCGTGAACAGATCTCCCCGCGTGATCGGTCTTGCGTGAGCCAAGCCATTCGGCGTTGTGATCGTTAAAGTCGGCAAGTATCACGATCTCCGCGGATGGGATCTGATGCAGCACGGTATCTGTAGCCATTTGGACGTGGGTCGTCCAAATGTCGGTGTCCATCAGTCGGTCAGTTCCAGTGACACCGCTATGGGACCTGTAGAGGCATGCGTAGACGCGGGGATGGTCGTCGCTGTCTACACGGAGCCACAAGATGAGGAGCCCTAGCAGCAAAGGAGTGTTCCAGATGATAGCCAGGGTAGAGAGAGGTAGGATGTGTCCGATGGAGATGATATCTGCGTCTCGGTTAGAAAGAGCAATGCCGGCTTCACTGTCTCGAGGTGGTGTTGGACAGCGTTGAGGTTGGAGTGAGGGCCCCTTATATTGCAGAGATTCACGACAAACGTGACGAGGAGTGGCCTGATGTGCCTGCTCCCGCCGCGGGCAGAATCCTGTCGAGCACTGTTGACCCTCCCCCCCCCCCCAGAATACGCCGGGCAGCCCAGACATTCACGCCCACACGCATTGTGTTCTGAGCTTGGACGTTCAGAGGGGGATGCCCCCCCCCCCCCATGATACCCCCTGATATAGGGAGGGGGTTGAACTCCGGAAACTTCACTCACTCGGTGAAATGCAACAGAGAAATTGCTTTACGACCGGTTTTCTGTAAGGCCGTGGTATCGCACCGATCGATTTGTCAAACAATTGTGTGTGTTATGTAAAATTTATACAATTGTCGTGCGTGGTATTCATATTAACTAGGGGGTACTTCTATTCTGGGATTTCGGAGGTTCCCAACTAGTTTGGGACGCAACACCTTTCGTTATCATTTATTTGTAAGAATAAATAATTAACTAAAAACAGCGAAGGTCAAGCGCTGGTTGTCATCACACTCAACAGATTTAAGATTCTCAATTATATACAAATTTATTAGTTTCAAAGTGTATATTCTGTAACAGTTCTTAACAATGTGATTCTACAAATATGAAATAATACAATATATTTGGCATAAACCTTACAAAATGACATGTATGAAAAACAATAAGTTAAAATAGATTTCATTCCATGAGCTGAGATTTCACGGAGGATGAATATCATTGTGATGATCTTAATATTAACAATGTAGTTCTCATCTTAATTAACACTGTAACAAATTAAGTGCAATAACTAATGTACAATAAACAATAAAGGCTTTGTTAAGGCACTACGAATCCTAATAAGGCGTTGTCAAAGTTTAAAATTATTACTCTAATCATGATTTTTCTTATCTAGCTGTATATTGTCATAGGAAAGAGGGCGAAAAATTATATAATAGGTACATTTATTTCATGTACAACAATAGAAAAATATAACAGTTCGACAAGAGAGGCTCTATATTGGGGATGTTTCAAATCACAGTAATTTATAGACCAAACATTACGACTACTTTAGAGATTTAAGTAACATTAATATCATATAACAACATAATGTATATAAAAAGGTACTTTAAAAATGTTGTGACAAACTGTTCTTTGTGTTGTTAGTATATGAATAACACAAGGAAGATACATTCCGGAATGTTTAGCTGCCGATTGTAAGTAACAAATTATTGATTTAGTAAATATATCTTAACCTAAAGAGAAGTATATAAGTTTAATAATAAGTACAAGGCATCCATAATACTGATTATAAATCAATTTTCTTAATTTTCTGGCACTTCATTGTAGTAATTTTAATTATAGTTAAAGAAATACTTTTTACATACGAATAAATTTTATAGACAAACACTAACCTTTTCGTAACATATAACGACTATACGTCAGAGAAAATATATTATTATCCTTTCATAATACACCAATACGTTAGAAATATATTATAAGACACTGAATTGACTAACTGGACGGGGACACTAATTTGGAATTGATATAACCTAATATTTTCATAAATGTATAATAATATCTCAAGATTTTAATTTCAAGAATAACCTTAGATGATGGAAATATCACTTATTCATAAACTATATTTTAGATAATATATGAAGGAATGCAATAAATACCATTTCGTTTCAACGTAAATAATGGAATGATCACACTGGGATGGCAGTGGCTAAGAATGTGTTCTATAACAGTGCTGCACACTTAAAATTAACAAGTTGCCTTAAACAACTTTGGTATGTCATGTTCTTTTTGTTAATTAGTTGTATAATGTATATGCATAAATTAATCAAGTTTTACGACCCAGAGCGCGGTGGGCCGGGTTGCATCGATGGATCTGAAACAATAACATCAATAAATGAATAAAGACAAGGTTGTGTAATTAACCACCATGAAGGTGTTGTCACGAGTCTTGAGCCCGTATTTTAAAAAGTGTCTCTGTCGTGACTCTTTATACTCCATACTACAGATTCACCTATCCATACTCAAGTGAGTGATAGCTTGTTTTAGAATGATATGTTTATGGCGAAATCTTTACTCAAGTATAGATTTTAACAGATGTGATCATTGTTTACGCGAGGGAAGCTGAAACTAGTCTCAAGCCACTACTTGAGATTAGATTCAGCTTGCCTCCTGGGCATTTTAGCAGAAATGAACGTGTTTTACGATTATTAGTTTCAGAATAGTTACGATAAAAATTCTTACTTCATTTACGAAAGAATTACTTGTCATACATAATCAATTCAATTTAATTTACCTTATCAACGCAACCTTTTAAGTTATGTTAAAAGTATAATATTATTCTAGTAATATAAATTTTGGAAATATAAAAGTGATAAAACGTTGTTTGACCATTCAACATGACGAGTGTTGTTAAATAACTTGAATGTTCAGTTATAGCTTATAACTAGTCATTTTTATATTTAATTTTGGACGAACTTGTAAAACACATTGTTATAACGGTCAATAGTATATTATATACAAATTCACAGAAATTGTTTGTAAAAGCTTTTTTTTAATTTTTATCTGCGTAATACGGAATAATAATGTTGCTCATGCGATCATGAGAACAGACTGTAAGTTCAAATTAATGCTTTAGAGTAGTTTCAACCGAGTGAATCTTAAAACGCGTTCTATAATCAGATCGACGCTTAAGTTTCGATCTGAACTTAACACTAATTTCAGATAATGAAAGTTCAACCGATACTCGAGACGACTTTTAAAAACGGGCCTCGCAGCAACGAACGGAGCCAGCCAGCCAACGAAGCACACTCTAAAGGAGTGGAGGGTTATATACTAACTGTCGGGCGGGTCGGGGTGGGGGTGGGCGTGCGGCATGAGCGGCACGAGCAGCGCGGGCGGGCCGGCGCGGCGCAGGAAGGGGTGCTGCAGCAGGCGCGCCGCCGCCTGGCGCTGCGCCGGGTCGCGCACCAGCGCGCTGTCCACGAAGGCGAGCAGGTCCGCCGGGCAGCGCGCCGCGCCGCGCGGCCGAGGCGGCGGCATGTCGCGGATGCGCCGCATCGCCTGACGACATTACACTCCTTGGTAACCATCACAAATAAATTCGGTTTCTTTTTTAAACGACCCCAAAAGACTATATCCGAGTCCGTGATAATAATATGTATCGACGTCGATTACTAATAGACGAACGTTCGATATCGATACGTTTCATTACTTAGTCGATTTCGAGTCGATTCTAAGCCTGAGATAAAGGGCTCACACAGACTGACGTACGACATGATGATGCATAGCGGCTTCTTTCACGAAACCCTACTTGGAGTAGCTGAGAGAAAAAAAACGCATTTCGCGGGTCGTATATAGCTTGGTATATCGAATCCCGAAGATGCACAGTGAAACGCCTTACAACTGGGCACAAATTCACCTTTTTTTTAATGTTATAAAAACTGTGTATTGAAAACTGGTTTCTATCTAATCAAATATTAACATGGATCTTATATAAATTAATGATTTTCACTTACTTGTAGAGGTGGTTCATTAAAGAACGGTGGCTCTCCATCTACCATTTCAACCAGCATTATGCCGAGCGACCATACGTCCACTTCGGGGCCGTACGGTAATCTCGATATAACTTCTGGTGACATCCAGTATGGAGTTCCCACTAATGATTTCCGCTTAGGCAGTTCCTAAATTTAAAAGTACTAATTTAACTAAGTTTAAAAAATACAGAAAGTGGTTTAAATATTAACGTAACAAAGGGCTAAAGATCATATGATTCAAACGCGGTAATTTTTCTATAAAATTTATGGGGCTAAGCAACTCTTATTACAGTGCTAGGTATAATTTTTAAGTAAACATGGCTTTACTCTTATGACACTTATTTTATTAACAGTAAATATATATTTCAAAGAGTTAAGTTTATAATGTTATTTATATTACAATAATTTACCTCTGATACTTGAGCACAAAATCCAAAATCTGATAATTTTACGCGACCATCTGCCGTCATTAAAATTGAGTCTGATTTAATATCCCTGTGAATGACTCCTTGGCTGTGCAGAAAAGCTAGTGCCTGAAAGAGAATATAAGACATTACAAAACAAAATATTTGTTTGGAAATTATTAAATACTTAATAATATAAAGAATAATTATTTTTTTATTTTATTTATTAAAAGGAGCAAGGAGCAACAAAGGAACAACACATATAAAATATAAACAACTTTAAGAAGGTTCCATGTAATATCCCAAATGGTCCATTCCAAGTCAGATCACATTATTTATTAGCTGGTACTGGTGGAATTTGAAAAGCGCTGCCTTAGTGGGTTCGATTCCTGGATCGGACAAAATTTTATAGGGTTTTTCTGAGGAAATATAGCCTAAGTCACTCCTTATATTGACAGCTACATGGTAGTAAAATATTATTAAAATCGGTCCAGCCGTTTCGAGGATTACCCGGAACAAACAGACAGACAGACAAAAAAAAATTAACTGGTTTTTTAGGCATAGTATCGTGCAAATAACCGTGTCAGAATACAAAAAACCTCTTATTTTGACATTACAAACAGACACTTTAATTTTATTTATTTGTATAGATTTAATCCATTAATTCTCATCACAAAAAAATCACTTTTAGCAGCACAGATACGTTTTTTGTACATGAATCCCATACATCTATCTTTTTTTACTATGAGTTGAAAATGTGTGTATGCATGTATTTTGTTTCATACAATTTTTTGATATACAAATAAGATTGGTAGCGAATAATGTTGCCAATGGCTGCAGCTACTAAAAAAATTATAGTATATAAACATTTAGTTGATTTTCATAATATAAGTTGTTATGTAAAACAAGTCAAATAATATAAGTAAGCTATATCACAATCAGGTGAAGTTGACTGCTATGGTTGGTTTTAGATAGGACAGGTATGGTATTAAGTTTCATTTAAAATTACTTTTGTCTAATTAAGATTTTTGAATTTTACAGTAACCTATTATATCACAAATCCAGTTGAAAACAATTACCTTTAAACACTGTTTGCATACAGTGGCAATTTGTTCAGGGTCCATTCTCGCCCTCGTCACTATGTCTGTGAGTGCGCCTCCTGCCATGTACTCCATTACGACCCACAATTCGTCCCCGACTAAATATGAAGCGTGCATCTCCACTATATTCGGATGAGGGTAGTCGCGCATTATGACCTGGACAGAAAAATGTTTAACTATAATAACAGCTAACTCTATAACTACATAGGTTAGGTTCTAAGAGTTTTATTTACAAAGTTTTACATTACATAGCTTATTTATCTAAAGATTTCATTTTATACTTAATTTGTTAAGAAATATTTTTAGGCTGACATAGTGAAAAAGTATGTAGTTTTAACTCTGCTTACCTTTTCAACACTGCCTATTTGTTACTTTCTTTTTATTATATATTATATTCACTGCATGAAATATTTAAAGCTCTGGTAGCCCCTTCTATAAAATGTATGAGGGTCTTTGTACTGTCCACATGCAACTTAGTTTTGGTGCCTAGTCAAACAGAGTATGATGTATTGAAAATTTCGAACCTATCGATAACTTTTCAACATCACTGGTCATTTGGATACAACTTATTCAAACAGCCGCTCATGCGACGCTCATCATGTCACAATAAATTTTACAATTAGACAGTCTCATTCATACAGGTAAACCTGGTATACACACTGAGTGTACTGTGTACAATGTCATAGTCTAAATTGACCTTAACTCTACAACTATAAATGTATGATATTAGTATTATTTTTTATTTATAAATAGATAACTCGCGCAACTTCGTCTACGTCTCTCAAAAGGAATTAAATTTTCCCATTTTTGCAACTTTTTCATTGCTGCCTAGCTCTAATTCGTCGTAGCGTGATGTTATATAGCTTATAGATTTTCTGGATAAGCATGTTCAACCAAACAAACTCTTCAGCTTTATAGTATTAGTAGAGATAAGAAAAATTAAAATTTTAAACTTACTACTTCATTAAACAAAAGTTCTCGCCTCTGCTGTTTACGCAGATTCATCATTTTGACTGCGACGCGGCGTCTCGTGCGTGTATCGGTGGCTGCGCATACTACGCCCGTGCTGCCCTCGCCGATCTTGCTAAAGCCGCTCAGAGTCGCGCGGGGGTCGCCTTCGCTTACCACTAAGCGAAGGGCTGCACGGAACTGTGGTCATAATATTTAAAATATACATCATGATTACACTTCCTCAGTAGCTTTAGCGTTTTTAAGGTGCATCTATAATATAATCCGCTTTACATTAGATGAATTCCAAATAAATGAGTCAGAATTTAGATTTAGCAATTGAATGAATCCTTATAATCATTGACCAGCCATATTGCTCCTGGTTTATGTGACAGGAACTTGCTTTTTTGACTATGTACCTACTTAGTATTAAGTCATAGCTTTTTAAGCCACCCTTGAGGAAAAATGTAATAATTTTGTTCACATTTTTTTTATAATAGTAATTGAACAATTAATTAATTTAAATAATATTGACTAGCTTTAACCAGCAGCATTAAAGTTATTATTCTATCTATCAGAACAGACAGTACTTTGTTCCGACATATAGAAAAGTGTATTTGACCAAAAAAATCCCAATGATTGGCTAAACAGTTAAAGCATTTTCATTCATTGCAACCTCACATTTTCATTTATATATTAGTTAGGTTTTGTTTAAAAATACATATTATCTACCTGTTCATGGGTTAATCGTAGCTCATGTTTTGAGGCAGCAAGAGGTAGATGTTGGGCAGCCGGTGCACCACTTCCCCTTGACACGGGATATGGCTCACCTAAACAGATAATGAGCAAAATATTATTTTTTCTAGACATGGACCTCAAATGTATTTGTGTTTTTACTGATGCAAATCTATTTCATCAGCAATATCTATTGCTGACTGTCCACTGACAGTAGAACCATAACACCACCATAGAACCACCACTAAAAAATTTATGTTACTTCTGATTGTAAAAATAGTGCTGATAAAGTATTAAGAGATAAAAAAAACAATAAATACTCTGGTAATAGTCATATTGTATTGTATAATTACTTAATGTTGCCCTAATAAGACATTTTAACTGCCTTATGCCAATTACTTTTAGGTTCATCATAATATACTTTTAATATTTATAAATATATAATAAATAATATATATCTATATATATATAAATTATCATTTTATATATTTATCTTAATAAATAACTCATATTTTTAAAACACATATGTCATGTTAGTCGTTAAGTTAATCACATAAAAAATTTAAGTCTTAGTAAGAAGACATTACACTCTTTACAAGCACATTTCATACTTTAAAACAAGTCTTAATAGGAAAGGTTTAACAATTAGAAACAAAATAAGAATCATACCCATATTTACTGAGTTTCCATTTAGCCCATGAGGTACCGCATGAGTCATTGGCTGAGGTGGGTGATTGTGTTGATAGGGGACATTTGCATTCTGTATATTCTGATAGGTCATAGGGGTATGTTGATTATCATTGATCTCAGGCACATTTCTCACTGCATCATGTTGATGCTGTGTCCAGTCCACAGGGGATTCTGATATAGGTTTGTTTAAGGTATAATTACTATGTTCCCTTCTTAAGCTTGTGTATTGCTGCGGTGCTGGTGGTACAGGTGGTGACTCCTCTGGCACAGAAGGTGGAACATTAGCTTGATTCCTCAAGTCCCTTCTGATTCTCGGTGGGCTTGAACTTCTTAAAGAATTTGACCTTGCCACATTTGATGTTTTAGGCAAAACAACACCATTTTGAACAGGCTGCTGTGGAACATTTGAGTGCATAGGCCGTGCAATTGATGATACTGAGGTAGTTCTGTGATCACCTCTGACTATGGTTTTCAGGTCAAGGATCTCTGTAGGAGTTATTTCAGAAGGATCTACTAATGGTAATGGCCTGTTTGTTGATTTTAATATCTGTAATACCAAAATATATCGTAAAAGGATAGTACAGTGCCTAATTACCTATATAGAAACAAGAATAGAGCATAACTAAGGATTTCCAAAAAAATTTAATACAAAATAGTGAAAACAAAAATTAACACTAACCTGATTATTACCCACAAGTGAGGCCCATTGCAAAGGAAGTCCAACAAACTTTCCCTCTCGTTTATCAAAACCTGTATGTACTCTGTGTTCGAAATTACTAGGCGGCGATATAAGAGGTTTTTTCTTCTTCTTAGAAAACATAGTGTAATATGAACTGCAGGTAACACCTTTTATGTTACAGGTTCATTTATACTCAATTAATCCTATATACTCGCTACATCGATTTATGTAACAAGAATTGATGAAAAGAAAGCCTATTATTACTTTCTTCAGAGATAACACCTATCGACATTGATTCTACTCAATTAGATACGCACACTTAGCTACGCCTTTGGCCTATAAACAAAAACAACTCACTGATATTTTGAGGTGTATACTCCGTTAAAGTACCTATCTACACTGACACACACTGAATATAAATTATAATTCAAGTGCGTATTCCGACATTCCTCAACGTCAAGCATCCATGCTCGACACAGGTACATAACAACAAATTAAATTAACGTAATGATATTAAACATCCCACTTCTCAAAGAAAGATTAAAAGGACGTATGTCTTTCGAAGAGTCGTTGTAGAATTATATGAAAGACTATAATTTTTTATAACATATTACGATAATAAGTAAGTAAAACCAAAGAACAGCAACAAGAAACAACCGAGCACAGCATTAGTCAAAAATATCAAAATGCAACGTAGAAAGAGATGGTGCCGATAAATATTAGATACCAACATGTAACTTATATCGAAATAACATAAGTATTAGTTGGCTTTAATGTCAAAGGCCTAAAGCTATAAATCACCTATTGGGGGTAAGAATTAGTATTTGGCACGTTAAAAACGCTTTCAGAATATAAAAAACATGAAAATGTGTGTAACATGATCATTTAAATAATTATCAGTTCTAAAAAAATAGGTAATTATTTTTTGTCTATCCGATCTAACTGGAACGTGTATTAGGTATTTTATAGTATTAAGAGAAGATAGATCATATCATAGTTCGTCTATATCGTTTAAAAAAATCTAAATTTTTTGAGCGTTGAATGTAATGCTGATAATTAGGGCTAAATTAACCACCACTCAAGCGTTGCAGCCGAGCATGGCCCTAGCGTAGAACTCTTTTACTGCAGTCTTCAAAGAGTATCGTTAGGTTCACGAGTTACGGCCGTCGTGCACTAGTCGCTGGAGACAAAAGTTTTACTGTGATCGCACATGGAGGAAGATTGGGCCCAAGTAAATCGGGCAGAGGTGGCGCGCCTTTCAACTGTTAATTCCAAATGAGTCGGCCGGTGAGATGATGAAATGTGTTTTGCTTTCCACCTGATATAGTTTTCAGCAGCGAGGAGACAACGTCTCTAGGGTGTCTGTACGTAACCTAATTGAGAGTTCTTTACCTGAAGGTCATGCCCACTACCCAGATAAAAAGGGTCGGAATCCTCCTACTTTAGGCACAGTATAGTAGCCTACTACTATGTTGAAAATGGCAGCCTGTGACAATAGCTTTAATACCGATACCCCACCGCATAAAAATATCCGGTAGTTCTTTTCTTCCATAACCCAGAACTTAGTCACGGTACAATTATAATACAGTATTGTAACTCGGCCGCATGATAGAAATAAATGCCTACAGCCGCGCGGTACTTAAACATGCGTTAGGGCTGCCCGTCTCCAGCATTTTAATTATATTTGCCTACTTTCTGTTTCTATTTAGATTTGTGATTGTAAATATCCTTTTTATATAAATAAATGAAATACTTTGTATATTGAATAGGAATTGTTCAATAAAAATGCGTGTTGTTTTTTGATTGGTAGATTTAATTAAAAAACATGTTTTTGTTTGAAAAACAAATCGGGCTTATAAATTAGCGACCGAAAAAAATCCTTCTATAAAATAAAATAAATGTGCTTTCTCCATACAAAACTCCAATCCTTAGAAACTCCAACACCTACCACCTACTCAACTAGAATGCAAGAAACAGCTGACGAGTAAGTAACTTTTTATCTCAGCTTATTAACGTCTCTATAAATTAGGTACCTACCTACAACTCGCAACAACTCAAAACAAAAATTCTTTGGTCACCAATTAATTAATTATTAAAAAGCTGAACAGCTGACTACGAATGTTTTAAAATCACAACCCTCAAACATCTAAATATTATATATGAGTCTAGCTGTTGTTGTTAATACCGAGAAAATAAAACTAGTTTTTAGTGGTATATGTTGTTATAGTAGCAGCAGAAACACTTTGTGAAAATTTCGAAAACTGTCTAATGACACACAGACGGTAACAAATTTTTTTTAGTATTATTCATACACACAGATAATAAACAAATATTATTAATAATAAAATACCACGTCTTTACTTTGAATTATGCAAAGTAACAAAACACACATGCACCGAAGTTTTAACACAAGCGTAAGTAGGTAGGTACCTACCGTATCATGATTCATTCAGAACCGCATGTAACTCCCTATTTCACTCGTCTCAATAACTTTCCGTTACTCTATTTGCTTTATTTATTCATCCAAACACCTTTTTTTTCGTGAGATAAAAGGAAATACTTATCCATTAAAAAGACACACATTATGTACCTACGTACTAGTAAGTAAAATTATTTTATAGTCTTACTTTTCAGAGTTTCCAGGTAATTTAAAAAAACTTATGTCTGGATGCGTAATTGACGAATTCATACAACCAAAAACAGCACAATATTTCCTACTCGTCATATTAACTGATTTTTAGAGAAAAAATCGCGCGGTTATTGTTAAAAAAACAACACGCAGTCCGTTCGACACTGCGGTACAGCCGTGACTGTCTGCGCCCCGAGCGCACCCCGAGATCGAGGCGCGTAGGTATAGCTCCCGTTTCGTCCGTTTGTATGAAGTTGGAGTACTGTATTATAATAGTACCGTGACTTAGTCAAGGTACCAGTGACGCAATAATCAAAAATTGATAGTCTCTAATATGTTAAATTGTAGCTGGTGCATTCAACAAGCTTCATCATCCGTTTAGATATTTAGTAAAATAAAGGGCGCAATGCCATGATATCTACATGACCTGGCCTAAGCGTATAATACAACATTTAAGGTGTTCCTTAAATGCTGTATTGTAAACATGTTTGTTTCTGCCATTTATTCAGTCGGGTAACAATGGGGTGAAAGCTTCTGAAATTAGTGATTGTTTGCTTTGCAAATTGGTTTAATAAGTAATTGAATCAATGAAATAAGTAATTAATCCATCTAAAAAAATTTCAAAGTATAGTGACTATTATTTTTTTAATATTTGTTACTATACAGTTAGTTGAAGGCTTACTTATTCTCATTTTAGTGCCCCAGTATTTAGTACGCTTTTATGATATTTTTTATTTTCGTTCTTTGCTAAATATGTGTCATTGGTATGTTTCTGGTTGAAAAGACATTTGGTGTCTATGTTACGAATTATATTTTACATCGTATTACATACCGTTCTGTGTCATCTGTGGTCATCTGTAGGTTGCGTGTGTCTATGGTGAAGTCTGTGTCTGTGCTGTGTGACATGACAATTGACATTACTTAATAGTCACCGATATTGTGAGAATAAGTAAATATTTGTACTACAACAATATTGTACTATGGAGGAAAAGCATAAAAAATCTCATAAGACAAAAATGCGTAAGACAGGAAGTAAAAGGCGATCGAGTGTAAGTAAACAAAATGTACTTAACACTATTCCTAAGTATTGTCTGAATATTTATATCGTATTGATTTAGATTTTCAGAACACCTTATTTATCAACACTAATATCGATATATAATTCTAGACTTAAATAAAACTACTTTAAAGGATTTATAATTAACAGAACATTTTATTTAAATAAAAAAAATTGTAATTCAACAATTTCTAATATTTTAGACATCGAGTCCAAACAGTTCTGAATCCGATGAATGGGTTGAAAAAGACAGTAAATCTAGTGCACCCAATCAGAGGGAAGACTGGATGTCAATGACTGGGATGCTCAAAACATACACAAAGAATGACATTAGGCCAAAACGAGAAGAAAAGGATAAAAAACATATTGATTCATACAATCCAGCAACTTGCAGTAGAGAATTGAATCCATACTGGAGAAATGGGGGCACTGGTTTACCTCAAACATCAGACATCTATAGAAAATCAAAGCCATTTGTTAAACCGAGTGATACTGTTGACTATTATTCTAAATCAAGGTATTTAACATCAAAGGCTTGTGAAAGGCATTTCATAAAACAACCCTCAGTGCTTTGAAATTCAGTAATAATGATTATTATGCTATTTCTAGGAAATCAACAAATAATGCTATGGACACTCAATCAAGTAGAAAATCTAAAGGACTTGTTAAACCCAGTAATGACGACGATGATGATTATTATGTGAACTCTAGGAGTTCAAGTTCACAACCTTATGAAAGACATCATGGGAGAGGTGTACATGACAAGTACAAAGATGAAAGAAATTATAATTATGGTTCATTAGGAACAAGTAGTTGGAGGAAGCACAGTGAGAAGGATGATAAGAGAAGGGACATTAAAACAGAAGTCCAAGATGAGTATCAAATGACTGAAGATAAAGGTATTGATATAAACTCAAAACTTATTTATTGTAGTGGAAACAAGTTTCAATTTTCTTAATTGAGTATGTATATTATAGTACTTACTCTAGGATTTAAATAGATTGCAACTCCAAAGTATAAGTAATAAATAAATCTAGACAGTGTTATCCATAGTGGTTTACAGTCACAATTTTAAAATTATCTGACTGACTGATGATTGAATGATTTTCCTTATTTCATATATTTATGTGTTAAATTGTCATTTGGTCCCAGCACTTTTTAAACAATGTAGAACAGACTATATTCTATCTATCTCACAAAATCTTGCTCACAGGGTCATGAGTTATGGCTGGTACTTATAGTTCAGGTACCTATTTAAAGTACCAGCCGAAAATGTTTTGTGGTGTATTATGTACAGACATATATAATTGTCAAAATAGTCTGCAAAAATTGTGAAAGAATAAAACCAATAAATAAATATACATAATTACAATAGTTGTTACATTTTAATTGTTATGGAGATAAAGATTAATGATTCATATTACAAATCGTAATTAGCAAGAAACTTTCTTGCTTATTAAATAGTTTATTCATTCGTTCTTCTCACTTGAATTTTATGTTCATATAACTACATGGAACTGAACAAATGACTTCAAATTTATTTTGAAGAGTAATGAATTTTAAAGTGAAACATTACAACTGTTAATGGCAAATAAAATAAAGGTTAACATTTTGATGTAACTTGGTGTTGATGCACTAATTTAGGAAATAATATTATTTATTAAATCATTGAACCCTTAACCAACCCGTCTGGCCCGCGCGGTACAGAAGGCCAAAACCTCCTTTCTAAAGAGAGGCCTATGTCAAGCAGTGGACTGTTAAAGGCTGTTGATGATGATGAAATCATTGAAAATACATTTATTAGTGATCAAATTATAACCAACAAATAATAATAATTTAACCACACATGGTTTTTGCAAATTCTTAAAATATATTTTGAGTTTGAATTCTTAGCTGTATTTATGGCACACACACAGCACATAATTCTTAAAAGATCAAACCAAATGAGTAGCCACAAGTATAACGATGAATGATGTTTCCATAGTAAATTCATTAATTGTTATCTGAAGCAATTTGTAGACTCACAGGCCAAAATTCAACTGTCAAAATGCACCCTTTAAAATAATCTATACTAATATTATAAAGCTGAAGAGTTTGTTTGTTTGTTTGTTTGTTTGTTTGTTTGAACGCGCTAATCTCAGGAACTACTGGTCCGATTTGAAAAATTCTTTCAGTGTTAGAGAGCCCATTTATCGAGGAAGGCTATAGGCTATATATCATCACGCTAAGACCAATAGGAGCGGAGCACCAATGAAGAATGTTTCAAAAACGGAGAAAATTTATTACTATTGAGAGACGCAGACGAAGTTGCGCGGGTCAGCTAGTTTAACCATAATTAACGATTAACAGATTAAAGTTATGTTTTTACTAAATTATAGTTTGTTAGCATTACTTCGACACAATCCGACATTTTTACTTGTTTAATATCGTTGACATTTTTGATGACTGTTTGACTGACAAGGCGTAGTTTTCGTTGAACGTGTCATTGTGTATACGAGTATACACGCCAAGGCGTAGTTTCAATTGGCCTCACTTCTTTGCTCACAGAGTACCATCTTAACTTTTTTATTTTATCTAAGTTAGTTGCCTTTTTATGAGAAAACGATCATGGTTCATTAGCTCTGTAAAATATTTGCTATGTTTTTTAAGATAACAAAAAGTCAGAAAAACCTGTTAGCAGCTTGGAAACTGTCAGAACAGAAGTAAAAAAAGAATCAAAAAATAATTTGTATTTAAGTGATGAAGAAATGAATAAACTTGCTGCAAAGATTGTAAAGGCTGAAATATTGGGAGACACCAAATTAGTTGAAAAGTTAAAGGCTAAATTAGAGGACGCAAGGGAGTATAGAAAGCATAATCCAGATGCAGGCAAAGAGGATGAGGATGACAGAGTAATGTTGATATCAACAAGCAGGTCTGGTAATAGCAGGCCACTTGCTTTTGGTGAGAAAGGAGATTCGAGAAGTAAAGGTGGCAAAAGAAAAGCTGAAACACATGTTTCTGGAGAAAGAACTAAATACTTTGGCAATGATGATAAATATAACTTGAAAGAAATGGTAAGTTGGCTTGTACTTGAAATAAAATTAGATGTAGCAGAAACTTTTTGAATTAGTTGCATATCTCTGATACATGTAATACATACCTATAATTTTTCTATTTGATATGTGACCTCTTCTTGACCGATTTTCATTTTTTTATTTGTGTATTTTTGTAGATGGTCTAGACAAGTGATTGGATAGGTAGGATTGCTTTATACTTTTTTTGTGGGTTTGAGCAGGTTTCTGAATTAGATTCAGAATAGGACTCGGGACTAAAAATAAGATATTTATGTTTGAGTATGATTAAGTCTGTCATTTCTGATAGAACTATATGTATATTAATTAATCATTAAATTATAAATATGATATTTCAGTTTCAACAAGAGAAGTATGGAAGTAACTACAATGACGAAGCTGAATTGGCTAAAATTGCCTCCAAGCATAAGAATCCTAATGATGACTTAGAAGATATATTTATGGATGAAATAGCTAAGAATAGAAGTGCAGCAAAGGATAGTGAAAGTGAAAAACAGAGAGCTATCAATCAGCATCAGAAGATGGAAAAATCTTTAGATGGGTGTGAATATTGTGTAGATTCTAAGAACATGTTGAAACATCTTATGGTTAGCATGGGAAACAAAGTTTATGTAGCACTACCCTCAAGAAGGTCTCTTGTTAAAGATCAGTGCATTATAACAACAATCCAACATTCAACATGCATTACCTCAGTAGATGAAGATGTCTGGGAGGAAATATTGGTGAGTTTGGAAATAAACAATTAGACTAGACTACTAGTGTCTAGCAATATTAAATTATTTTAATCAAATTGGTAAAAAAATTCACACAGATTATTTCTTGTATAATATACAAGAAACTCGAGCAAATTGGTAGATAATCAAAACATATTTTAATTTTCTGTTTTTACTCCCATTTTCAACAAATATGTAACTAGACTGCAACAACATTCAGCCAACATTCGTTATCCGAATGGAATTAATTAATTCACAATGACACTGATTGAATTTTTAACTGATTAATGCACTTTGATGACTGAACTTTGCTACTAGCTCAATAACACCGTCTAATGAAGTGCCTCCATTTTATAACTGTACTGGATAAAGTCTAATAATTTATGATAATAAGTACTAAATTATTTATTGTGCATATGTGTATATACCAATACTGTTCATTTCATTATTATCATAATTGTTACAGAGTTACAGAAGGGCTCTTACAAAATTCTATAATTCTCAAAACAAAGATGTAGTATTTTTCGAGACTGCAACAAAGTTACACAGATACCCACATTTGGTCATTAACTGTGTGCCATTACCAAGAGATGTAGGTGATATGGCTGCTATATATTTCAAAAAAGCGCTTCTAGATTGTGAAGCAGAGTGGTCTATGAATAAAAAAGTAGTAGACTTGAAAGGGAAAAGTATACGAAAGGGAGTACCAAAAGGGTTACCATATTTCTGGATAGATTTTGGAATGGATCCAGGATTTGCTCATGTAATCGAGGACCAGCAGTTGTTCCCTAAAACATTTGCAGAGGTATGACATCATTTTCTAATGCTGTGGTTGTCCTAATTCTTTCGTTAAAGCTAATAAATTTAAAATAATTAATTGCATTAAAGATGATGAAGGAAAAAACATAAATTAGGAATTTTGATTAATTTCTTTGCAAGATTAAAGATACATATTAATAATTTACAGGAAATAATTTGTGGTGTATTGGATTTGGACCACAGCTTATGGAAGAACCCGCGGAAAGATTATGGAGACGTACAAAGAAAAAAAGTCCTTGACTTTGTTAAAGAGTGGAAACATTTCGATCCAGTGACCAAATAAATTTTTCTAATAGATACTTTTCACACTTTATTTATTAAAAATCTTATTTCATACAATGGTGTACTATGATTCATCAGCTTTCATCATTTCTTCTATTAATCTTTGCCTTTCTGCCGCCTGTCTCATTTTTGTCAAAACTATAGATTCATAATCTCTATCTGATATTACTGATGGCCCATCAGAAATATGTTTCTTAGTTGTAAATACTTGTCGTTCATTGAGCCATTTTAATTCTAATGGATTGTGTGGTAAACCTGAAAATAGGAAACAAAATTAATTATACGCAACAAAAATTTACCACAATTTTTATTGAGACAATCTGTAAAAGCTTGTAAGCCTTGCATTATGTTGTCAGTTCTTGTCATACGAAATATACACGGTGATTTTAGAGGCGTTTTGGAAACGAAACATTTTAATTTGGAATCATCTATAGTACCAATAAAAATGGTTAAATCAATTGTAATGTAGACTAAAAAAAGTTTCAGTTTTAATATTCATTTTTACTCGATCGACTTGGAAAGTAGTAATGCACTGATCATTCATTCATTATCTTATATGAATGAAACACGTCCGTGCGCGTTTCGGCGGCCGCTGCGCACCGCTGACGCTAACAGCAGCTGATAAAAGTATACCTATAGGCGCGAGCTAGCGAGTACTTACGTAGATAGACTCCAGTTTGTCCTTCATACTTTACACGGGCTTAGGACCGTCGGAAATACATATTTTATTTAAACTTCTTTTCGATTATTAACCACGATTGTTCTCTTCACAACAAATCAATTTATCAACGGACTGTAGGTATAAATATTTCAGGCGTATTTAAAAAACCGTAGCTATCTACAGAATAATTAACTTAGATACCTATTTACAGTTTATTTACACTATTTACACTTCTCTGTATCGAAGCAACTGCTCAAAATAGAGTCCGCTGCGTTCAATACACAAACGTCCACGTTCAATGCAATTGTTTTTTAATTTTCTTAATGTGTCTCTATCACTTTTCACTGTATCAAAAGCGTCCACTATCGCAATGCGTAAATCATCACGGCTTTCATATTCCCGTGTATAAACAAGCCTTTTTATTTCCGACCATAAGAAAAAATCCAGGGGCGTTAAGTCCGGGCTTCTAGGTGGCCAAGGCACAGGCCCTCTTCGACCTATCCACCGATCACTAAACTTATTGTCCAGGTATGCACGCACTACGCTCCGGCGAATAATAATTTAAACACTCCGGCGAATAATAATTTAAACGTCCTTGACCTTGCGCATGAGTAGGCGCACGAAATTGTCCGTGGTCGAGAAGACGTTGGGTTGCAGCCAAGACGGTAGGTGTGGAGGGGATTTGAGGGCTTTCAATTCCACGTAGCCGTAGTTCATTTAAATGCTCCGACTGGGAATACAAACGCCGAGCCTCTTCCAAGTTGTAGTTGACAGTAGCGTACAGCTGTACCATTGCCAAGTACTCCGCGTTTGAAAATTCGTACTGTCGACTCATTTTAGCGCTAATCAATGTAGCGTGCCGTCACGATGTTATATTATTACTGACCGACTGGGAAGGACGCCTCACGATTACAGGTGAGTCCCGCGCATGCGCCTCAGTGCAATGCCGTCATTGGTTGGACGACTCCGGCGCAACTCGTAGCTTTGTTTTTATTGGCGAAAACGATTTTATGTGACTCGATATTAAAACGCGTAGTATTTCTATTTGTAGTATTTACCTACGTGTGATTGAATAGCCCTACTACTGGTTCTCACTTTTTCTCTGTAAACGATATGAAAATCGACTTTGATGAAAAAATAATTTTTTTTTTTTTTTAAATTAACGTTATATATAGCTTCTGTTATTGATAAATAATTTAAAATTTTCTTTTTCAAAACGCTTTCAAAATCACCGTGTATATTACATAACAGCATACAGTATGTGAGTACTTTCATTTGTCATATATCATCATCACATCACTTAAACAGCCTTTAACAGTCCAATGCTGGACATCAGCCTCTCCTTAGAAAGGAGGTTTTGGCCTACTATACCACACTGGCTAGATGGGTTGGTATATGGTTTGTGTCAAGTTTTCCTTCTCTGCAGTGCTGTTGTTCTGCATAGTTTTCTCCTTTAGTTGACTCTTACGACACCCATGGGATGAATAAGAGTGGTGACACTGCATTCTTAATCCATCACCACATGGACCATCATGTCATGTATAGTTGGTCTTTAGTTTTTATATAGTAATCATCATATGGGCTATGTAATGTTGACTGTTAGATCTGTTTTCTGTAACATCACTGCTATAAGCCATATAGATATAATAATGTGGATACTGTTACCTTTTTCAAATTCAAATGCCATTTCGGAAGCTTCTTTACTTGCAAACTCAACTAATGCACTACCTTTCTTTTTTGGAGACATTACTAGTGCAACAATTTCACCATATTTTTTAAGAAACCTTCTTAAAGTAGCTTCATCATAGTCACTACTACTAGGATCACTTTTATTTACTGTCCACTTAATTTTAATTCTATTAAGACTAGAGTCCCATACTGGATCAGAAATTAGGTTCATTTTTCTTTTTATTTCTTCTTTCATCCTTAGTTGTTCTTCTTGCAAAAGCCGACTACCCTCTTTTTGCAGTCGTTCAATTTCTGCAGCTAATTTTTGTGCATCTGTTAAATTACTTGAACTTTTTCCAGCCTCAGCTTCTTTTTCTCGCCTTTCTAAATCTTCTTTCAACTTCTGTCTCTTAGTATCTAACTGTTGATGCCGCAGTTTAGCCGCTTCTTTTGCTCTAAGTACTTTGTCATATGCAGCCCGTGCAGATACATCTGTTAAGATTTCTAGAGCTCGGGATAGTTCGTGAAATGTTTCTGCAGCTTTAGGATCGTCGGGATTTTTATCAGGGTGGCATTGTAATGCTTTTTTTCGATATGCCTTTTTAATCTAAAACAACAACAGTGGTACTACAGTCAGTTATAAATTGAAATAAAAAGATAGATTATAACAATAATGTAATTTACCTCTGATTCGGTGGCTGTAATAGTAAGATCCAATAAAGCATACAAATCAACATCTTCAATATTCTTTCGTGCCATTGAATACAGCAAAACAATAAGCGAAAGCTAGTCGCTCTAGTTTAACAAAATTATTATAGTTTGAAAACGCCAAAACCTTAGTATTAATTACAACTCTAAGTAGGTTTTTTCAAAATCAACACAATTTACACATCAATTAACTTTTGATTAAGTGAATAATTGCTTTGTGGACTTGTTAAGTTAACACAAAATTAAGATAGGTACCACGACAGGCCAATAGTAGCCAATGTCATTTATGTCATAAAGTAGCTGTCCAAGAATTTGACATAAAAATATAAATATGGATCTAAAGCTAAGGTAGAACCAAAGACAGTTTCTTTAAACAAATCCTGAAATGTTCGTGTTCACATTAATTTGATAGTGATCATATCCTCATGAACGTAAAATAACGTCGGTTTTGAAAAAAAATTGAAATTCAGTTTTGTCATATTTGGATACTACATTGTCTAAATATTATTACTACATACAAGAAAAAAATGATATGTATTTTAGACTTTATATTATTTACTGTTTGTTAGTGCATAGGCGCACAAAGTAAAATGAAGCATGTGATTTTTCTAGAAAATTGTACAAATATTACTTGATATTTTTATTTCGTTTCAAAAAAAACCCTATATTTCACTTGTATGGCAATTTTCATAATTACAATCTTACAAATATTACATAATTAAAATCATAATCATCTGTAAAGTTCAATAAATGTCAGATCCGACACTATTCTACAACTGTGACGATATAACAATCTTGATATCATTCTAGAACAACTTCAGTTTCCAATTATAGTGGAAACAATAAATATTAATATATGGAACAAATCTGACTAAAAATATACATCAAGTATGGAAAATTACTGCTGACTTAATAGCATCCTTCACAATTTTTCAGAAATTTGTAAAATATTCATTACTGGAACCTGGCAATTTTAGTTTATTAATCATTTAATCCTTGCAATACCCCAAAACCGACCAATACAGATTCATTTCCATGTTAAAATTGCAAAAATTATTTTATCTTACTTATGGATGACGACGAAAGGTAAAGGGTAGTGTGAAGAAGAAATTAGTAAAGTGCGAATCACACTTTACCATTTATATTATTTTCCTGGGTGAGAATTGAACCCATGTCCGCTATCAGGGATCCATACATAGTTTTCTTATTAATATGTTTTCTAAACATAGACCGTGTGCTTCTTATTCTGAAGTATTTAATAGATCAGTTATAAAATCTCGAAGTTTAAGAATAGTTTAAAATTATGAAATTTCATTGTTGCAGCGATGGACACGGTCCGGAGCTCTGGACTCGATTCACTGTAGCTGGAGGTCGAGATGTGAGCACAATTGCAATGGTTCTCGACCAATCTGTATGTAGGTGTATCAGTATTTAATTATCTGTTCGGAATGTGGAGATACAATGTATGTCAGCTTGATGTCAGCTGTCCTGTCAATGTCATGAAGTTTGAAGTTTTGTAAAATTTGTATTTTTTGGTTAGGTGTTTCCTTTTAATTACTGGCTTAAAAATATTATTACTAGCTGGTTTTATTTAAATACCTATTGCGATATCACAACAGCCACACTCTTTAAAATGTTATCGAACTGTTTAAGTAAGAACTTTTGACAAATATTTGTGTTACAAAATAATGTTTCATATTGTAGACGATTATTGGTTTTTTCAGGATATCGGTCTCTGAGGCTTACCACACATCTGTTAAGAAATAATTCGACAGAAGCTGCGCCTGCGATAGACCCGGCTGCTGCGCAAGTACCTGATGGTATAAATTTTTTATTGTGTTGACTTAATGTGGTCACTGGTGTGCCAGTGCCTGATTTATTTTATTTGTTAATGTGGTAGACATAAGCTTGACTCCTATCTGATGGTAAATGACACCACCAGTTATAGACACAGAGAACACCAGTTATAGGTAGTTCCGAGCAATTGTTCAGACTAATACTGGCCACAACTTTCCAGCATTGTTCCACACGGCAAAATTTTATCCCCATCACTGGGGTAATTAATTGGCACTCCACCAGTGTGCGCTTTTCAATAGTCATAGTCATTTATTCATCAACAAATTACATTGTATTTGAAATTAAAATAATTAATAAAATAATAGTAATAATATTTAAACTAGAAAAAAAAAACATAATTGTGTCATCATTAGTATTTTAAAACAGTCATTTTAATATAATAGTAAAAATGTCTAAATAATATAATGTCACTGGTTATCTTACATATACATATTTTGGATAATTTAATTCAGAAAAATTCACTCTATGTTACAATTCATCAATAGCATAAAGGCATCTGTCCAAAAGGAAAGCTTTTAATTTTATTTTAAAGGAACTTGCATATAACACTCTCTTTATATCTTCAGGCAACCTATGATACAGCTGTACCGCTTGATATCTAGCGTTGTGTTTTACGACATTTAATTGGGGAATAATATCTGTTTTAAAATCTTTTCTATATATATATATTCCTAGGCTTGTGAAGAATACACTTTTTGCCTAGCACAACCGATCTGTGGAACAAGTTGTCGTCTGCGGTATTTCCGGACTGATCGGACCTTCAAGAAAAGCGCGTATTCCTTCCTCAAAGCCCCTCAACGCTCTTGTGACTCCTGACTTGCAGACATTCATCGGCGGCGGTAGTCACTCACAGTCTGCTTGTTTGCTCCGTTTAAGATTTACAGCCTATAAGAAACCCACTGGTCATTACTTATTTAACTGATAATCTAAAAATTAATAGAGCGGTAAAATCAAAACAACTTATTAAGTGGTATATATTTACTTACTGTATAAAGTAAAAAATTGATGAAAATGAAAAATTACATAGCACACATTTGAATCATAGTAATATATTGAAGTGTTCTCATTTTATATTGTAGACAAAAAAATCCAAAACAAAATGTGTCCACCTCTTTGATAACCTATAATAATAATAAAAACATTTTCACACATCTCACACGGCCGTCTGATCCCTAACTAGGCTATTTCCAATTGGAGCAATATGTAAAGAGTTAATGACATAATGTATTTTTTCAGGCCAAACATCCCAGAAAAATCCTTTGGACCATCCAGATTATTTCCAAGTTCATAATTTGTTTACAGTAAAGGATTTATTTGATGCAAGAGTTCACTACGGACATAAGGAGGGTTCTCTGAATGACTATATGAGGCCTTACTTGTATGGATCTAGACTTGGTCACTTAATATTTAATTTAGATATAACTGCAGAACACCTAAGGAAAGCCCTGAATTTTACAGCACACATTGCCTACAGAGGAGGAATTATTTGTTTTTTCAACAGAAATTCTTTAAATGCCCACTTGGTGGAAAAGACAGCACTAGAAAGTGGAGAGTATGCTCATACAAGATTCTGGCGTGGAGGTATTTTCACCAATGCCAATCACCAATTTGGCGCAGTCACTAGACTTCCAGACTTATGTATATTTTTAAATACTCAAAATAATATTTTGAATCAACATACTGCAGTGAGAGACAGTGCAAAAATGTTGATACCCACAATCGGTATTGTCGACACCAACTGCAATCCAAACTTGATCACTTACCCAGTACCAGGAAATGATGACACCCCTTCGGCCATTGAATTATATTGTAAACTATTTAAAGCAGCAATATTCCGAGGTAAAGAGGAGAGGATGAAATTTTTACATCAGAATATTTAACAAATAATAATATACTAGATAGTATTTAAGCTTAGCTCAGGTTTATTAAAACAATACTTCAAATTGATATATTTTATTTTATAACTGGTTATAAAAACACCATAATATAAAAATGTAACAATTATTTGGTATGATCCTGTTTATCAGTACTTAGTAGGACTAATTAAATATTTTTGTTACAAAAATATGTCCCATATATCACAATTTCATTACATTTATTATTTAGAACTTTAACAATTTACCATAAAGTTGAAATATACACACATTAAACACTGCTTATTAAAATATTATTAATCCAAAAAAAGTTATTAAAGTTCACACAAGTTGATTTCTTAAGAACTGAAAGTGCAGCAGTAATTATAATTCGTCGATTAGTTAAATAATCGGCATATATCAAATATGCTGGTTGCAAATCTGAGTTTTAAAGAGTTGGTTGCAAATCAAAAGTTACTTTACAATGGTTATGTTTGGGCTGAAGATCTTAGTTACATATTATACTTTTACTTCGTTGATTAGGTACAGCAGAAAAACTAAATTATATATTACAGCAATGGTTCAAATTTCCAAGTGTCCACCTTATAAAAACTGAGCATTTCATTTATTTACCTATCGATTGGCGGGCGAATGCGTTGCCATAATAAAATGCAGATGTAGTGGTATTAGAAAAAAAAAGATGTTTTAATTTGCTTGTGTAGATTTTTTGTGCAGCAATCAATACAGTCTTTACTTGTCATTTATAAAGAATGGGTCGGATCGGATGTCTCAATAAAAGCCGTATCTACCGTATTTAAGGGCACTCTGTAGTGGCGCACACACACCGTGTGGTGTTAGCCGGTTCGATTCCGACACACCGCCCTCCGCAAATCCACCGCAACCCAATATTTTTTTCAAAATAAGAATGGTAAGTGTTGTGGTTTTTTAACGTTTTGTTAGAATTTAAACCTTGTTTCCATCATTAATTAGGGGGCCTGTTGGTCTAGTGTTTAGTGACCCTGACTGCTAAACCGGAGGTCGAGGGTTCGATTATCGACCCAGGACAAATATTGTGTGAAGAGCACGGTCATTTGTTCTGTGTCTGGGTGTAATTTATCTATAATATGTATGTATTTAGATAAATATAAGTATGTTTATCAGCGGTCTGGTTCCCATAGTACAGGCTCTGCCTAGTTTGGGATCAGACGGCCGTGTGTGTGTGTGAGATATTATTATTATTAAGGCATCCTAATTAATATTATTTAACGGGAATTAACGCGATCTCTTATTTAGGGTATTACATACCTTTGGTTTGCCTGACGTTTGACCAGGTTGCACCGGCCGTGGTCACAGGCTGACTGTGACCACGGCCGGTCGCGGAGATCGCGTTAATTCCCGTTAAATAATATTAATTATCATGGAACGCGAAAGTTTAAAAGTTAAGGCATCCTGTGTAATAAAACAAGTGTTTAACAGCTGCCTATATTAAAACGCTGCCCTTTGTTCCAACTCCGTTTGGACTGCTGTAGGCTTATTAAATTAAAAATTTCGGTTTGCAGCCTGCAGCCAGCAGATTAGATACGTACCCATATGTTCCAATTATTATGGACTAGCTCGCATTAGAATCTGTTCGATTGTGATGTGTGAAATAAATAACATCAAAAACCGTTAATAATAAAATAATCTAAACATAACAATTTAATAACAAAACGTATTCTATAAGGTATTAAATAAACCATTGATTAGGTACTAGTTTTTTGCCTGAAGAGTACATTTCTATTAAACTAAAGAAGTCTAAAAATATTTTATTGAGTACCTAAATTTGTTCGTTTTCATTTATGTTGTGCTACATTGAGTTGTGCAAATATTTTAGGTGTTAAGGCTAGACTTGATATTGAACAAAAAATTCATAAGTGATTAACCAAGAAGAACTTTTCTCATCATTTGAGGATAAGAATTGCTTTCAGATTCACGGCTCTCCCAACATCCGGTGATACATTTTGAACTGCACAGATATTGCAAAAGTGGAATTCTGTATTTGCCACAGAAATCTACGAACTTTATATGTTCTACACGATTGTCGAAGTAAACCCCTGAAATAGTAAAAATAAAGGATAAAAAATTATTCTTAACCCATTTTAAAATTGAAGTGGATTATTTGACAAAAAATGAATCGTCATAACAGGGATACAATAATAGTTTAAGGACCTTAAGCGAGCAAGCACACACAAATTACCGCCAAATGTAATTATGTTAACATTTTTATATTTGTTTAACCTGTGATAGGTTCAGTTTAGCACACGTCATGGGACGAGACATACAATAATCTAATCGCAGTTGATACATATATTACAGATTATTTAGATTATCGGAACGTTGTACAAGCCGATATTTTATATGAAGCCAGTACCAGACCACATAAATATAAGTGTAATAGTATAAAGTCATAAAAATATCAGTGTTACTTAGGAGACCTTATGTGGTTTTTATCAGTTTAACTTCGAAATAACCAAAATCTTCTAGTTGCGTAGGATTCTCCAAGCGCAAACAATTAACGCAAAAAAGGAACGTTTAGAAGAATTAGGTACGCTTTGCTATTTTATGTTTTGAAAAAGCAAGTATTGTTGCTGCGTAGATCAGAACATAATTATTTTTGCAGTTTCTCATTGACTGATCGCACCTCGAAAATAATGTTATGTATTCGCTTAGTGTCTAGATAACATACGCATATATTTTTTCTACGCTTTTATCACTGGCTTCAGATAACCTTTGCTGTCTTATATGGCCAGTACGCGCAATAAAACTTATTAAACAACTGACACCACGAAAAAGCAAAGAAAATTGTTCTGTTAATGTTTAAACGTTTTTTAAAACAGCTGAAGTGATCTGCCTTTGTGGTGACGCAATAATGAAACTTCAGTGCACACAGTAGGTATGTATTCATCAAAATTGGCTCGAGCTCGATCTTTGGTCAATGCTTGTAAGTAAAGAAGTTATCTTTAAGTAAGTAGATATATCTGTAAAACATATGAGATAACTACCGATTAACGTATGATTTACAATATAGCTTAGCAATGTAGGTACTTTTTGTCCTTTACTGTTTATAAACCAACCTGGATTATGATGTATCTACAATAAACATTCATATGTAAATGACTACATAAAAGCGTTGATGGATTATGTATCTAATCATACCAACCTAAGATAGCACTGCTAACTGCATAGCAAACAACCAAAGCTTGAAATGGTATTTTAAATATCAGATAATAAGGTAATCTAATGAAAGTTTAAACTTGTAGTGTGTGTGTTATTGTAATCAGTATCAAAACCTACATCCAGGTTTGCATACATACCTACCATGTTTTGTGTAGAACTTATTACTACTTTTAACATTCGCGTTACTTTATCCGTGTGGTGACGGATTCAGAATACAGACTGTCACCACCCCTATTCATCCTGTGGGTGTCGTAAAAGCCGACTAAGGGAGAAAACTAAGCAGAACAACAGCACTGCGGAGAGAAGGAAAACTTGTCACAAGCCCTATCCCAACCCATCTGGCCAGCGTGGTATAGCAGGCCAAAACCTCCTTTCTAAGAAGAGGCCTATGTCCAGAAGTGGGCTATTAAAGGCTGTTGAAGATGATGATTACTTGAGCTTGGCTGGCATTCTATGTCTATTTCCTTAAGGTTAACCCTTGAATGTAGATATCTTTAGGGTTTACAAACCGGTGGTAGGTGGTTGGTTTTTCTCTTCAATTGATATTTAGCCGTTAAGTGTAGGTATCACATGATCGCGTGACATGACCTTGACGATACTGTAGAATTTCGAAAGTTAGACAAGTATTTGTTTTGCAATGCAGAGAAAATTCAAGGGTTTTTGCCAAGGTTGCATCAAGAGCATGTATATACCTACTGCATAACCTTATACTCCTTATACCGCTGGGCGTACAAATAGAAGTAGGTACCTACGTCGCACACTCTTAGCTTACTTACTGCCACACATTCGTTATTAGCGCAATTTAAAAAATAAGAACTTATTATAATATACAGTATGTGATGAAGGTTATTACAAAAACTGAAAAACTAGATAACACGGTTCATTATACGTCGGTTAAAAATAAAAATAGTACGGAAATACAGAAATGCAAATTAAGAACAAAATAAATACAATAAAATAATTGCCGAATTAGAACACCATTGTTATCATGAGTCGGTAAACTGTACCTACACGGTAGCGTCGCAATGTCGGCGACATCAAAAATCGACCTACCTACTAATCACTTTATTTGCGTTTTTAAATCTGTTTATTAAAAATACGATTTCATTTACGTGTTTATTTTGGGGAATGCTCGATTAGCTTTGGACCCGGCAGTAGGTGTCACTCCTTGAAAAACTAGGTACTTTGGTTATCTAGTAATCTTTGTACCGTCCTTACAAAAATTCGCCAGTCCGTAGGACATACACGATGGCATCCATACCGCGGTTTGTCCGTAAAGCTAAAAATGCGTTTTGATAGAGGTCCCCGTAAATTAACATCATGTCAGGATATCCCGTGGCTGTGAAGGTCACTCACGGCATTAGGGATGTTGATACCGATAACCCAATAAAATAAAAAATACTGATAATTCACTCAGTTTCACACTACACTAGACACAGAATCTAATATTGACACTTTTCAAAATAAAATTAGCAGGACTCGTTACAACACAAAGTCTTCCGCACACGATAACATTAATTGTTCACACCATTGCCGTGTATTATGACGAAAGCAATAAGACTAAACAATTATTAACACAACAAAACTCTTCTAAACAAATATCTCACGAACAACAACAATATTGTAATTACGCTAATTTTTCGTGAGCGCATCTACAAAGACACAGAACAGCATAACACTCGCCGAAGGCCAAGGGCCGACTGACTGGAATTACTGGATGAACTAATTAAAAACGCGTGTCCTTCATCCTGGTGACTCAATAATCAATTTGAGTATAGTAAAAGTGGCAACGTGTGATTACCGCTCTGAGGTCAATGTACATGATTTACACATTATGTTGCCAATTACGAAAACACAAAAAAGTCCTGTTTCTAAACCACAGAATATTTTTTGTTCATATTTTGCAAATCGCCTAGAAATAAAGTGCAGAATATGTGGTTTACAGATTCGTTATAAGATACATCACAGTCTGTATAGGAACCTTCCCAAGTGGATGCCTGTAAGCTATTAAACAAGTTGACATTGTAGGTATAAATTAAGGAATGTAAAGGAAATGTTACGCGCTTACACTCATAATACCTACAAAAATATTTTATACGTTATCCATGTACTTAGCCATTCAAAGTTAAACACGTTTTAACGAAATAAGAAGTTAGGTACGAAATCGGTAAAGGCGACAATATACCCACTATGTCTACCGATAAATCCCGCAAAACCGAATTACCAATAGTAAAACATCAGAAGGCTAATTCTCGTAAAGGTGACCACCTGCCTGACGCCAAGTCTTTTTGGGAATTGCCATAAAATAAATCAAATAGAACCCACATATGGCAGAAAAGTGATAATAATAATTAAAAAAAGGTTTTTACCTCTGCATTTGGGATTGACACAACATTGAGCCGCTTCAAGATATTCTAGTAGAGTGACAGGAATGTCACCAAAAGAAACAGGTATCTCGTGAAGCTTTACAGTACGTCCTGCTAGTTCTAGTAAAGTTGGCGGCTCCAAACTCATTTCTCTAACAAATCTTACCACAAGAGGGTTATCTCGAAGACTCAACTGAAAAAGGTAAAGAGGTAATGGTAAATATAAATATTTATTAACATAAATTAATTTCATTCAATTCTATAAATTCTGTATATTGTATCTTACATGTTCGTAGTGTAATCAACGAAATATTTAAATAAACAACAGCTGTGCCTCATGACTAGTCATGACAAACAAAGTTTAATATGGATCAGTCATAATGAAATTGCTTGCGCACTGCAAGCATATTCAGTGTGCTACATGTCCTAGTGCAAAATGTCATGCTGAGCATGCCTAACGTGATCATGCGCTGTGAGCAGAACCCTCTGGCTTTCAGGCTCTGTAACGCCCGTGATTGTAAAAAAATCTTAAATAAACCATCAATGTTTTTTTAAATTCAGTATTTGTTTTAGTAGGAGAAAAACGAATGACGGTTTATTTAAGATGAATATTTTCTTTGACAAAACTTTCATAGGTTATCGAAATTATGCATTATTTTACTTTTTATCATTTTAGTTATCGCGCCACTGACGTCACATAAAGTCGTAGTAGGTACAATACAGATTTATCTTTACCTTGTTTTTAATTTTCGACTGTGATGAGAGAACAAACATGATAACGAAGTAATAAAATAATAAATTACATGCAGCTTGAACTTAAATTTACGTAATGGTTTCAGTCTACCGATAATATGAAAGAGCTAAACCAATTGTTTATTCTGTATTATTTTAAGAAAAAGAATAATTATCACACTTTTAAGGTCATAGCTCATTATAGCCATCCGACCAGCACCGCCTCGCCTCGAGCGGTTAGTATTCTTTGTATGAAGTACTGTGGGTATACGCTCACTACATCAACTCGGGAGCGCCTGACCCGCTGGTTGCCCACGCGCGGACGGCGAGTGGTACACTCGGTGACCGCGCGCTGTCCGTAAGTGGTTCCACGCGAGGACAATGCTTCAGCGGCACACACAGCTCCTCCTCAAACGTGTCTGCCGTATCGTTTCCTGGTTACCAACGAGGCGTCTACCCGTGGACCACGCGTTGACAACAAGTGGAAACCGAGTCGAGGTGGTGCTGGTCGAGTGGGTGTAATGAGCTATGATTTTAATAGAAAAAAGAAGGTATGGTTAAATACCTAATTTTATAAAGCCAAGGTTGTGAAAATTGTCGCAGTAGGTCGCAATCCGATAGTAATATGGAGAATACGGAGTGTCACCAACCCTATTCATCCCATGGGTGTCGTAAGAGCCGATTAAGGGAGCTAACTGCGCAGGACAACAACACTGCAAAGAGAAGGAAAACTTGAAACAAACCTTATACCAACCCGTCTGGCCAGCGTGGTATAATAGGCCAAAACGTCCTTTCAAGGAGAGGCCTATGTCCAGCAGTGGTCTACTAAAGGCTGTTGAAGATCATGATAAGTCGAATTGCAAGAAAGCGTTGCATACCTACCCATTTTTTTTCTCAGTTGTGCAAATAAAAGAGCTTCTTTTACATAAAATTACACTGGCTCGAAACGGCACGTTAGACTGGATTTTGTTGAATTTTTTTTTTTTTTTTTTTTTATTTCTTTAAAAAAGACAACTCCCGCACTAGGAATAAATCCTGTGTCGCGGGGGACTTTACAAACATACATGAAACGGACACAAAGTACACCCAGACTCAGAACAACAATTTGTGGATCACACAAAGTGTTGGTCCATGTGGGGTTTGAACCCACAACACTCGGCGTAATAGAAATCGGCGTGGCGACCGCTTTAACCACTACGCCATCCGTGCAGTCGAATTGTTTTCATGTTATTGTGAATAATAGTTTTGTTTATTTAAAATGAGCGAAGTCGCAGTTAAGTTTGCAGCCTAGTTCATAAGTTATTGCCAGAATTAACCTAATAAGGTGAATTGAATTTCAATAATCCATCAATTAAACTGAAACCTGATTAGATCGTTGCCAAATATTGAAAATTTATTATTAAAGTACAGACCAATTCTTCTTACTAAAAAGCATTTGTTAATTTATGTAGTAGATACTAAACATTATTTTGTTTAAGTACTTTTTTTTAACTTAGCGTTCGTAGCTGTACATTTCACTAGTTAGATATTATTAAAAAACACGGTTTGAAGTAGATGAACTGTTTGGGTAATACCTATTCCAAAAATACAATATTACTTAACAGTTGGTCCACTTAACGCCGAAAAACATTACAAGTGCTCTACGCTCAGATCTTAAATCTGAGGTCGTACGTTACTTCTGTAGGCATTCTACTACAGCGTCATGTCATCCGATAGATATTACTGAACTATAATGAAGTCAAAAACATATAACATCCTAATCAGCTGCTTAAAGTCACATGGATCCGAATTAAGAAAGAGAGGCAACTTCTATGTAAATTTATAGGACGTGATTAGCGGCATGCAACATGCTTTGTACTTTATTGTGTCAGAGCAAGAGTCGCGTTTATTTAAATAGGTGTACTTAGTGGGATTTCTGTACAATTCACAATTAAATTCACTCTTGTTGCCCTTAAATATTTAAAAGTGTACGAAAGCTTATGTACATGGCACGAAACTGAAGAAATCATATATTAAATTATATTAAAAAGCCAACACTAAACACATTTTTACTGTACACAACATGTGCTTTATACTAATCTTGAACTCCCTCTCACCTACCTTCCCAAATTTATGTTTTTCAAGAGCGTAGACCATGTTATGACTAAAATACCTATAACTAGTCCACTCACAGTCAAAGATGTCCACTATTTTTAAGTTAAGCTCATATATATCCAGTTGATACTTACCTCTGTCAAACACTTTAGTTTGATTATTTGAGTTGGTAATGTTTTCAATCTATTCTTGTGGAGCAACAACGATCGCAGTTGTTTCAAATTAGCAATGCTTGAAGGTAGTTGTTCTATGAGATTATCACTCAAAACTAAGGCTTGAAGACAAGTAAGGCGTCCCACTGAATCTGGTACTTCCTGAATTTGGTTTCCGCCTAATGAAAGAATTTGTAACCTGTTAACAAAATAAAAAGTACATTCAGAAGACCCAGAAACTTATTTTAGACTACAGGCATATGAAAATATCTTTTTGCAAAATTGTGTGTTAAGGTCTCATCATATTAGGTAGGTATATATTTTAATAGTTTACCACAGAACAGAGAATAATAAAATACCTTTATTCACTGTTCTGTTGTGAGTACAACTTGAATTCTTCTAAAAATGAAACTTATTTATCTATACGCGTATTTTAGAATCTAGATTCAAGCTATAGCTATGAAGTTTCTAAAAAAATCTTTTTACTTTTTCTCAATAATTTTCGCCGTTTCTTTGTTTTTCTAAGGCTGTTATGGCTGTTACTATATATCTATTAAAAAAATTGAACTTGTTATTTTGGGAATAAAACAGCTCAGTCTTTAAGTTAATTAGTGGGTAGGGAAATAAAATTATTTGTGCAGCTATGTGATGCTATATTGATTGTTCCGCGAACGTTCATATCCGTTTTTTTTTTCGTTCGTATTCCTCGTTTCTAATGTATCCCCAAATTTCATTGGTATACTACAAAAGTACAGAATAAACGCATTATGTTGCCAATGTTAGTTAATACATACTTTTGATGTTAAATTAAGAGGCGTTGTTAGGTTTTTTGTTATTCTAACACGTCTCGAAAATATACTATCCAAAATTAGAGCATTTGCACACTATTCAGGATGATAACAGTATCGGCCGCCGCGTCGCAATGATACGCAAACGGGTCAAGTGAAATACATAGCCTCCTATTGCCCTTAACTGCCCTCCTATCGCTCATAGAAATTCACAAAGAACATGACGACTTAAAGTTGTTTTGTACTTTGTTACTTATATCTAATTGTAAAATACTGCTTTAATTTGTACGCTTTTCTTGCAATAAAACCCTTGTTTGTTTAAAATTACGGCATAAAGAAACACACTACGTAAGTATTTAAAGTTAATTTAAACGTCATACCTACTTTCACGTTTCTCAAAGTACGGGTTTTGTCAGACAGATGGGCGGATAACAAAGAGTAATCTTTTATTTTTAAGGAACGGAACGATAAACTATTTAAGGGAATAAAAGCAATTAAGCTATGAATTGATGTAGTAGGTAGATACAGTTACGTTCAAAAGTCATCCCTTTTAGTTTATGACATTTCGGATTCGGATCTACCGGGAAAATAATGCAATTCGAACCAGAATTTAATAGTAGTCTAAATCCACACGCGTCCCTCGAGTATTTTTGTGCGGTCTCGCCGCCGCTCTTCAGGGCAGCCTAACTTAACCTCGCTTCAGCAGCTTCGGCTTGTTTGTCCGATGCCTACGATTTGTAGCTGCTCTTCTCGTAGCGCCGGAGACGTTGCAGTCTCAAAAGATACAGAAATCCCTCTGAATCAGTCCCCTATTTGTTTCTGATGAAGGGGGTTCACCCCCTTCCATAGAGGGAGAAACCTCCCTTCCCTTTTAAGGGGTCCCACCTTGTTTTTTACACTTATTACTTTTAATCCATAAAATGCCAAAAAAAATATCAGAATTAAAAACTAAAAAATTGGTAGTACTCGGATAGTACACCTTCCCGCCTACTCCCCACGTTATTATTATTAACATGTGTATAAAATTGCTTAATAAACTTGAGCTATAACACGGTTATCATATTTTTCAATTTAATTAATGAAAGTGTTTTAACTTGAACATCAACGACGACGGGCCCCTCGGACCTAACCTATTTCTGATGACTGATTTAAATTACTTTCTCAAAACATAGGTCTAAGCCTTAGTGTAGGAATCTATTAGTATCCGACAGAAGTGCTACTTCGAGCTAGAAAAAATAATAACTGGTTTTATTACAACACTTTTTTTTTGCGAGTTTTATTATCGTTTTTGAGTAAATAAAAACAGGTTAACGCATGCCTTAAATTGTTTAATAAGCCTGCTATACACATAAAACTGCATTCTATACAAGTTTTTTTTTCTACGTCAGTTTGAACTTAAATGTGACGAAAACGTAAGATAAATAAAAAAGTAAGTCAAACATAAAATTAAGATTTGCAATTATTGTAAACGCTGTTTGGGAACGGGGTTTTCCTATATTGACGCACCTTCCGACGTTGTAAAAGAAACATTTTTCACGTTTCCTCCTATAGTATTTTGCATTTATGTTTACAAGAAGTATGTGTCAACCTAGTTAAATCATGTATGTACCTATGTCTTCATTATGTTCTTTATTTTGAATCCATAGTATCTCGGCTTATATTTTGTGTCTAGAAAGTTAAGTGTAAAAAATACGTGCCCAAAATATTATTGCAAGGCATTTCTTCTGCCAAGTTGAAGAAATGCCTTTGTTTTATTTTTTCCGTTGCCTACGTACGTTTTTACCTACGAACGGAATGTCTTCGAGACGAGAATTTCTGACATTCTTAAATCCCGCTGTAACTAAATTGATAATAAAAGTATAAAACTAGAATTATTTTCATTGCAAATAGGGAAGACTACCTATAAACAGGTATATACCTACAGACTTTCCATAAATGAATTTTAAGCCTAATTATGTAACTAAACCTCCTTTCATAGGAGAGGCCTATGTCCAGCAGTGGACTATCATAGGCTGTTGATGTGATGTGATGTAACTAAATTTGTCATTAATAATGAAAATTCTCAGGTACTTCTAGCAGACAGACATGCTTCAAATTTTCAACACATTTAGTATTTGGTCTTGTTAGTGTTTTTGAATCTACAAACTACATGGTAGGAAATTGATATGCAATATGCAGTTACTTTTGCAGTTTTTTTTTTTAAAGAACGCCCGCCCGATGTTGATTCCGCCGGGCGTTCATGAAAGAAGAGTATTGTGAGCGTTTATGGCATATAATCATTTAATACTACAGACTACTATAGTCAAAAGAATCATGTGTAGGTTATTTCCTGTTTTTTTTTCATTTTAAAAAGATATATCCCGCACTAGGAATATATCCTGTGTCGCAAGGGATTTTACAAACATACATGAAACGGACACAAAGAACACCCAGACTCAGAACAACAATTTGTGGATCACACAAAGTGTCGTCCCATGTGGGGTTTGAACCCACAACACTCGGCGTAGTAGGAAGCAGCGTGGCGACCGCTTAAAGCACTACGCCATCCGTTCAGTTGAAGTTTATAGATTCATCACTAACCGATAAAAAAGACAGGTAAGTAACCAGTGTAATAGGTGTAAGCCCCTACAAAAACTAATGAGATTTCATCTTACAAATAACATGTATGCCCTGCAGTTTTCTTACTGCAACAACTTCTAAGAATTATTTTATATCTAATTAGCAAACTAACAACCCCTTTTTCCGCCGCACCTTTTTACAAAATAGGTTTTAGGTCTACTACAATACGTCAGAATTTTTATTTTTTACTTGGAGGCTCAAAGCGACTGCCACCAGACCTCTACAACCCAAGTACTAGGCGATATCGAAGGTCTGTAGAAAGACTGTTGTTGGACTTTTTAGGGCTCCCACTACCCGTAACGATTTCCACAGATATTAGTATGGCAACCGGAACTTAACGTGCTCGCCGAGGCACGGAGGGGTCTCAATGTGTTAAGAATGGTCACCCATTCATTGACTGACCTGGCTAGGATTGCTTAACTTTGCAATATGTTAACCTACTCGGCTACCTACTACTTAGCCACGAGCCCTTCTGACACCTGTTTTCTCTAATAAATAAAATGAAATTTTTTACGTGTTACTTTTTTAATAGGATTTATATTTAATCCCGCGGGAAAGCTTGCAGCTCCCCCCGGGATATGGTCAGGTCAGGTGCGGCGACGATTTGGGGGACCTGAAATCATATGATCCTTCCTAGAGTAGAGCGCCTGAGGCAGGCCGTCGGGGTGGATTTTAGTGGAAACACCACATACTCCTCGCTCCTATGTCCTTAAGGAGCCGGTGGTCCGAAGGGTTTTCATCACCAAAAAATAGGATTAATATTTAAATACGTTTATTACGGGAATGAATCCGCTCACGATTTATCACAATTAATCGTGAACGTGTTTATTCCCGTAACCATATTACTATGTTATTTTAGAACGTGATAGTTTAAATGTTAGGATTAAAATTCCATTTTTAACTTCTCAAAAAAGAGTGATAATAATCCATGGGGGAGGCCTATGACCAGGAGTCTTTCGGCTGAGATGAAGAGGCAACAATTTCATTTTGCTGTATGTGTCAAATGTAGACATGGGACAAAATCACAGTGAACGGTGATTTATCATTCGATTTTTGCGTACATAGGTCAGGGTTGCTAGGTAGGTAGGTTAGACTATTTAAATAAGTTTTTTTTAAATTATTATGTAGGGAATGGTAGCTGTATAAGAAAATAATTACTATATTTACTGTTAAAAAGGCAAAATAGGGTCTTTATGCATATACATATAACAGCTTATTGGCAACATCGCGTGAGGAAGTAGTAACACTACCTACGTACGAAAAATTCGAATGATAAATCACCGGTTTTTCACACTTCACTGTGATTTTGTCCCATTCCTAGTCAAATTCGTTTATGCATAAACTCAATTTGCAGCATGATATCGCATAATATGTATATGAATTGTAGAAGATTGAATATCGCTCTTGTCTCTTGTCAGTGACTATATTTAGCATGTGTAATTAGATAGTATACTACATATTTTTTATTGTATTATTTTGCACACGTCTTGTCTCGCCATACTCCCGCACCACCCGCGGTTCGTTCTATAGGTTTAGCACGATTGCTCTTGATGTTTTCGCGATAGTTGAAAGGTGACTTTTCGAACCTAAACAGAGTTCTAAAAGCAAGAAAATAATAATTACTGGTCGTATTCAAAACTAATTTAATGGAGTACGTATTCTGTATTCTTGAGTCTGTTGGTTAGATGTCAAGACACATGATTATAATGAAGGAAGAAATAATTAGCTTAATTGATTTGAGCTGGAGATGCTGCTACTGAAGAGTATCAATAGAAATTCAAAGCAAGTATTCCCATACCGTTTATGTTATAACTGGAAATGTTCTCAATATACACAAGTGTATATATTTATTCTTATTTCTTATTAACTAAGCATTAAACTGGTGTATTATATCTTCAACTTTTAATGGGATATCATTTAGCAAATAATGAAACAGCATTTTGATAACCGTAGAATCTGCACTCTGTACTCATACCGACTGATAACGAAAATTATGATATGACATCCTGAATACGCCAAAATAATTTCCAATGGCGTAAATCATTTAAATTAAAAATTGTTTTTAAGTGATTTTCACGCCGCACTACTTAACTTCTAGTTCTAAACGCTTTTGTTGATGACCATTTCTATTACGAGTAGCAATTTACACATTCATATAGTTGATATCGTAAGTAAGTAAGTAAGTGTCGATAATGAGATATCCAAACGGAATGTATTGAAATATGACTTGCTGAATAGTCGACATTGACCCGTGAAGAGTGTGAAGACCGATGACCGTGATAGACCACAGTACCAATATTTAATGTTTATACATTCATATTGTTATCGTGAGATAATAATTTAGTACCTACCACAATTGTAATATAACTACGTGTACAATTATTTCACAATGGGAACCAGACTGTGTATTTGTGACTAATTAGATCAGTATTTAAATAAATTGTTTAATTACCTGTTCAGCTTCCACACGTCCTTTGGTATATTGACTATATTGTTACCACCTAAGTAAAGATACTTTAGCGATGATAACTGTAACACTTGTTCCGGAAAGAAGTTTAGCTGATTTCCACTTAAATTAAGCTCTCGGAGAGAACTCGTGGCATTATGAAATGATTTGGGCAGTGAATCATTGCTAAGTTGGTTATGTTTTGCTGTTAAAGTAGTCAGCGGGCAATATTTGAATATATCAGGTAGAACCGTCAGCCTGTTGTTGCTCACATCCAATATCTTCAAGTTAGTAAACCTGTTTAAAGTCTCAGGCAAAGCCTTTATTCTGTTATTGTAGAGAAGACATATCTCGTAATTTTGTGCACAATCCTTCTCGTCAACAATGCCTTTCAGTTCCAGCGATAGGCTTAGTGTTTCCAACAGTTGACTGGATAAGTCGAGTGTTTTTTGTTCTCTTGTGTCACTATCACAGCTATCCGATGTATAACATTCCATCATTGCTGACTGCGTTGTGACACTTTGGTCTTTGTAGCATTTAATATGATGTTTTTAACCAATCTGTTCTTCGTGCCGCGAACAGACACGCTCGCCTAGTTCGCGGCGCACGCGCAACTACTTACCACAACTGACATCTACTCTTGGAGGCGATATTATCGTGTGTCGGTCTGTGTACAATGTAATATAAAACATTAAAATTTTCTATGAGTATTTGTGACATCCATTAATTTAGCGTACATTGCTGTCTTTAAAGCAAAACATCGCATTACACTTGTTGTAATCACGTAATGTATGTCGTCCACTCATTAATAATCGATATGTCTACAATAGCCATGAGGTTTAATGTATGTTTGAGACCCTGTGTATTGCATAATATTATTCAATATTATAGATAAGTTACTTACAGATTAAGCATTTCTTAAAATATTTTTGAATTTAAATCGAATGTTTGTCTGTCTTATGAGTGACGCGATTCTTAATAAAAAATGATAATAAATGGATTACTAAAACTATTCAAAAAATTAACGCTTTCGCAACTGGCAACTGTTGCACTTAAATCAAATTTATGTATCTTCAACAATAACTTAAGTTTTGCTTTAAGTTTAACTACTTGCTTACATCTGATTACCTATTTATCGCACCTACAGTTTTATGGAAAGCCTCATTAGAAAGTTTTGAGAATCTAATTTGCTCTAATAAGTATTAAGTTTAATAACTGTTTTTTACGAAGTCATGATTTGCTTTTTGTAGCTTTAGGCATGTAAGTAGATAAGTAATACTTTTAAAAACTACAAATGGTTATTACTAGTACTACGACTCAAACTTTTTAATTTTAAAGAAACACTACACAATGTTGGTCTATTATTTAATGTTGCGAAAACGGTTAACAACGTAGTTAAACTTTGGAGCATATTAAACAGCTTTGGCAATAATATGTTTTTAAATGGGTATATGGCAATACCAATAATTATTGAGCGTGAAGACTTCTATCTATAGTTCCTAAATTGTAAATGGGTACGATTTAGGTAATGCAACTTGGTATAAAATATATTTCTATCTCTTTCTCTTCTCCAGGTTCATTTGTTTATTTATTTGATTAAAACGACTTCATACAAATAAACTGCTATTGCCTATAATTAACTAGCTTTTTTAGTAGTGTTACGTACACTAATGGTCTTAATACAACTTAAACTTTTAAGTAATGATTATAAAACTCATTTGATAAGGAAAGAACCAACAGCAAATATTTGTTTGGGTGAGGATTTTATATATTTTGGGTTCTCCCCTCCACATGCCATAATCGCCAGCCACGAAAAGGTGATATTGGCGTGTGCCGGAATGTCCTCTAACTGAGAGATTTACCCGAGAGTGATGTGCGCTTGCGGGCAGGCGCTGGGAGGGGTTCAGAGGTCTTAATAACAGCTGTTCCCGGACCCCTCCCATTTAAAACACAGCGTGGCACACCGTGTGGTCATAGTCGTTTCGATTCCGACACACCATCCCACCGCAAGCCCCGGTAGGGTGACGGCCCGAAGGAGTTTCCACACGTTAACGGCGTCACTTACACAAAACTAGTATGATTTCGTACTACCTTAGCCTATATCGCAATTTGAATGTTATATTTATAAGTACAATAAAAATATCCTGATTGGACGATTCTTTCCTCGCGTTGGAAATACATTGCAAACCGTCGTATGGACATCATTGGACTGCTTAAAACAATCTTTAATTCACCTTTTGATCATATTGAGTTAATTTAAATAGTCTGGATCTTAAAATAATCAAGAGAGAGAACAAATACTATTGTAGTCAACATTAATACTGGTCATAAACCTGAAGATTTCAGCCATTTAAGCGAAATTTGAAAAAGGCTACAATGAAACAAATTACAAACTTCCCATACATATAAAGCTACAAAAATGCATAAAATACAAGTGGTACTCACTTTTTCTATTGAGTTTTGCTTGATACTTTTGCGTTGAAACCAGCACTAAGCGAATTTTACTTAAAAATACGCCATTTGTAGAAACTATGTCAAATTTTACTGAGTCTTTTATTCGTTTTAGGAAAAAATCTATAATTTAGTTTCAAATTAGTAGTGGTATCGTGAATGTGATGCAAATTGTGAAAAATAAAACCGTTTTCTTGAGTCTGTGACATAAAACTGTTTTACCGTCTGAGCTTTTGACAACAGCTTAAAATAGACAGATGGCGCTAAGAAACGTTTACATGACGTCATCTTCGTACGGGAGTGATCGAAGGTCCGAGTGAATGCCGAAAGTAGCCGAACGAGCGAGTACAAGTCTGAAGAAACTAAAATCTATCGTACACTTTAGTGATGTAAATTTGAAAAATTAACAAAATGATATTGTAAAACCGTACTAAGACAGTCTTATTTTGATTTCTATTGTATCTTAGTGATATTGTTTTGACTATACCATCATTAACTTGTATTTCGTCGTTTAAGTGAGTTCAGTGCGAGTGCAAGGGTGGTAACGAGAAATGTGAAGCATCTATGAAGTTCAGGATTCTAAGGCCGTTTATTTTATACATATAATAATGAGCGGACGCCCTAGGACCACGTCATTCGCCGAGGGCAGCAAATCCGTTCGAAAGACTTTCGAAAATCAACCACCGAAACCACCACTCGGAGGAGTTAAAATCAGTAGTAAGTACCTACCACCTAACCATTCTTTTGTCGGCCATCGTGATTTCTTATGCCTGTGACGTATTTCGATACTGACAATTTTAAAAATGGCTGCAATTTGCCACAAATCAACTTTTAGCCATGTAACTTACTAGAATTTGTAAATTAATCGATATCGACACAGTTTTATGTCTGCAGTATTTCAAAAATGGCCACAGGCGGTACTTAGCTTCTGCCACATAAGCCTGGCGTGTGACAGATAAATCGTGTCAAAATATCTATTCCGAGGTGAAATGCGTCGTAATCAAAATCATCGCACTTAAATTGTGATTATGTTAGAGTTGATAGTTCCTATACTTTCCAGTATTTCATCTGTCAATCCACTATTGCTCTAATAACGGAAGCTCGTATTTAGTAAAAAAATATAGGTAATGTCTTTGAGGTTACTTCTATCTATCGTGACGTAATAAAATTGGTTTTTGAGTTGTTAAACTATCTCATATAGATTGGCACGGCAATATGGTTTTTTTTTCTCTTTTCCCAAAGACAAGATAAAGTAGTAATTTAATCCAGTTGGATTATGTGGTACAATCCCAAAGGTGCTGTACACCTTTGGGGTAGGATGCTTGTAATTGCGCACATAGCTTGCTTAACACCTTAAAGCGTAATTTAGGTATTTACTATTTCTTTGCATAACCATCTTAGTTTAAAAGCTAATATGCATAACAAGGACAATTACTTTTGCATAGAGAGAGAAAAATCTGGCTTTAGAAAAGCCTATAATTGGAAATTTCAGTTGGTTTGTTAGTCTGTTGACATTTGTTTATTAATCTAGAAGCTTAAATAATATATTTGTTAAATTAGCTGTGTTGTAGTAAGTACTAAAATTTCATTAAAATTTGTAAAATTATGTTATGATACATTACATGAACTGTAGCTTACAGCTGAATTAATAAATTATTATACTTATATTGATAGAAACAGTAGCTTAGTTAAGGTAATATTAAATAAACATACTTAGTGCAATGAAGTACTGAACCTGAACATTAATCTAATTACTATGCTATTGCTATTGTACTTTATTTAAATTTTGCTAAAAATAATTTTTTAGCAAAATTAAAAAAAGTACAATTTAGTATAAAGCACTAAGTATTGGTGTACATGTATATACATATAAATAGTAGATTCTAAATCATGCAGATAACAAAATAATTATCATCATCCTCTTGACCTCATTATGTGCACATTTGTATTTGCTGCAATTCTAATTTAATTAAGGCAAATTACAACATTTCCATAATGCTTCTGTGGTAAAAAAATACAACCTTTTATTGAAAATGAGTACTTAAATCTAAAAAAAAAGTATGTAAATGATCTGATTGATTATTTCTATGCAATTCTGAAACTCATCAAAATGTTTAGTACACTTGTAATCCCATGGGACTCGCAAGAGTAGGAGGGAGCCTATTAGTATACATACACTTGCAATTCTAGGTGACTTACAGGAGTTGGAGGTTCCTTTTCATATATGTGGATCTTACTTAAAACATGCAAGGAGTGTTCTTACCTTATTCTCTTACAAAAAGTGCCCTTCTAGTCAACACTTCTTTTTAACATTATTAATTTTATTGTAAATTCAAATTTGACAAATTTTTGTTCAAGAGTCGTGTTTTGTCGAGTAGGGCAATATTTTGTTTTCATCTTCCTCTTTTCCAAATATATGCATTAATGTATATACTCAATATTAAGTAAAGCAGCAGTTGCAATTTTTGAGAAAGACACAATATGTTTAAGAGCTAAAGAGTACCATAAATATCTGAATTTTTATTCTAAATCTACTGCTTAAAATTATTGTTTACTCATTACCTAACCTAAGATTTCATAGGTTATGCCCTAGTAAACGGCTTTCATACCTTATAGTTTTTCTCTTTGTTAAAATGACAACAAAAATCCACACAACACAACTTGATTGTTACTTTATTCAAATTAAGCATCAAAATGTTTTCACATGGAAAGAATTTTAGATACTATTGCATGGCTTTGACAGTGGTCACAATGTACTGTTAACAAAATCTCACATAGGCCATAGATACATATATTATGTATATTTGTAAGTAGAATATATTAATGAATACTGAAATCATTTCTATAGAACCTGTTTTTATATATTAAATACTTAAACTTTGTCCAGACATTCCATTACCCACCTTTTGTTTATACAATGTCTTATTAATTAGTTTTATTTTATTCATGTAGAAAATTTTATGAATAATATTGTGGGACTAAGAAAAAGTGTAGATCATTGCAAATCTATCTTTTTATGGCTCAGAAGATTTTGTTTTATCAAAATTTCTCTGCAATAATGGTCCAATAATGTATCAAAAGTAACTTCGGCTCATGTAGGCCAGGCTCCACCACAGTGATACCACATCCTCACAGAAAACCAATGTTAAGCAATTGTTTTGTTGCTTTTCACTGAGTGAGTGATATCACCGGAACCCAAACCCTCCCCCCTCAACTCAAAAAGCAGTAACACACTTGTGACTGTTGAGTTGCAGGTGTCTAAGGGTGGCAGTTGTGACTTACCATCAGGTGACCTGTCAGCTCGTTCTCCCCCTATGCAGAAAAAGTAGTTAATAGGTAAATTTTTTGCTTACTGTGCAGTTTATATTGTTAATGCATAGTCAAAAATAATCCAGTGCATTGTGCTTTTTATTTCATCTTTGCTTTTTTTTTTCTGTTTCTTTTTTTATGTATAACTGATAGTACCTGAATGACCAAGCTTAGCTTGGTATTTTCTTTTTTGGTAAACTATAATCTTTTACAAATCGGAACCGGATTCGTATTTAGAATGAGAAACAAGCCGAATTTATTTAAAATTCTGGGCAATAGTAGTATGATTCTATAAAAAAACACAAATGGGCACCTCATGGTTTAACACCTAAATAACCACGAGTTCTGCGTTTTAATAACGTAGCACCAACACAACCTTCACTTCACGATTCGTGGCTTACTAACGAGATTGTCGTTACACTTTGCGTGAATACTATTCGAAGTATTATGATGTGGTTTAATTTCTTTTTATAAAAAATTTGAAATCGGTTATCCGTATTGACAAACGAAATTTCCAAACTCAAAATTTCGAAGAATTAAAAGATGTATACATATGTATACACTACAAGGCATTAGCCAATTGTTGACGGTTATCGCTCGCGTTATCAGTGACTGTCGTCGATCTCACTATCTCACGGTCGAAATGACCGCACAATCCTGCCATTCGCGAAAGAACCGTGCCGACGCACTCGGTTTTTGAGTTGCCTTTCGCTCGACGATTCAGTCACAGTCGACCGACGTGGTCGCCAAAGCCACTGCATGTTGCAAAATTATCAATTGGTTCGTTAACCCACTTCCTCAGTTTTGCACTGTTGCGGCAGCTATCCGGTACGCAAGTGATTTGAAAAAAAAAAACTATCGTTTTGTTGGACACTTGAAATATTTTGAATTATGTGAAATATTATGGAGTCTCTAACATTTCTAGTGAAATATAAGTAAAATTAATCATGCAGTAGCAAAATAGTGTTTATTAGTGAAACATGGTGTGATACATATTCTATCAAGTCGCCTTGGTGCCGAGTCTATGAGTATGATAGCAATTAGTGCAGCATTACCTGTACAAAACCTTTTGCTGTGTAGACAACTATGCTACGACGACGAGGTACTTATACTGTTAATGCTGATCCTGGTAATCAGCAGAGCGGAGCAAATGCGGCAAATGTTTCGGTCGCTGTGAAAAGAACTGGTAGGTAACAAGGATTGTAGATATTATCGTTACAATTGTTTATTATTAGGAGCCATCTTGAAAATACTAAGTCAAAAACAAATAAGTAGCAAGCTTTTATATACCTATTTATTATAAATATACAATTATAGATTTTTTGGGTCGCATAAAAATATTCCTAGCATTTAGGTTAAATGTAGAATATTATAAACCAAAGGTATTAAATACAATTGAATGGTCAGTTAAAAAACCGTAACTGCGCGGAATCACGATTATTTCAATGGCTTAGCACTGAATATCACATCAAAAAGAAATTTATAACAAGATTTGCTAAACGAGCCATTCCCACAAGTAACACCAATCGTTCCCGCAAGAGGGCCGAAAGGGTTAGCTGCTATAATATGCTGTAACTTGACACGGTCGCTGACTTTTGATTTTCATGTAGAGTATCATAAATTGCGCATGTTGTTAAAAAATACTTAGATTTATTATGGTAGGTTATCATTTAGTTTCAACAGCTCGATATCCGTTCGAAGTAAAGTTTTATGGAGGCGATTTCAAATTTATTATTATACGTCATAATATCTCACATGTTTTGATAAGATATGTTTTACTGTCGATTCTCTATTATGCTGTACATTTTACAGAATTTGTAACATACTTATATACACTGTGTTATCTTCTAAAAGGATTTGCGTGACTTAATGCATTTGCTTTTAGTCTAGATTATTTATCGAATAACTATCAGTATCGTAACCCTTGCTTCCTTAGTTATGCAGTATCAATCAGATATTAGATTACTCATTATGGTTATATGGTCTATCCGACATTGGTTATTCATATTATGATAATATATAATAATAATAAAAAAGCAATAAATTATTATGTAGCATTAATCATGGCACTTACAACTTTCATTCGTTATTTTAAAACCATTAGTTTTTAAATTGGTTCCTAATTGGGATTTTTTTTAAGTCTGTTAATAAGTTTCTTATTAAGTAATTTGTTTTTCATTAATTTTTTAAAACAAATATTTGTGTCAAAAAAGTAATGTACTTAAAGGTGCATGTAGTTTCAATAGATACAGGTAGAAAGATAACGCAAGGATTATGATCTATACGAAAACAGTACTTGCCGTGTTTGTACTATAACTTCATAATAATATGCACTTTTGACTGATGCAAAATAATATATCGCCAGATCCGCGATATAATATTTATACACACAACTTGGAAGTTCAATT